ACAAGGTCAATGTGACCTTGACATTTGACCCCAAAATCAATAGGGGTAATCTTCTTGCCAAGACCAATTCCAATACCAAGTTTGAAGTTCCTAGGCCTAAGCGTTCTTTAGTTATTTTTCTGGACATTGTTATTTCACACAAGAAGACTTAATTAAATCAGTTATACTATGTAAGTCTCTTAAACTCAAAGTGACCCAAAAACTTGAATTTTTTTTACCCCAGGGACATGAGTTAAATCACTTTTGAAAAAGACCACAAAGCAATGACACATGTCAAAAACCTAAGCTCTTTGCATTACAGTTGCACAAAAGAAGACATAAAAGTGTTTTCCTTTATAAGTCTACATAAACCAAGTCACCCCAGGGCAGGACCAATTTTGATCCCAGGGAATGGCTTTAACAACTTCAGGAGAGACCACAAAATGATACTTCATGCCATAAATTTATGTTCTGTGCATTAGTTTTGGAGGAAAAGAATTTTCAAACATATTTACTTTGAAAGTCTATATTAACTGTGCCCCCCCCCCACCCAAAAGGGTGAGGCCATTCTTGACCACAAAGGCATGATTTAGGTAACTTTTGTTAAGATCAACAAAGCAATATCTATGCTCTGGGCTTGTTTTGTTCATCAAAAAAAATATTTTCCTATGTCCCAATTTTGACCCGAGGGGGATTTATATACCTTTTGCAAGTCCAAAAGGTGATGCTTTATGCCAAATATATGAGCTGTAGGCAAAAGAAGACTTAAATCTATTTTACTACAGAATTTTATATATAAAGTCCAGTGACCCAAGGAAAAGGGCCATTTTTGACCACAGGGACACTATTTAACAGGATACCAAATATCCGAGCTCTGGGCATTGTCATTTTTGAGCAGAGATCTTTAAAAATTTCATTTTCAAAGCTGTGACCTACTGATGTTTTAGAATGGAGCTACATATGTATTTATATAATTTTTGTACAGGACCACCTAGATCATCTGGTGAAGTTTGTTCAAAATCCACAGCATGGTTAAGGAGGTGATTTTTCATACGAATTGTGGATAACAAACAAGATTGCATTTGAGAAAAATGCTATGCCACCGCATTAATACCTAAGCTCTAGGCCTTTTGGGCATTTACAAGAAGGTATTTTAAGTTTTGAAGCCTTGTACCTACAGACAATAAGATTTTTTTATTTTTCACTATATGTATATATTGAAAATCAATGACCCCCGGGGCGGGGGCAATTTTGACCCCAGGGCTATAATTTGAACAATCTTGCTAGAGGTTCACTACACAATGTTTCATGCAAAATATCTAACCTCTAGCATTTGTCAATTGCTAGAAGAAATTTTTTTAAAGTTTTTACTATATACATATAACGAAAACCAATGACCCCTGGGGCGGGGCCGATTTTGACCCCAGGGCTATAATTTGAACAATCTGGGTAGAGGTCTACAACACAATGCCTTATGCTCTAGGCCTTTTGGGTCTTTACAAGTAGGTATTTAAAGTTTTTACTATATGTACATATAGTGAAAATCAATGACCCCCGGGGCCAGGCCGATTTTGACCCTAGGGCTATAATTTGAACAATCTTGGTAGAGGTCTACCAGGCAATGCCTTATGCAAAATATCTAAGCTCTAGGCTATTTGGGTCTTTACAATAAGGTATTTTAAGTTTTTACTATATGTACATATAGTGAAAATCAATGACCCCGGGGCAGGGCCGATTTTGACCCCAGGGCTATAATTTGAACAATCTTGGTAGAGCTCTACCAGACAATGCCTTATGCAAAATATCTAAGCTCTAGGCCTTTTGGGTCTTTACAAGAAGATTTTTTAAATTTATTCTTATAATTCCTTTTGGTTGCCATGGCAACCAGATTTCTGCATGGAATGAAATTCTTTGAACAACTTTGGAAGCCCTTCACCCAAGGATCAATCCTGCCAAGTTTTGTTGAAATTGGACTATTGGTTTTTTCACAAGAAGATTTTTTACGTTCACTATATAATCTAAATAACAATGACCGGGGCGGGGCCTATTTTGACCCCAGGGCTATAATTTGAACAATGTTGGTAGAGGTCTACAAAGACAATGCCTTATGCAAAATATCTAAGCTCTAGGCTATTTGGGTCTTTACAATAAGGTATTTTAAGTTTTTACTATATGTACATATAGTGAAAATCAATGACCCCGGGGCGGGGCCGATTTTGACCCCAGGGCTATAATTTGAACAATCTTGGTAGAGGTCTACCAGACAATGCCTTATGCAAAATATCTAAGCTCTAGGCCTTTTGGGTCTTTACAAGAAGATTTTTTAAATTTGTTCTTATAATTCCTTTTGGTTGCCATGGCAACCAGATTTCTGCATGGAATGAAATTCTTTGAACAACTTTGGAAGCCCTTCACCCAAGGATCAATCCTGCCAAGTTTGGTTGAAATTGGACTACTGGTTTTTCACAAGAAGATTTTTTAAGTTCACTATATAATCTATATAACACACACACACACAAACAAACACACACACAGGTGAATCGCTATATGCCACCGCATCGCAGATGCTGCGGTGGCATAAAAATGATGGACACACTGCCATCACAAAAGCTCACCTCTGACCACTTTGTCCTCTGAGGTAAGCAAAAAAAACAAGAGGGCCATGATGGCCCTGAGGTCGCTCACCTGTATATAGGCCCCCGGAGCGGGGCCAGTTTAAACCCCTGGGCTTTTATTTGAGCAAACTTGGAAGACACCCATTAGAAGATGTTTCATGATGTTAAGTTTTTACTACACACATATAATGAAAAACAATGACCTCCGCCCCCCCCCCCCCCCCCTTGGCAGGGCCAATTTAAGCCCAAGGGCTTTTATTTGGACAAACTTGGTAGACACCAAAAAAAAAATGTTTCCAACTTAAATTCTAACCACTAGCTCATTGGGTTTTTTAAAGAAGATTTTTTAAGTTTTTACTATACACATATAGTTAAAAACAATGACACCACTGGGGCGGGGCGAGTTTTAACTCCAGGGCTTTTATTTGAACAAACTTTGTAGAAACTTACTAGAAGATGTTTCATTCTTAATATCTAAACTCTAGCTATTTGGGTTTTTTCAAAGAAGATTTTTAAGTTTTTGCCATACACATTTAAGGAAAATCAATGACCCCGGGGTGGGGCAAATTTTGACCCCAGGGCTTTTATTTTAACAAACTTTGTAGACACCCATTAGAACATGTTTCATGCTAAATATCTTAGCTCTAGCTCTTTGGGTTCTTTAAAAGAAGATTTTTTAAGTTTTTACTATATGCATATAGGGAAAATCAATGACCCCCTGGGGCGGGGCCAATTTTGACCCCAGGGCTTTTATTTGAACAAACTTGGTAGACACTCACTAGAAGATGTTTCACGCTTAATATCTAAACTCTCGCTATTTGGGTTTTTTCAAATAAGATTTTTTAAGTTTTTGCCATACACATATAAGGAAAATCAATGACCCCCGGGGCGGGGCAATTTTTGACCCCAGAGCTTTTATTTGAACAAACTTTGTAGACACCCATTAGAACATGTTTCATGCTAAATATCTTAGCTCTAGCTCTTTGGGTTCTTTAAAAGAAGATTTTTTAAGTTTTTGCTATACACATATAAGGAAAATCAATGACCCCTGGGGCGGGGCCAATTTTGACCCCAGGGCTTTTATTTGAACACACTTTGTAGACACCCATTAGAACATGTTTCATGCTAAATATCTTAGCTCTAGCTCTTTGGGTTCTTTAAAAGAAGATTTTTTAAGTTTTTACTATATGCATATAGGGAAAATTAATGACCCCCTGGGGCGGGCCAATTTTGACCCCAGGGCTTTTTTTTTGAACAAACTTGGTAGACACCCATTAGAAGATGTTTCATGCTAAATATCTTAGCTCTAGCTCTTTGGGTTCTTTAAAAGAAGATTTTTTAAGTTTTTACTATATGCATATAGGGAAAATCAATGACCCCCTGGGGCGGGGCCAATTTTGACCCCAGGGCTTTTATTTGAACAAACTTGGTAGACACTCACTAGAAGATGTTTCATGCCAAATATCTAAGCTCTAGCTCTTTGGGTTTTTTTAAAAGAAGATATTTAAAGTTTTTTCTTTTGGTTGCCATGGCAACCAGAGTTCTGCATGGAATTAAATTCTTTGAACAAATTTTAAAGGTGACCACTAAAGGAACATTCCTGTGAAGTTTGGATGAAATTGGCTTAGTGGTTTATGAGGAGATGTCATTCAAAGTAAAAGTTTACGGACGGACGGACGCCGGACGGACGGACACCGGACGAAAAGCGATCACAAAAGCTCACCCTGTCACTTTGTGACAGGTGACCTAAAAAGGCTTAATATAAAAATTTGACTTTAGTAGTTACTTCATACAGACTTTCATTAAACTCTACCCTCTCATGAATTCCTCTAATATAAGATTCTATGAAATGACAACTATGTTAGACCCTGTATATAGATGATGAGTACCATTTTATGATGTTGTCCTCCCTACAGTAATCCATATAACCAAACAGCACAATATCAGACTACATTGTATCAATATTCAAAATTTATGTCAACGTGTATAAAGAGCTGTCATCAAATATCAATACAAATCTGGAAAAAAATCAATAATTTTGACAAATTAATTAACTGTCTAGAAAATTACAAAAATTTACCCCAAACACATACGAAAGCAGGTGCCCAGTTAAAGGACTAAAACAATGCTACTTGTATGTTAAGGGCATATTTCATAGCAGTGATTGGAAAAATAGCCAAAACAAAAGAATAACCCTGCAGTGGTCATCTATACACTATTCCCATCACTATTGTATGCACTGAGCAGGTATGAAAATGAAATATACATGTGTAATACTTGTTATATTGACACATTGTCTATATTTCTCATCTGATATTGATATAGTTTTATGTGCTTTGGATTAAATCAATGACAGCTCTACATGACATTGTATGTATTACCCTACATGCAAGCTCAATCAAATAATACAGTTATACATATATCTTTATTATTATCATATCTTATTCAACAGCATCTATTGACCAGAAGAATAGCATTACTGTTAATTCTTTATTATTATTTTTTTACAACTATCTTATCTTTAGAAGCATTCCAACTGACAATTCGTAATTAAAATTATTCCATTAAAATTGCTTCAAATTTTGTTAACGACAATAACGGTAAGTTCCAAACAGTCTTACTTCCCTCAAATCACATCTTTAACACAGCTCCTTTTTTATATACTCGTACTTGTATATAAAATTGACAAATAATTAACAATTTTATTAGTTTTTTTCTATGTATCTGGTGTATATGCAGGACTTCCACTGGTAGCACTGAGATCGTCTTCCGACAACAATCGGTCTATGTAACCCGGTTTTGCATTTGTTTCTTCATTTTTATTCTCCTCTGGGTGTGATTGTTCTGTTTGATGTACAGGGTTAAAAGTACCCGTTAAAGTACAGTCCGCTTCGAGTAAAGTAACATGTTTATCACTTCCAAGGAAGCTAGATGACATTTCAAGTTTATGCATATATACTTTCACTCTCTGTCCTTTCAGATATAGCCTGGAGGAAAAAAAAACAAATAAATAATTTCATTTTCAACTGAGTATATTTTTTTAACCTTATACTATGTAGAATTTCTTAAATTGATGTGTCCAGCATCTATTTGTTTAACTATATTTGTACTATAAATTTTGGTGATAACGCAGGTAAAATTTGAAGTTGGTCAGCCAACAGTATAGAGCATGGCCGGACTGTATGATTGTGCACGCTGGCCTGGGTCTATACTGGTGGTAAAGGTTTTTCAGTTCAAGCAGGTTAATGATTAAAATATATAAACTTTTTAACACATAACAAAAGCACCATCATGGTCTAAGATCATGGTGTAAGATTATTAACAATTCATTCCTTGAGATTTGCCATTCCCCCTTTTTTTGCAACACAGATTTTTATGTACACTATAATTATGTAGTTTCTAAAAGCCTCAATCTGATCAACTAACTTTTGAAGAAGAACACAAGTCAATGATAAAATAAAAATACATGCATATTGTATTAATTGAAGCTTTGGACAAGAGTTCTGCATGGAATAGAAATTTTGAAAAGCAAAAAGGGGAAAAAAATTAAGCAAATACAATACTTGTTCTGTATGGACAAGGCCATTTAACGACAAAGTTATTTTTTACCATGACTGTAGCAATAGTTCAATTTTTTCTCCAAGAAAGTCCACCTAAAAATAATCTTTAGCCTTAAAACAGTAGTAAATTTTACTGTTATCATACATTTTAAAGTGAATAAAACTTTGATTATTTAGGCATAAAAAAGGTATAACAATTTTGCTTTAAGTCAAAGTTAATAAGTGAACCAAATTTTGTTTCAATATTTTGAATGGTATCATTTTCTCTCCAATCAGAAAATCAAAATAAACTTACTCTCTTTGCATTGCTGGCCTTTTGCAAACACAATAAAATTTGGCACCAATATCAATATACAGATCATCATCAACAACATCTACTATCCTTCCTGCCATTGCCTTCTCTTTCAGGTCACCCATCTGGACTAGTCCTGAGTATCTGAACAATGTTGCAAAACTTTGCTTTTCTTCTACTTTTTCTTCAACTATCTCTGCAAAAACATCATTTCAGAATATTATTACATACAATAAACAAACATCATACATACAAACATCAATAACAACAAAAAAAAAACCCATACATTCATCATCTACGTGCATGTGTCTCATTAAATACAATTTTGATGTGTTTAAAGTTAAAGTTCTCACATAAAATCTGTTAACATTTTAACACAGATAAACAACTAAAGTTATGTTACAATTCAAATGGGTACCATATTAGTTGTTCTACAGCCCTAAACAGAAAATATTGCAGAAATGATCCTAATGAATAATTTAGTTTTTCAAACAACCATGTTTTTTGATTCCCAAATTGTGTAAAAGTAAACTGACAATCTCAACCCAGTACACCATATGTGGTCTCATCTGGAAACCTGCATTGTATAGTGAAGCTCTATAATAATCTTAATAGAGCTTCACTAGACAATGTTTCATGCTAAATATCTCAGCTCTAGCCCTAGTAGTTTTGAGTAATGATTTTTTTTTTTTACTATATACATGTACATGTAAGGAAAACACATTGGTCATTACCCCTGGGGTGGGGCCAATTTTGACCCCCGGGCTATAATATGATAGAGGTCCACAAGAAAATGCCTTGCGAAAAATATCTATGCTCTATTCCTTTCTGTTCCCTTGGCAACAAGACTTCTTATTTGGAGGCCCTTCACCAAAAAAACAATCATAGTAAGTTTGGTTGAAATCAGACTTGTGGTTTCTTTAAATTCACAATATGAAATCTATATAACAGACAAACATTGAATTCAGGATAAGTTTCAGCAGTAACAGAGCTCAACAGGACAACCAACTACACATACTAGGTAAGTGGTCTTTAGAAGATGATAAATAAGGTGAGCATAGTGTTTGAAGCATTTGATAATAATCATATAATATCAAGTTAAATTGACATTATGCCCATCAAAGTTGAAATGGTGAGTGTACTGGAAAATGTCATAATAACTTTAATTTTCTTTCAAAATTGTTTTCAAATCATTATTTTGTTACATATAACCAATCAATAACTCTTCTATAAATAACTTTTGGAAATGTTCATTTAATAAAAAGAGTGTGTCCATCTCTATATTTTAAGCAGTATTTTAAAATTTATCCTTATTTTTTATAATTGATTACTGGCCATCATATCATGTTCCAGGAAGCAGTCCTGTGAGACTTTAAATCAGCCCTTGATTTTAGTTTGTGTATCTGACTTCCCTATTCCACTTTCATATTATTGCTAACGCAACAGGAAAACAAGAGCCACTGCCGGGCGGGGGCAACAGTTGACTTCTTTACTTTTTTAAAAAGCAAACAAATAAAAGCAATAAATTTTTAAAAAAATAACTATGTAAATATGATGATACAGTATTATCATACAGACAAGTTAAAAAATGCTTCAGATCAAAATGGGCAAGTAAGTCAAAATCAGATTTTGACGGCCCTGGTCTGTTTGGTCACAAGTGTTCTTTTGTCTATATATATATGAATCAAATCAGTACATAAATAACAAAATGATGTCAACTTAACCAAAATTCAAAACTTTGACCTTGATAATGATGGTCAAGATCATTTAAAAACTCGAGGTATAAAGATAATCCATTCTTAATTACCAAGTTACAGTCACCCATAGTGAAACTGAAAATCAGTGAAAATTAAATATTGACCTTCAATGTCAAGGCCATACATGACTCAAGGTCAATTGGAGTTTGATATACGTGAAGGTCCTGACCTAAAAGATATTGCGTCTAAATATAAGTTAATCCATTTATAAATAACATATTTCAATTCATATATATACAGTTAAACTGCTATGAGTCAGATTTCGATAAGTTGATTTTCTTGAAGTGTTGTGTTAAACTTAAGTTGTAAAAAACTTCCAGTTCCAAGTTCCAACAGTTAACTTGCTATAAAATTCAAACTATATAAACAGACGATATGTCCTAACTGATTCTAATTGACTGTGTAAACACATTCAAGGGAAATAGTAGTCAAAAATGAAGATCTAATTCTTATAAAAATAGTTTTTGCTGCCACTAATACATTCATTTTTCGCAAAATTAAATTTTTTGGCAGATGAAAATGAATTTAGTGTGCCAGTTTTAAAAATATTAGCATCATCCTGTGTTGCTTTTACTAGCAGTCACAGAAAATGTAAATACAGTGATATCATAGAACTTGTGAAATCATAGGAACCAAGTATACAAGTCGAAATTTTAAGTGTCAAATTTTTAGAAGTGTCAAAGTTTTTTCATGGTCAGAATAGAATAAATTGAGTATAAAAATACAGTACTTTTTGTCCAAGATACGAATGGGGTTTGAAGCCCCAAATGCCTTAAAATCCAAATAAAATGTATATTTGTCAATCCTAGCACATATTATTATCGTAAGTTCAACATGGTTAGTCATGGGGCCCTAATATGCCAGAGTTGATTTTATTTTTAACATGTTCTTCTTTTAAATCTGCACTTATTGCCGCACAAACTTTGTAGATACACCCTGTACTTTAATGCCCCAAATTGGGTTATGTACAGTATTGGAAGAAGAAGATCTATAATAATCTATGATTATAGATCTGAAAGTATTAATTTACACGAAGTCCCTTCAACTTTGACTTTAAACCAACATTCTACTGTATATACCAAAACCTATACTTATTTCCGTCTATTAATAATGTAAATGATTTAATAGAGAGCTCGACGAGCTGGCCCAAAAGGCCTGCTCGCAAAGCGAGCTTTACGGTAACGCGAGTACCTGCTAAGTGATGGTTTTGAAAAATTTCGTCCGAAGTATGGAATTGGACACATCGCAACTTTACGAATTACAAGATAACGATAAAAGCCGATGTACTCTGATTGAAAACGGAAGCGTAGACTGGTGTCCTGCGCACTTTTATAGAAACCATAATAGAAAGGGGGAACCAGAATAAACGGAAGCAGTGTTTAAAATACCAAATGACAATTTTAAAACGGAAAATGTAAAATAAAAATGAAAGATTATTTTAAACTATCTTACGGTAAAGGAAAATCGAGCTCGCTTTAAGGCTTTGCCTTTTTCATATTAACGTGTCATATGATTATTTTAAAGTGAAGCAAATCGTCACTAAAGTTAAGCAAAAAAAATTGTGGTGCGAATTGTTATTGGAGCGAATCGAAATCAATTCATATACCCTCGTAAGTAGAATCTATCTGGTCTAAATAAAAATCAAGCCTAGTTTTCTTTGCTCCTGTTTCATCAGAAAATGCTGCAACTGGAACATTTCGTTTGGAGCGATGAATCTTCAGAATATTTCTAAAAATTGACCTCTGGAAAACATTTCGTATGGGGGCAGCCATATTGAATCGATGTTACTCTACTATCCAATCAGAAGCTCGAATACAGCCAAGGCGTTGTAAACGACAAGCTGATTGGATTATCTCTCACCGGAAGCACCAATCGCACATGTATACATGTTTACATTTTAGACATGGCTTCAAACTTAACAAAGCTGTTTGAGTTCTTTTCCTTAATAGGACAATTAAAGGTAACGTTTTGGTTAATGTTTTATATATGAAAATGAGTATGCCGTCATTAGAATAACTGATCTACCTAAATTGACAATTTTGATAGCAAAATACATTAAATAAGTTGTACAGACTACAGTACATGACACATCTCCAATTATTCATGTGCCAGTTGGGTTTGATAATAAATCTCTTTATTTACAGCGTGTACAAAGAACAGGATGGGTTTTACATAAAGTAAGTGACCCGGAGAGTGTAGCTGACCATATGTACAGAATGGCAATGATGTCTTTCTTAGTTGAACCTTCATCTGGATTAAGTAAAGAAAGGTATACATGTATATCAATTTAACAGTGTTTTAAACTGTGTCCTTATTGAGCCTTAAAAAATCTTGCCTGATAACACATGAGCTTTAGATCACATCCAGGGATTTTTTTGGCTTATTTTATAGCAGATATTCGGTCATATTCTGAATTGAAAATAGTATATTATTTTCCAAATTCACAGCAAACAATTCGATCCCCGTTGCAAGTAACAAAATAAAAATATTGAATAGCAAATTCTAAAATCTTTGAAAATAAGGGTTTCTTCACTGTTATGGTGTTTAAATGTTTGAAGATTCCATCCTAGACAGTGATTCTTTGCATTCATTTAATCACTGCAAAATTAGTTCTACTTTTTTTCCCAAATTTTAACAAAACATCGTTGAAATTCCCAATTCCATGGAAATGGGTCATGTTCCCAGAATCCTGGAAAAAACATTGACATCTACCACACACCGTCACAACTATGTGTTGTCATATAACAGACCCTAGTCCAATATACCAGACATTACAGGCTTGTTATAGTTTATCATTATGTCGGTCAAGCCCAAGTTGCTTTGCCCAGAATAAAAAATATCTCAAAGCAACGTCATATTTATAGGACTAAACAGACCCCAAAACAATATTGGCATGCTTGCATATTGGGGGCTACTGTCTCCATTGAAACCCCCAGTTTTAACATAGTCATTTCTAAAACTAAAACAAAATTCACATGAGCAGATTTCAGGATAACTTCTAGTCAAGTATCATCTTAACTCAAAACAGAATAGGCTTTGCTAAACTAGATTCTATCTTTAGATTAGTAAACTTATTTTGATGAGATATCTTGTGTTGCAGACTGTTTATTATGATAACTTGGTAGTGATATTTAATATTCTGACAAGGAAAGGAAACACAGTAGAGTCTGTTTCAGACTGGGTTACTCAGATATGATTTGGTTATGTTGATTATTTCAGATGCATAAAGTTATCACTGGTACATGATTTGGCTGAGTCTATTGTAGGTGACATAGCCCCAGCAGATGGCGTTGATAAAGATGACAAATATAAGAGAGAAAAGGTTAGCATTTGTTTTAATATTTGCTGCAAATTAAAATTTAACCCCTCTTAACCAGTCATTTGCAATCACATCACCTCCACAAGCACAGGTAAGGGCATGAACATGCACCTGGTTTTACCGTTGTCTGTCTGCACCACTAGGTCAATGTAGTGATTTGCCACCAAATGAACCAATTAATATCCAAACAGCAGTACTGTGTCTTTGATATTTCCCATAGGTGGTTGCTAGAGGTGTGGTCTCATTATTGAGTATTATCATTATTTATCTATATTGAATTCATGTTTAGTATCAGCTATGAAATATCTCTTATCTTCATATAGAATTCAGTTGTGTTACTTGGGTGCTAAGAAACCAGGATTTTTGTTGAGCTTAAAATGATTTCTGGTTAGCGTTTGGGACATGACAATAAACTAATGTAACATTCTTTCTTTCATCTGATGTAAGATGTCTGGAAAAGTTTTAGTTTTGCTTTCAAAGCACTAGAAAAATTTGAGTGCATTGTTTTACTGGTAGCTCTTGTTTTGTGTTTTCATAGTATTGATGTATTTTTATATTTATGTTGTTTGGTATGTTTCAGACAGCCATGAGTCATATATCAACTTTAGTGAGTGAAGAAATTGGTTCAGAGCTGATGAGCCTGTGGCTGGTATGGTTTTTGTGTATTTTAGGTTATTTTATTTCAAGTCATACTTACAAGTTTTCGGAAAGTCCTTTGCCATAGTGTATAGTATTTATGTACAGGATTTATGTTGAACATACATTGTTTATAGTATTAAAGTCCAATCTATACAAGCTGTATACAACCTGGCTGTGTACCATATAACCATACACTTTTCCCTTTGCTGCTAAAATTGAGCTTTTTTATATTATTCCCCTTAAAATAACAGTGGTTAGTTTCTAAGGCAAAGCAAGTCTGTAATGGAAATCTAGAAGTATAAAGGTTAAATAGGCATCTTTATAATTATTGGCAAGTTTCCAAGCATTGTAAAATGGATCTTCAAATTACATGTAGTGTTAATTACTTTTTAGTGTACATGCTATTTTGATCTGTACAGAAGCTGCTGTGAAATATGGTATATAAGTGAATGAGCTATCAGGCATTGCTGTAATAAGTTAAGTTGAATACATATGTTATATATGTTATTATATACATGAATATATATGTATTGTTTGTATACAAAGATTTTGCTCAATTTTTGCAGGAATATGAAGAAGAAAAGACTGCGGAAGCTAAGTTTGTAAAAGATCTGGACAAGTTTGATATGATCTTTCAAGCATATGAATATGAACAGTTAGAGAATAAACCAGGCTTTTTACAAGAGTTTTTCGATTCCACAGAAGGTATTAGTAATACTGTGCTTATAAAGAACTCTTTTAGAAACTAAGGGTTACAGGCAATAATTACTGAATTATGTCTGAACTAGCCTGAACATCTTCGTAGACTTATTGAGCGCTACAAATTATTCTGATTCTACCCTGCGGGTAACTCAGATTGCTACACTTTTATATTGAAATATTATATATGTACATGTTAATGGAAATTTGCTAATTTTATAAGAATGAGCTTGCCCTACTTTTAATTTTGAAATGTTCCTTGTTAAAAAGTGAAACCTGTGTTATCCTCTGAATAAAAATCATCCTATAAATAAAGGCAAGTCTGCCAATCCTTTGTTGATTAAAAAAAAAAGGTAACCTCCAAATAAAGCCCACTTGTCTTAAAAGACCATGATCAGTCTCTCCCTTGGATGGCCTTTGTTTAAATCTAAGATAAATACTGATTATCGTGCAGGTGACAGTATAGAACCTGGACTCTCTGACTCTGTACTGATGTTCAAGCTGTCCTGGCTGGACAGTAAATTCTGAGTAATTGTTCGATTTATAAAAACAAAAAGCTACATAAGTCTTCTTATACTGCCTCTGCAAGTTTTGTAATGTATTCTGGAGACTGAGGGTAACTGAAAGAAATCTGGCTGATTTGACATGTTGTTCTTGGGCGTCTGTTGTCTTATTGGATAAATTTTTATTGCCAATATTTGAACATACTGCTTTACTTTACCTGGCTATAAGTTATATCATTTATGAGATGAGGAACTTAAACTTGCAGTGTTTTTTCTTTGGCTGTCATTTGAGATGTTGTGAATATATACTTTGATTGTTAAAAATGTGTGACAATAAGAATGAGTGCTCCACTTTTAATAATGATTTCACATCTATATTAACTTAATCAAATCACTTCTTCTTACAATATAGTACAGACACATTCTGGCATATACAGTAAAACATGTTCCACTCCAGGCAAATTTTGTGTCATGATTTAAAGAGGTTAAGGCAGCTGGCTTTGAGTGACTTATGCCGTACAACCATGGGTTTAAATCTATTCAAGAGCATTGAATTCTTCAAGTGTATAGTAAGCTTTCAGATTTAAATGTGATAATCATAATTATAAGCTTACGGAAGGTCTATGGTTCTACTAAGGTGCAGGGAACAATGCAAGAGGGATTTCCCCAACTATTAAACAAAGTTGCCATAATTATGATACAAGGTGTACAAAACAAAACATTGATTGTTACATGTCTTTCATTTCAGGCAAATTTCGAACAGAAACAGTTCAGACCTGGGTAACAGAATTAGATAGATTAAGGAATCAGTCTTCTCCATTAAGGGGTCACTCAAGTCCTCACACAAGAGATTTTGGCCAGTCATCGTCAAAAAGAGAATCGGCCAGAGTGAAGCCTTTTATACACGGAGAATAGCATAGATTGATATTTATTGTGATTACTTAAAAATCTTGTGGAATTATTTATATAATTCTAAAGGACAGAAGAGTAGAACATGGCTGGGAGTATGATTTATGGTTGCTAAGCAACAAGACAAGCAATAATCAGTCCATGAAAGGAGCATTGTGATCTACTGGTAATCAGTCAGAATTTGTTTTAAAGAACTGATTTTAGAGGTTATTTGTTAATAGTATGATTATACAATGATAATTATGTCCTTTTTTTAAAATAAATGTTTTTGATACGTTTTGGGGAATTGTTGAAATCTTAAATAGACAGTCTAACTTTGAAAAGGTTATATTTTTTCTAGCAGCTTTTTTTTCTATTAAAAGGAACCGGGATATTGAAAAGGGTTTATATAAAAAATGAAAAATTTTGGGTTGTTGTTCATAAATTTTATTGTAAACATCCCCTTGCACAATTCAAAATGGGAAAATTTTTAAAGGAAAAAAAAAAAGAAGAAAAAAAGCAGATTCATAATGGCTGAGCTGGAGAGCCAATCAAAATTTCCAATCTCATAATAGCCAAATTTTCTACTAAAAGCCGTACTTAATTCTGCATAATGGCCTTGTTTTATGTTCATAATGTCGTAATGAACTTCATATTAGCCTTACATTTGAAGTGAAAACGTGCCTAATATTGTAAAGTTAACTAATAATCCGTTGTAAAAGTCTCAATCTGATAAAGGAGGTTCCCTGTATTATAAATTCGTGATAAAGGTTCTTTTCAGGTTACTGAATTATTGAAGCATTCGAGTGTCATTATTTGTCCCTTCATGTACACTGTATATCCAGTAACACAGGAATATGAAAATAACATCGATATCTTGCAAACGTAACGCCGAGTCACCTAAAAGCTATGACCGAAACCATTAACACGACAATTATAATATACTTGTAGTAGATTATATTTAAAGAAATTAATTAGCGCATACGGCTGCTTTTAACTAGCATTACAAATATTTTTTTTAAATGTGTTTATCTTTAAAGATCAATCGTTAGAAGACGACCAAACTACCGTTCTGCAGCCTGCAGTTTCGTCAATAATTGATATATACAATAACGCAATTTTAAGTCATAATTTGTCCCGGTCATGAAAACAATGGATATCCAGTAACACAGGAATATGAAAATAAAATCTTTCTCTTGCAAACGTAACACCGAGTCACCTAAAAGTTATGACCGAAACCAGTAACATGGCAATTATAAACGGACCAAAATATATTATACTTGTAGTTAAAGAAATTATTTAGCGCATACGACTGCTTTTAACTAGCATTACAAATATTTTTTTAAATGTGTTTATCTTTAAAGATCAATCGTTAGAAGACGACCTAACTACCGTTCTGCAGCCTGCAGTTTCGTTAATAATTGATATATACAATAACGCAATTTTAAGGTTTTTTTTTTTTTTTTTTTTTTTGATATTCGGTGTACGTATATATAAGACATGTACCAAACAACATGTCATAAAAAGTAAAAAGAACGATTTATAAAAAATACATGTCCTATATAGGAAGCTAGGAGCTGCACGAGATTGTGCCTGAGTTTCTCAAATAATCGTGAGAGATTTGGCATTTTACATTACCTCTTGAACAGACTAGATCTTGAAAAGTTTGCAATTTTCATATGATATTGGTGTTTCATTGCTTCAGAGGGACCCCCTTCCTTTCCTGATTTTGTTAGCTCGACTATTCGATAAGAATAAGTAGAGCTATTGTAGTCACCCGAGCGTCGGCGTCTGCGTCGGCGTAACCACTTATGTTTAAGTTTTTGTAATAGTTTAAATATTTTCAAAGTCCATTGACATATGGCTTTGAAACTTTGCACACTTGTTCACCATCATTACCCAACCTGTAAACAGGAGGAGGTAATTGTATCAAGCATTTTTTTTACTATCAAGCACTAAGAATAGTCGAGCATTGCTGTCCTACCGACAGCTCTTGTTAACATACTTGAATATTTCATTGACTTTATATTTGAAATAATGCCCTGTCGCCAACTCGCTATATATTTTAGAAGTGCGAATGTGTCTTTTTCCGAAAGATGAGTATATTGTCAAAAACTGACAAATTATCAAGACATTTGTACATAGTAAAGAACCTACTCTCCTGCGCATCGGTCGAATGTTCCACTATCGCTCACTTCTTAAGTCTGAAGTAACGGGAGTGTATTCAGTAAGCTGCGATGGGGGCGTATAAAGAACCGTACTGATGCAAGACATAGTGTCAAAATACATACATGTAGTATGCAATCTGCTTTACATGCCCATTATAATGAGACTTCATTGCTTTAAAATGACACTCTAAATTTTTATATCGAGGTATGTAAAACATATTAATTTGTACCATAGTGGGGACCTTTCTGAGAGTTAAATCGTATACCTGTACGTGCACAGTGCATTAACTGGAGAGCAAGTATAATTAAGTAACCCGCATTCCAGAGCATGCCCATTGATTGACACATTTTTGCTGGGGTTTAAACTTATAGTGACGGAAGAGAAAGGGAAAGCGACAGAAATATCATATTCAGATGCTCGTTCATTGGTTACCTTTTTGTGACAACAGGGAACGTGTTTTTATGTTTGACTATGATACAAAAAGAGAAAGAACATCAAAACACTCGGCAATCTGATTTAATACTCGGGACTACGCACCCCCACCCCCTTCGTACAAATCAGATAGCCTCGTGTTTCGATGCTCTTTCTATTACAAAGTGAGTCGACTGATAGATAGCCAGCCTAGCTATCTATATTTCTTTATTTTGGTTTGTTTAACTTTGCAAGAACAACCACGCCGTATTACCGGCGGCAGTGATGGCAGATCACTGCAGTGATGGCATATATCTGAAAATTACCGATCGACACAGGTAGGTTATAAATTGGCTGTGACTAAAAAAAGGATTGGAGCACCACACTAAATACCGTATTCCGGTATATACCGGACAAGGCGCTCGAATGATAAAATGCTAAAATCTTGTCTTTTAACCCAACGGAATGAACTTTAACAGGTCTAATTCATCTTTTCACACCGAATCAAGTACGATAATCAAGGAAAAATGTAAAATTCGGCGAAAAAAACGATATTTGTCTATTTTGTGATCATGAGTTCTGCAAGCGTCTAGAGGTACTGCTCCAATCCTGTATTGAGCTAAATCCTTATAAATTTGGTTGGTTTAATTATATTACACAAATACGGCCCATTTCATTGCTACAACGGCAGCATTTTTTCTTCGACCGGACAAGATTGAGCGTCTGTAAAACTTCCAAGAAAAGACTCAAGGGGTAGATATTTGGCATGCGTGACCCCAATGGATGAACGTCTATATTGATAACAGAAAATCCTGCCATTTACTTAAAACTTGAGATGTTATGAACAGAAAACAGACATTTTCACGGATTTTTCCGAGGCTGTCACTTTTAACCTGCTCAAAATAGTCTTAAAACAGGAAAAAACGAGTCCAAAATTACCTTACAGTATCTCCATTCAATGGACAATAGTTTTATAGCAACGATATGGGCCGTATTTGTGTAATATAATTAAACCAACCAAATTTATAACCTACGTACCTGTACCGATCGGTTAATTTTCAGATATCTGCCATCACTGCAGTGCTCTGCCATCACTGCCGCCGGTAATACGGTGTGACAACGCAGTGCTCAAAATAAGAAAACATTAGGCACTGAGAATTGAAAAGTGCTTCAAAAGACAATCATATTCGTATTTGGAATAATTTAAGACATCAAAGAAATTATATTCTGAACTACGACGCTGAAGCACGTAAAGACCTTAAAATTACGCTATTTAATTATGGGATCTATAGATCAATACATGCATATAACGTACAGTACGATTTTAGTAGGTCTGTATATAACTCTAATTAAAGGCGGTCGCCCTCGGACTAACTTGTAAAGTATTTCAGGGTCTTTCAAAGCTATGATCTATTATATGAGGAGAAAACCAAAATAATATTTACATTAATTAAACAAGTTACTAGTTGAAAATATAACATTTTTGACACGAAGCCATTTTTATAAGTATTCAATCTGATTAAAATAGGTTCGCCAGGCTGACGTGATGATACGTGTACACGGGGTCTTTTTACACCAGCACAGACCGTAATTGGCAGGCCATCTAGAAACATAGAAACACTTGTTCACCAAGGGAAGTAACTATGTAAAGTTTCATTTTAAGCTAAGCGAGAGTTATTAGACGTTCTCTACAATTTCTTTAAACTTTTGATTTTGTATGCTTGAGGGTTTAATTTTCTATGAAAAGAAAGTAACAGGTGTATCAATTAGTATTTATATCTATGGTACACTGAAAATAATCATATGTCAAGTAAGATATAAAAAAAGATATTTATTATTAATTTGTTCCCCTCTAATTCGTAAGCATCGGTGGTTCAGTGGTAGAATGCTCGCCTGCCACGCGGGCGGCCCGGGTTCGATTCCCGGCCGATGCACATTTTTTTTTATTTTATAAATATGTAAAGAATGCTATTTTTTATTATTTTGCACTGGGTTTTATAGCATAAATAGGTTTCTGGTCCACTTTAAAGGAACTCCACTGAGGTCAAACAGCTTGTAACATAAAATTTGAAATTTTTTAACAAATGATAAATATGTAATATACTCAGAAATAAATTGAAAATCTTATTTTTGTGCTATTCTTAGCCCGACTTGAGTGAAAAGCAAAGCAACGCTTTTCAATTTTGGGTCATTTTTCACAATAATAAGTTACAAATATATCTTACCCGACATGTGATTTTTTTTTATATTTTTGGTTCCAGGAATAGTCAAGTTATTGAAATTATATAGATGTTATAGAATGATATTGAATATTATAAAAGTTTTTTAAAAGTTGAAACTTCCATGAAATGGAACATTAATTTTCAAAATATTATTTCCAGCCTCGTCATGTAAAAAAATACTCAGTGGGATCCCTTTAATCATATTATACACTAGGGGTAAAGTTTTAAGTCCAGTCAAACCCATCTTAAAGACCACCTCTGAATAAACAATACCTTATCAAGGCCAATCTCTGACAATCCTTCATATCATAAAAAGAACAAGGTAACATCCAATTTGTCTATGAAGACCATGTACAGTCTCTCCATTTTTTCACAGGTTTGACTGTTTTTGTTTGGCTGTTATTTCTTTTCTTTTACAGTACATTCTGCAGGGAAGAAAACTAGCTAGAATTAATGACAAAAGAATCTTTGGAATTTTACATGCAATTTTAATCTCATTTCAACAAGTAATAATTTAATATCTTCTAATAAACATGAATCAATTTTAATGCTGTTGGAAAGTCAAAGTAACTTTAACAATGGTAAATTGAAACTCACAAAATGAAATCCAATATTGGAATATATATAAACCAAAAAAAATATATATATATTAAAAGACATTAAGCTTATGTTCTTCACAGTGTCAAGTTGAGCTGAATTCAAAAGATTGTCTGTTATTATGAAGGATTAATTGACAAACATTTAATATTATGGAAAAATCCAGCAGTTACTGTTAATATAACACAAACTAGAATGGCTAAAATTTTTAATATATCTCTTGTATGTTTTTAAATCATGCAAATGCTCATTTCAATATACAAGAGTTTTTTTAATAACTTAAAGGGAAGAAATCTAAATGGGCCCACTGTAAGACTTCAACACAAGCAATCAGTGATCACATGTGTCACCAGATGATAGCAATTGTATTTGGGGCCGTTTGAATTGTTTGTTCCATATATACTGCAGCTACTTTGTAGTATGTTGTAGCTAATGTGTAGCAGCAACAAAATTCATTACCCCTAAACCGCCTTTTTTTCACGTGCCATAACTCGGCCAAAAAACATTTAACCTGAAAACCCAGTAAATAGGTACTTCTAATAGAACTTGAGGTAACATTATCAATCCTATACAGTTATAGGAATAAGATTTATAAGAGGAATATCTATATGTATTAATTTTGATGAAAATATACCCTAACAATGACAGTTCTTAGAAATGTCCAATAGCATGGACTCATACTGGCAAATTCATCCCTAAATCTACAAAAGTAGAACTTGAAAATTTTGTTAAAAGATTATTCCATTCTGTTAATGATACATAATTCATGTGCATTGAATAGAAGAGACACCTTTTGATTAAAACATTAATCTCAAGATATCTGCATGGGAATATAAAAACAATATGATTACAGGTACAAAATTTATGAAATTTTATAGAAAAATTTGCCTGTTACATTCACAGCTTTTATACCCTATTTAACAAACTAATATTTTTTTCAAAGACAAGTAACATTACATTATAATATAACATTTATGTTTATTTTTAGTGTATTTGCCCTGCTTAAAATTTAGAAATGTCCCTTTGAAAACACAGGTGCTAGGGGCATTGATTTGACCTAAAATGTGTTTGACCTTGTTATTTATACAATAAAATATCAATATATTAAAAAAAAAAAAAAAAAAAAAAAAAAAAATTCAATGTTATATTATTGTCTATAATAATATAACAGTGAAAAAAAATTTTTTTCTAATTTTTTTTTTTTAATATATCGATATTTTTTTGTATATTTAAAATAACAAGGTCAAACACTTTTAGGTAAAAAAAAAAATCTTTCTATTTTTTTTTTAATATATTGATTTTTATTGTATAAATAACAAGGTCAAACACATTTTAGGTCAAATCAATGCCACTTGCACCTGTGTTTGAAAATGAACAGATTTCAGTATCAAATACAAAAGTTTAGCAAAACCAACAGTATAGAGCCTGGTTCCCTGCCTACATTTATCCTATAATGCAGTTAAACTGTTTTAGGGGAATGAACTCAAGACTAGGTCAGACTGTGGTACATCAGAGGTTTATCATTTTCTGTTACAGCAGGTTTAAAGTTAACATATTTACACACATGTAACTATATAATTTGATGATAAAGGTACATTCAGAAAATTTACACATAGATTGTCCCTCCTTTGACAAGTGCTTTAGTGTGACTATTTCTTTGTAAAGCAATACACCTCAAGAAGTTACAGTTATACTTATGAATATTATATAAAGTTTACATATTGTCAATTTACAAATTACAGTTAAACCTGTCATAAAGACCACCTCAAAATTAAGAAAACCCTGTAAAAAAGGACCAAACCTTCAAATACAATAGTAAACCCTGAAGAAGGACCGCTTGTCTATAAAGGCCATGTATTGTCTCCTCTGGATGGCTTTTATTCCCAGATTTCACTGTGATTTTTTAAGGCACTTACTATTTACAGAAATCACCTGATGCCTTATATGCAGACATTTTTCTTACTATCTTAGTAATGGGGTAAAATATAAGTGATCAACTTAGTAAAATCAGTTCAATTTTGTATAATAAATTCAAAGATTGACCTTGATTGTGATTTTTTACAATTCTCGAATAAGAAATACATGTACATATATATAATTTTATATTTCTAAAGTTTGAATGTTGAAGAATTATTTTCCTAATCAGGCATTGTGCCGCTTAAAAGTAAATCTATTCAATTTCATCAGAACATGTAACATCCTGTGAATATACCATTGGTGCTTGAATATTTGGATCCCCTCCTTCAAGGGAGATTTCTGGAAGCGAGGCCAGCTTTTCAGCTTCATTCTGTCCAATATTAGGATCCTCAACAGCAAAACTAGACTCCTCATCCTGACTGCCTTCCTCCTGTTCAATAACATCATTATTTGTGTCCACAACAACTGTTTGAATCTCACTGTTTTGATCTAATTCTGTAGCATGATAGACATCGCTCGATTCAAATACCGTCTGATTTAACGCCATTATCTCCCCTTGTTGATTCTGATTAAGCTGAATTATTTGACTATGATTTTCGTTAAATTTGAGCAATTTTTCTTGCTGTTCCTCATTTAACTGTATGTTCCCGTGCTGATCTTGATGAACCTGTATTACCTCCCCCTGTAAGTCCTGCGAGTCCGGGTCAATTATCTGTAATATTACAATCTGACTGTTGCCATTCTCCAACCCCTCGAGAGTCTGCTGCGAACTGCCTGGTATTCCATTTATACTCACAGCAGACACAGTAGTGCTACTCTCAAGAACTTGGCCATTTTCATTAGTTTGACCTTCTAATATATAACTATCTTGAGGAATGATTACCTGCCCCTGATCTTGAATTTGACTACCACCTTGATTAGCATAAACACCATTCTCGGTCTGTATGAAAAGACCTTTCTCTTTTAAAAGTTGTAACTGTTGAGGGGTTGCACACCCATAAGTTAATCTATGCAATGCTTCTGCTTCCTCTAGAGAAAGCAATTCTGTTGGTTCCTCGGGTGGTTGAATTTGTATATTGTCCGTGGTTTTCTCATTAAGAGCAATACATTTTGTTTCTACTGTGCTCCCTTGATCTGTTGTTGGATCAAAGACTTCACTGACATGTTTTAACAAGTTATCAATGTATCCTTGCCTATAAAGAAATTCTGTGTATTCAGGATGTTTTCTTTTATAATGACGTATTAAGGTGTGTCGGTGACCACACCGGGCCGCGCAAATACCGCACACGAAAATATAACCACTATGATAGATCTGAAGATGTTTCTTTAAGTCATAAGTACGTACAAACTCCTTATCACAATGGGAGCACTTTATCTTCGGCAATAACTTATGTTCAATCTTATGACGACTCAGCTGGTCAGGATACTTAAAAGTTTTAGCGCAAGTATCACACTTAAAGATACGCTCCTTCATGTGAGAATACATGTGCGTTTTCATGTTTCCTCTCTGTTTAAATACTTTCCTGCATTTTGTACAAGGATAAACCTCTGCATTCTTTGAATGAAAGATCCTTGTATGCGCAATGAGTCCTGTTTTAGATTTAAGCAGACGTCCACATTCGTTACATTGGTATTTGAATATTTTGTAATGAACACATGTTATGTGCTCCTTGAGATATACATCCAGATGAAAGAATTTATCACAATGTGGGCATCCAAATTTTTTCTCCCCATGCAATATCATGTGTTTAGTGAGATTACTTTTACTTGAGAAAGATTTTCCACAAGATGGACAAATCTCTTTGACATTATTTATGCTAACAATTTCAGCTTCTATTCCCTCAGTAGCTTCTACAATACAATTGTGATCTTTGGCCATACCTTTGGATCTAAACTGTTCATTACAGGCGGAACACTGGTATCTCATACAACCATTCTCCTTTATATGTTTCTCCAGGTTAGACTGGTTTTTGAATGTCTTTAAGCAGACATTGCAAACAGCATCAGTCAAAACTTCACAGTCGTGGCTATTCAGAGTGCCAATACGTAAAAACCTTTTATTGCATTTATCGCATTGAAATGGATGAGTATGGGACAGGAAATGATTCCGGAATACTTTTGTGTTTGAAAAAGTCTCAAAACAAATGGAACATTTACCTGCTCCATAAAGTCTAATCCCTTCCAATGTTTCACATAATCCCTTATGACCATCTAGTTCCTCTTTCGACAAAAAGCTCTTCCCACACCGTTCACATGAATTGTGATTATCATGTAGCTGCTGATGTTGTTTTAAGTAATATAATGACTGAAAGGTTTTAGAGCATCGCCCACAAGAGTATTTTGCCGAATCATCCAGTTCGAATATTTTACACGTATGCAATTCAAGGTCGGACTGAGACACAAATATTTTTGAGCAATTTTTACATTGAACAGATTTACATTTTTCTGTATGTCTGCGCTTTCCTGACTCTTTAGAAAATACCCGTAAACACACCTCGCAGTAAAATATTTTGTACTTTTCAGCAAGAGATGGACAACACTTAAGTATATGTTTCTGCATGGAATCCTTCCGTGAGAAAGTTTTGCTGCATTGTTCACACTGAAACACATCTGTGTGTATAACTAAATGACGATAAAGATACTGGGCCGTCTTAAAAGCTTGCTTGCAAATATCACACACAAATTCTGCTGCATCTTTAGCCTTTGTAACATCATCAGAGTACAATGTGTCAACATTACTTGCAGTACACTCCTTCCGATGCTGAAGAAGAGCCTCAATACTATCAAAGCTAACATGGCAAGTTTTACAGTTCACCGTTCCTGTCTTATCATGCTGCATAAAATGAGATATAGCATCTAATTCATTTGTAAACCTTTCATCGCAAACTGCACATCCATAGCTACCATCATCAGTCTCTTCGAACATAACTACAACTGAACCCTTCTCTTCAGTTTCTACTGGCACTTTGACTTCAGCTCTTTTTTCTGCTAAACTTTCATCCACAGCTGTATCTTGCCTAACAACAGTCTCGTTTTCACAACTTTTTACCTTATAAGATTCATCAAGACCTTCAACAACATTTTCACCATCTTTAAGTTGATCTTCATCAATGGCCTCAAATTCATTGATTTTATCAGTGACTGCCAATGCTTTATTAACATTTTCATTAATTTCGACTGACAAGCCCTGTTTTTCAGAAGCTTCGGTCTTGGCCATGTCCTCCGAGTCATTACTTCTATTATTTTCAGCAATATTCACATTTTCATCCTCTTTGTCTGCTTCACTCTGAGACCAATCAGTATTATCACTTTCATTTTCAGGATGAGAATCTTTTTTAACTGCTTCATCATTACCTTTGTTTTCATCATCCTTATTTTGTTCATCTTTGTCCTTGGATTTAAGTGCTAGAATACTCTCTTGTACAACCTCTTTACTTAAAGTTCCTACTGGTTCTTTTTCTACTGGAGTACTTTCCGGTTTGTCTGGAATTTTCTTAGGCCTTCCTCTCCCCTTTTTAGCATTAACATCACCTTCAATGGCTGTTACCTTACCTACAGCCCTGCCATCTGCTCTAGAGATATTATTCATTACTTTGATTTCCTTGTCATTACTACTAAATGAATCATAAGGCTCTTCTTTTATCTCCTTTTTCACAATATGATACACAAAATCTTCATCATATTTACTGTGTTTCCCACGATTGCTTCGCTTCGGCATCACCCTGGTTCCCGACACAGTCACATCAACCTTCGGGGTATATTCTTTATCTTTCATCGTGTAATCAGTTCCACCCATCACCTTATCAGCAAAGTCATCCTCATCATCGCCATCTTCATAATTTTTAGCATAATCCTCATCATTTGCTTCAAGTTTTCTCTTTCTGCTGTACGTTTTTATAGGCTTTCTAAAATGTAACATTGCCTCTTCTCTATTTACTATGACACTGGATTTTTTTGGCTTACTTAATCCACTTGGTCTTACTGTAAAAAAAAAAGAAATCAAACTTTTAAACTTCTTTTAAAGTTTTAAACTCTTCAAATCAAAAAATATATATATATTTATGCAAAAATTATCACAACTTCTTGTAAAGCATATTACACAGAACAGAACTTGACCATTTAAAGTCTTTTGTTTGCCCATTATGGTAATTAAACAATAATCTGTCCTAATTCTAATAACATTTTTCACAAATATAAATATATAAAATAAATTCAGTCAGTGTGTTTGTGGTGTCTTGACTTGTATTATACATGCACATGTAATATAAAGGAAGCAGTGTTTTTTTTTCACTTTTAGTTGAATATTAGAAGGGCCAATGGAGAGGGAAAAATTGTGTCGTGGACAGGAAAACAAGGAGGTTAGAAATGGATAAAACTGTTCTCTTTTTTTTATCAATTTGTGATATGGTACCATTATTTTTATATCCTACTCTCTCACTATTGTGATGAAAAATAAATACATAAAGATACAGGGGACAAAAAACAAAAAAAATATATACTTATTGGGGAGGAAAATTGTGCCGAATTCCGGCCCCAAATCAATTGGCCACTGTGAAGGTATGTATATAAAACTTGTATTACATAGATCATGCAAGTGTCACGTGTATTGTAAATATTCTGTTTAATTTTTTTTATTATTTTGGGTTTTATTTCTTGAAATATTGAAATAACTTAATGCAGATAATAGCTCTGATATTGAAATACAAAAAAATTAACATTTTCTGTCATGTAATAATATAGAAACTACTTGCAACAGTGACTTTCTGACCTACAGAAGCATAACTAGCTTTCAACAGTGTTCATTTTCCCCTGAATTCAAATCTAAGCATAATTATGTTGTTTTGTAACCTTATGGTCGTTTCTCGAAAGATTTGTAACACAGAATTTCTATGTAATTCAACATTATATGAACAATTTACATAGAAAAAATAAAATGTTCTTGAACAAAATAATCTGCTGCTATTTTTAGTAGGTTTGGCAAAGATTTCAAGTATGTCCCACTCACTTTCAGTAAATTACATTGACAAATTTCTTTCATTCTGTAATCATTTTAATCATTATATTAACAAACAATCATCATCACAGCAAATATACAGCTTATACGCTTTAAATAGAAGAAATGTATTTCAAAGTATATATTACCATCTACATTGTATTTACGTGGTCGACCTCTCCCTCGTCTAGGTGTGTCCGATGATGTCAACACATGTTCTCGAAGATGATGCACCATCTCTGTTTGCGTCTCAAATGTATTTCCACATCTGGGACAGTAAAACGCTTTCCTGATTTCACCAGTTGGTCGACCTGTGTTAGCTGTCTGAAATGATTACAATACAACAAAGTGTTACTCCAAACTTTTTTTTAGAAATCAAGTTGTTTTGTGATGAAATCTTGACACATATTTTGGAAGTTGCTTGACTGGTTTTTACGTCACACTGACACATTAAAGGTCATATTGGGACGTTCCAGCTTCACTGGTGGAGGAAAACCTCCTCGACATTTGTTTGAAGTAACCTTAATTCCCATACCTGAAACTATACACTTTTGTAAAATAAAAATCACTATTCTTGAAATGTGGAGTGAGTAACCGATTGGAAATTTTGCTTACAAACTGTTTGGCCGGTATACTACAAAGAAGGCAGTAAATATTATATACAAGAGACCGGTTTGAGCCGGGTGATGCCCCCCGAATAGGTTTTGGACACAGGAAAGTACACCTCTTGTAGTTTCAAAGTTATGTCCCTCGAAAAAGTTCAAAGTGCAATACTTCCAAAATTAGGTAAGGCAGAGTTACTGTTCTTTGCACTGCACTTCTAATCAATGTGATCTATCAACCTACAAAGTTTCTTGATGATATCTCTTATGATTTCCAAGTTATGTCCCGGACAATTTCAAAAAGTAAAAATAAATAAAGGGCAATAACTCCACAATAAGGCAAGGCAGAGTTATGATTCTTGTTGACTGCACATCTAACCATTGAGATATATCTACCTACAAAGTTTCATGTTGATATCTCTTATAGTTTTACAGCTATGTCCTGGACAAGATTTTTCTAAAAAGGGAGATAATTCAAAAATGAGGCTTAACAGAGTTATGGTTCTTTTGCACTGCACCTCTACTCAATGAGATCTATCTATCTACAATGTTTCATCTTGATATCTCTTATAGTTTTAGAGTTATGTTTCGGACAAAGTTTAAAGTGTTAAAATTAACAAAGGGCAATAACTCCAAAATTAGGACAAAAAGAGTTATTGTTCTTATGCACTGCACATCTACCCATTGAGATCTATTCACCTACAAAGTTTCATGTTGATATCTCTTATAGTTTTAGAGTTATGCCCCGGACAATATTTTTCTATAAGGGGAGATAATTATATAACCGGGCAAAATAGAGTTATGGTTCTTTGACACTGCACTTCCTCTCAATGCCCTCTACCACTGTATGAAGTTTCAACAAATTATCTCCAATGGTTTTCAAGTTATGCTCCGGACAAGACAACGGACGGACAGACGGACAGAGAACAAGGCGCCGACTATATGCTCCCCCGAAATTTTTCAGGGAGCATAAAAAACAAGAGGTGTCTATAGGACAAATGGGCATAAATATGCTTAAAAGCAAATCAGAGTTTTGGGACTTGTGCTAATCATGTTAGATAATCACAGAAACAAATGTGTGAAGTTTCAATGCATTCCCCTCAGCACTTTTGGAGATACCAGCTTGCACACAAAAACTTAACCGAAGTGTGATGCCAAGCTTTGGCAAGTACAATAGCTCTCCCAATTCATTGAATTTCTTGCGTGTCTATGACGTGTTTTAATGTCTTTAATTCACTTGATAGATATATAAGGAGCATTTTTCAAAATAACTTTGTTTTTTTTATGTCGTTGAAATTTCTGTCTCTGTAGATTTATACTGTACAGTAACTTCTACAGAGTTGCTTCCCTTATGTGTATACAAAGTACACTAGAATCAAGAAGCAAGTTTTATTTTCATTTTCTTGGAATCAATTTGTCATATTTTTTTCCATTAAATTTCAATAAAACTGTGTTTAAACAAAGAACGCTTAAGTTCTCATCATGAAATCAAGCAATTTGTGCTTAAACTTACTTTTACATGTACAGCTTGTTGTTTTGATGACAAAAAATGTGAAGTCATTGTTTCAGTTTGTGCACATACTCATGTTCAGCGGGCCGATTATGATTATATAAGTTTCCCACCCTCGGCCACAAACCCATAATCTGTCATGTGACACTCATAATAAGTTGAAATCATAATAGGCAATTTGGTTGTTTAAAATAGTTACAAGGGTATTAAAAACAGTATCTAACCTACCTGAACGTTGTCTACAGCTGGTTGTTCCACGCTTCCATTTACATCTTCTGCCTCATATACAGAGGACCCTTCATCAAGGAGAAGGTCAGAGGTCAATGGCTCTATCCTATGTCCCAGTAACACTGAAATGTGATATAAGACAATGATCTGAGGTGGTTCATCAAAATTATATTTCTTTGCACCTTATTTGTATCAACTTTTTATCCAACAGTCATAAATTGACAGTTCAGAATGCTGTGACTATACCATAGCAAAAACCAGAACTTACATTGTGCTCAATATAGTGTCAGGATAAATCTACGATGAAAAGAAAAAGATTAAGATTTTATTTTGATCTTGCCCCTACATTCTTTTTAACCAAAGACGATATTCATGCATAATTTAGTGGCCTTTAGAACAACAAAAGCTTTTCTTTGAATCTGATCAAAACATAGATGAAACAAAAATTACAATTGTTTGAAGAAAATTCAATCAAAACTATGATATCAAGTGCATTAACAAGGTTAACTTTAGATGTGAACTAATGTCACCCGGTTCTTTTTACCAAAAATGTTGATATTGATATTAAGCATCAAGACTGACATTGTGGTCCAGTTCCATTTTATATCTAGAAATGAAAACAATATAAAAGTCTCTAACCTTGTCTCTAGGTTTAACTTGTCTTAGATTTAATTGTGAAATTCTGATCAACTTTTGACTTTTTTCCTGTTCATAATTTCTAAGTGTAGATTCAGTATGGCAAACAAAATGGGAAAATCAACAAGCACTCTCATCAGAACCTCTAGCATCCCACTCTTTTTTACAATGAGAAAAAGTTATTTAAACCTAAATAAAGCCCTCCTATATCATACCTCTGGTCATCCCATCCGGTTCTGGTGGCTTTCCGAGCTTTCTTGCAAAGTGGGGAGCATACCATACCAATAACTCTTCTCCAGGAGTTATCTCCCTTGTCGAGTTGTAGAAGATGTTATTACCGAGCTGATATGCGATGCAGTTTTTGTTACTTTCCAATGTGGCTGCTCGTATCAAACAAAGCCAGTTACATTCATTCTCATCAGTGGTATCTAGACAGACTGTGGTTCCATCTTTAGCTATTAGCTATAATATTGGAAATATGCAATCAATTTAAACAAACTCCAATGGGGTCCAAAAGGCCTAAAAACTAAAACTTTGAAAATCTTACATATACTGTGGCACATAAAATGTAAAAATGCTATTAAAAATTATATAGAAATAAACTTAGATGATAAATTGAAAATTGACATTTAATTAAGTTAAAAGAATTTAAATGCATCCCATATTTAGGTCATTTTTTTACACAACAGAAATGATTATTCTGGAAAAATGGAGCAAGCAAATGATATGAAATGTTGCTCACAAGTTATTGGTATAACCCTATATCATGTGGTATAAACATCTTTAAAAAAAAATATTTCCAGTCCTGTCATATAAAAAATCTCAGTGGAGCCCCTTAAATAAAACCTTCAAACCTTCATGCTATAATTCATGAGTGTTGTTTGTTTTACTTGGTTATCAGTCACACCCAAACTTCAAAGGTTACATGGAAATTTACCAGCTTTTCTTTTGGTATAAAAATTAGGTATCCCTTTGTGCATTATTTTAGTCTTAAACTGGCACCTAAGTAGAACCATCAACCTTCTGCAAGGTGTAAGCTATATGTAACTATTGTAGTTAGAAAGCTTCTCCGCATATAAGTATAGAAACCCTGACAGGATTCTACTCTCAGGGGAGACAATCAAGTAATTAGATAATAGCAACCATAATCACTAAACACACTGAAGCCCATCATATTCATGACTCAAATATGTTATATATGAATAATGCCTGTCACCAACATGCTTAATGCAGCACCCCCCCCCCCCCCCCCCCAAGCAGAAAACTGAAAGTCTACCATTGTACAAATTTTCAAAATCTCCTAAAGTGGGAACAAACTTAAATTTGGGTTATTTAGATTGAAGACAGGCTGAATTACCTTTAATGTAAAGAATCCAGAATCATCAAATATATGAGTAGTCCTCTTAGCCTCATACGGTCCAAGCTGTGTTTTATTGGCTATTGTTTCCTTGGCAACCACGCCCACTAAACCACACCCATTATCAACAACCTGTACAAACCCTGGCAATGTTAACCTTGCCCTGTAAATGCAAAACTTGTCATAATATATTTCAATACAAATAACACAGATCATAGTTGCTAATATTGACCTTTTGTGTAAATTTAAAAATCATGATATGAGTTTTCGAAGTTGATAGAGAAAGTCAAAATCCATTCAAGTAAAACCATGACTGGAATTTATTAAGTTCATAAAGTCTAGATCCATTCTAGAATAATGGATTTTTTAGTTTTGTTTTATTCAGTTCATATATATTAACTTTAAAAATACTGTAACAAAAGCTTGTGAATATTTGGACCACTCTCAAGACAACATGCACTTCCTGGAACTAACCTGTGCTGGTGCTATATGAGAACTCATGGTCATGGGTTTTGGACATAAACCTATAATCATGACTGTGATAACACTTAAATGATATTTTAGATGAAAGAAAAAATCTTCCTGGCATGCAAATTTCTGTATTCACAACCATTTTTTAAATCAATAAAATCTATGCTCTAGTTTCATCCCTTGATATTGATCTACAAAATCAATTAACATCATACAGATGTGTACGTGTTAAGTATCAAGTTAATACCTCATAAGTAAATTAGACTTAACTTTGCGCATTAAACATTACCCTTATGGAAACACTCAAGTTGAGTATACTAGCCTCACTGACTGCTTTGTAAAAACATGTAGTTAACTTAAAAATCAGCTAGACTCCATCCTGGTATGGTATTAAAATATCATCATACTTGAGATAGAAACTTCCTTAAAGATCGATACATATAGAAATGTGGGCAATTCTCACATTAAAATGACATCATAATTTCTTGATGGTAAAAAAAAATGTACACATAAAAATTAAATACAATAATAAGCATATTGATAGTTTGCTATATACCATTGGGTTGGCATAATGTCACTTTAAGCTGGAACCAAAATACTCTCAAAAACTAAAAGTTCAGCTATACAATGTATAAATCCTCCTTGTCCTATGAAATAATCTATATCACATTATCACATACCTTGTTGATAGTTGATCCAACTCTGTCTGGGCAATGTTTAGACCAAGCTCTGGGCATAGTTCTGTTGAATGGCCTTCGCCACATATGTCACAGCCTGGGAAACAGAACACGAAAAAATAAATGCAAAGTAACAAAAAAAAAAAAAATAAACTGACTGAACTTTAGAGGCATACAAAGTAAGTGGGAGTTCCACTTGTAAATTAGGTCTACTATCTTTTTTGTAGATCACTAAAGGTAGGTCAAGTTGGCATGATTATTTTTCAAAAATGCTGAATGAAATCAAAGGTGGTCAACCAATTATAAATAATTATTCCAAGATCTAAGAAATATAATGGAGGAAATTGAATGAGTGTAGTTTTTCTTTGTATTAAGTGGAAATTAGTGTAATATCGTATTTATTAAAAGCTTTATTACGCATCTTGGAGGAAATTGAATGAGTGTAGTTGTATAAAGTTAAAATTAGTGTAATATCGAATTTATTAAGACTTTAGAGGCTGTATTACACTTCTGCTCTGTGGTTTATGTGATAATATTAGATAAACAATCATGATACATACAGTCTAAGATGTCCATAACACTTGTCAATGTCACCTCGTCAATATTTAATCCGGCAAGCACCTGTCCATGTGTTCTATGATTTTCTGAAAGAAAATGAAGCACAAAGAAATCTATAGACTTGCCAAATGTAATTGTGATCTATAGAAGAAGACATATTAACTCTACTGTACAACTGCTAGATAAATATACCAAGGTTAGTAAAAACCCTGGTTTTATGAAAATATAATATATTCTGTTACTGGAAGTTTGGAAGTCATTTACTCTTTGATTTTGGCTTGTGACTTCCAAAATCCAATCAAAATCTCCTCTTGGTATTGATGGTTCCCATAAAGTTTTATTGAATTCCAACCAGAACTTGCAGAGAAGTAGCATGGAAATGATAATTGCTCTATATGCATACTGCATAACTATATTAAATCAAGGGCCATAACTCTTGTGTTGAAGAGTCTGCCAGGGACAAGAAGACTATACATGTATGCTCATCTCTTATTGGTATTGATTGTTTCCACAAAGATTTCTTGAATTCCAGCAAGTAATTGCAGAGAAATGGCAGTCTTCGAAATTAGGAGTAGTCTGATAGCCTGTGACTACCAAATTTCTCTTCGGGTTACCAATATTTCGCAGTAAAAAGACCAACTGCGCTACCATATTTTCAAAGGCAATTTAAACAACTGTTTTGAACAAATGAATCATACTAGAGAAATATCTTTCATGCTAGTGAATATTCAATCTGGAAGTCTGACCAGCCTAGTGATTTAAATCTGAATTTTGTACACTGAAATAGCACAGTAACGGTTTCTGCTCCATATGCATACTTCATAACTAATCAAGGGCCATAACTCTATGTTGTAGGGTCTGACCAAAACAAGGCATGAATATGCCCAAGTCCTTTTTAGGATTGATGGTTTCCATAAAGTTATTCATTGTCTAGCCAGTTGTTGCAGAGAAATAGCGCAGAAACGATTATTACTCTATATGCATACTGCATTATGTTGATAATCAAGGGCCATAACTCTGTGTTGAAGGGTGTGACCATAGCAAGGTAATGATATGCACATCTAGTCTTGATATTGAAGGTTCCATTAAAGTTTCATTGAATTCCTGCGAGAAGTTGCAGAGAAATGATTTTTGATCTATGTATATTAAATGCATAACATATCAAGGGACATAACTCTGTGTTGAAGTGTCTGATCTGAACAAGGAAAGAATATGCACATCTCCTTTCAGTATTGATGGTTCCAATAAAGTTTCATTGAATTCCTGCAGGTATTTGCAGAGAAATAGCAAGGAAACCATAATTGCTCTATATGCATACTGCATAACTTATCAGGGGCCATAACTCTGTGTTGAAGGGTCAGACAGGAAGAAGGCGAAGATATGCGCATCTGGACTGACGAATATTCGTACTCGATTTTTCATTTTGATTCGTGATTTTCCGAGTACTTGGATACTCGCCCCAGGCCTACTAGCGCCGAATTTAAATTCGGATGGACAGACAGAAGGACGGACAACACCAAAACAATATCCCCTCCCGATTTTATTTTTACAGTTTCAAAAGCGGCACAGCCTGATATGTGATAAATTTGTTACACCTGTAGAGAATCACTATTAGAATTGTTATGAATCTGTGGCGAATCATTATTGTGGTGAACTGGTGAATTGATTCATTACAAACGCTGACAAACAGCAAGAATCTGTTGTGGTATTTCCAAGATTATGCAAGATACACAAAAATTTAATTGATTTTAGAGGTGTCTGCTGAGTATACATTTATTATCATGATGGGGGCGAGGGCACCTGTGGTGGCAGGGGCAAATTTTAGTGCTAAACAGCTAAAATAATGCAAACTTTTCTGGTACACAAAATCGGTGTAAAGTATCTTCTTTGGAGATTTTGAAGAGACTTGAACTACAAGACCTTCTGAAATTCACAAGTTTGTCATAGTATTTTTTTGTAAATAAGTCCAATGATTTTAAAGTGTTTATTTACATTGGCAGGCTTCGACATTAGCGGTGGTCCGTTGGTCCGAGACCACCTGATTTTGGCAAGGACCACCTAATTTTAAAAGCCACTGGTCCGTCGGACCACATGAATTTTGATGGTTGTGCAATGCTCATTTGGGAGAATGGCGATTTGTGTCAAAAACATGTTATATACATTTTGTTAAAATCATTTGTTCGAGGTACATGTATATAGTTCATTAATCTCTGAATAGTTAAAGACGTCCTTAAGTCATCAAAAACTTTCATTTTAAGTCGCTAAAATTTTGTTTTTGCAAGTTAATTAAAAGAGTTAAGAATTTGTGATAATAATTTAGGTACAAAATTCATTCAAATGGTGTTAGTAATTATGCATCGTCGGTAATTATCATACTAGTAATGTATAGGTTATCGGATAAAATTAAATTTCAGATACTTGAATAATGGCAGCAAACGAAAGAACTTGAAAAATACATCTAATAATTTGTTGCTACTTATCTTAATGTTAACTGTTTAACGATAATAGATCTATTTCTTCCAGAGATAAAATTACTTTTAAAGTTTAAAATTACTCAATGTCAAAAATAAATGTAAACAAGGTAATAAAAATCTGTATTCATAATGAACGAGTGAGAAAAATAAGCTTAACTATAGTTATATTGTCATTATTTTTTATCCTTTAAAAACAAGAATAAGATATGTTATTTATCAGTTTTCTTTAAAACAGTTATCTATAGAAGATACATGTAATTATGATAATAAGACGTACCATGTATCAGGAATGAATATTTGAATAACAGACACAAATGGTTTCACTATTCCCTAACTTGAGTTGAGGGAGAAATCACTTCAATGTAAGAATTAACAGAAATAAGAGCCCTGTTTTGTATTTTTGAATGAGATAAAAATAAAAGCCAAATAACATTACAATAGAATACCTTGCCCTCTTTAATTTCTGATTAGATAAAAATATATATGTCTGAAGATACCTGTTTTCTTTAAAGGTCAATAATACATCTTTGTCATCAATTTTAAGCATATATTTTTCTAAATTTGCAGTAAAATGTTACAATAATAATAACAACTGACCACCTTACTTCTTGAAGGACCACATAAAGTTCAAATCTAGTGGTCCGGCTTACCACTTGCTGAAAAAGTTAGTGTCGAGGCCTGATTGGTTATCTTGTTCTACGAATTAAAATAAGGCGGAAATTTCACAACAATGTTTCTTTCAGATGTTCACGTAAAACAAATATCATGGATATATTTGGGCTTAAATAAATGAAATTCTTAATAAAGAGAAAGGATTAAAAGTTATGCGTCACAACTTTGAAATTATTTACCAGTAAATAATGTTAAAATAAATATTTCATCTGATTTTCGTCAAGGTCGTTTCAAAGGGGTACGGCTCATTGAATGTTCACAAAATATGTATTTGATGGTAGAAAACATTTATCCTAAGTCAGAAATGAATTCTAAGTCCATTCCCATTACACTATATACTAATATATAGACTAGTATATAGTGTAATGGGAATGGACTTAGAATTCATTTCTGACTTAGGATAAATGTTTTCTACCATCAAATACATATTTTGTGAACATTCAATGAGCCGTACCCCTTTGGGTCGTTTCCGCAATTTTAGGTCCAAGAGCGCATGCGCAAAGTGTGCGTTTCGATTTCGCGAACCAAAAGGGCTGGCGTTTTAAAAAGGGTTTCCTGTGTCATGTTCAAATAATAACGTGTATAAAACATCACTTACAAGGTAACTACAATTCATTTGAATGTTATGTTTTTATTTTCAACATTTTTGTTTCGATTGAATGAAAAGCGGTGCCTATTAGAGTTGCAAAGTGTGACAATATATTCCATTACTGTTTGGTAAAACACCACAAGCTAAATACTTAGGTTAAACACCACTAATGAATTTATCTTTAAATCTAAAAAAAAAAATGAAAAATTAAAACTTTATACACCATGGCATGTGATTATGTGATTAATGAATTAATTATATTGATATTACAGATGTTAAAATGTGTTTTATGTTATCAGATGGTATTATTAAAATTTCCAGATCAGTAACAACAATTTTCAACATGGTGGTAAATTATTTTATAGAATAGATATAGAACATGGTTATCTTGATATCTTATTCTTCTGATTTTAAAGGTACCAATTAAGTTTTTTTTTATTCTGGAGATATAATTTTTGTTGTGAAATCAGTTAGATATTGAATTTATTTATTTCATTTCCAATAGGCTAATAAGCCCATGAGGACAACATATTACAAACATAATATATATGACATGACAGAGTAATGCATGATAATGATAATAATACATCTCTTTTTCAAATATTTGAAATATAGGAGAAGGTTGAAACTCAACCTTAAAATAACTTCTCCAATAGAGGAGAAACAATTATTCAATACAATACATTATAATATATATGCAATCATGGGAATAGTACTCCAATTTTTAGTCAACCTTTATCGAAATCGAAAACAAAGGAGAAAAGGTCATCTCATTGGCTATTCGTGAAACATCATCATCAAAATAACTGTAGATTGATTCAAATATCATTTTTTTTTCTTTTCTCTTTGAAACTTTTAGTATTGAATTTTATATCTTGAAAGGAGTAATATTTCCACTGTGCTGTGGCAACCAGAAGAAGAGAAGAAGAAAAATGCTGAGATATATACATTATTTTACATGTATCATTGCCCGTACATAACGTTATTTCTAATAGCAAAAGCGTTGTATACATATATTCCTAAATTTCTAATTACAGTTTTGTTATCAGATTTAATCAATTCTAAAAACTTAAACATATTTGGTCTATTCCAATAGTATCTTGGTATATACTTTTTCCTTAAATCATTGTAAAGATAGCATTCAATTACAAAATGAAATTCATCCTCCAATAAACCACATAAGTTACATTTCCTTTCATTTATTTCAATTCTTACTGGACGTGCCCATCTACCTGACTCAATTTGTATATATAACTCAAATTTTTTGGAGATTATTACTCCATCTGATGTATATTACTCCATCTGATGTAGGTCTATACCAACAATTTATGTGCAAAATTTCAGATCATTAGCTCGTTTCGTTTTTCCAGAATAATTGTTTTAATTGTCAAAAATGACCTAAAATCGAAATCGTTTAAACGCTTTTCACTCAAATCGGACTGAGAATAACACAAACATACGATTCCAGTGTATTTCTAGGTATATTTCTTGATTATCTTTTGTATATATTTCCGTTTTAGGTGCACCAGTTGATCTATGTGAGAAATAAAATTTTTATGGTTTTAGGCTTATGAACCTCAGTGGAATTCCTTTAATGGGCAATCCTAGGAAAACATAAAACATGATACTACTTGATTTCATATTTTTAAAAAGTTACATTTTTGTGTGTTTTATAAATATGCATGTTGGTATATGTGCCAATTATGTATGTGTTTATGTATATTTCCCTGAATAAATCGATACGTGAAATAATTGTAAATTAAGACAATTTATTTTCAGCATTTTGCATATAAGTTAATACTCTACAGCTACAAAAAATATTACTCTTGAAATTGCATATCTATATTCTCTACGCGTCATACAATGGTCGTTCATTATTCAAAACACGTAATTTTAGAAGTTCTTTGTTGCTGAATAATTTCTCTTTATCAGGTCCAACATTGAATTGAATTCCATTATATTTGAATATATGTAATTTAATTATTTAAAGCCATCTGAAAATATGAGTGTTGGCAGTAATGATGACATCTGGTTCTACAAAAATTGGGTTAACGTTGATACAGTATCGTCTACCCAGACTGTATATTATTGCCATGGTTGTAAAATTTCATATAATTTGATATTAAATTACTTTATATTTCAAATATACTCATAAAAGTAAAGCAGATTGGTTGATGATTGTTATTGACTTAACGAATTTAATATTTGCCTTTTAAATTTAAGGTTTGATCACAATGGAACAGCTTTGTAGAGTATTAAAGAAGCCAAATCGTCTCGATGATTATGCAGAGGGAGAACATAGAGGAATTTGGTGGCGTCTGACCAACACAAGGACACAAATACAAGTTTTACATCGTTGTGGACAGATATATGTTGTGATATTTTGTCTCGCCGTTTGTTGGTCGTCTGCGACACTGGGTTTACCAATAGTCTATGAGGATAATCCAGATACCCTGTACAAAGCCCAGTGTTTGATGATGTATATCTGCTTTTGCATAATTTCAAACTATTTTTTGATTGTCTATCATGCAGGAAAATCGCATTTTTGGAAAATAAATTCAAAACAGTTACCAATAAGTGACGCAAACAGAACGGCAACACGTAATTTGTCTGGAAGAGAACATTTGAATTCAGAAGCCAATGAGAGGAATCATTCTGATTGGATGAAATGTTCCAGCTGTGATATTGAAGTGCCACCTAGAGCTAGACATTGTGCAATATGCCAGACTTGTGTTATTAAGAAGGACCACCATTGTTTTTTCACCGGATGTTGTATTGGATTTTATAATCAGAGATACTTTATTACATTTTGTGTCTTTGGAATGATTGGAGGAACTTGGGGGTTATACAATCTTGGGACGTATCTGAGTGCAAACTATGCGCCATTTCTTAGTTTGCAAATCTACTGGTATTTCTTACCAATTTGTTTCATATCGTGCCTCTTTGGCCAAGTGTCGTTTTACCACGCTTGTTTAGTATTACTATTTTACCTTCATATTACAAGCACTGCAACCTCTTACTATTATTTTGCTTGGCAGATGTACATAATATACCATGGACAGACGAGTTACGAATGTGTCAAAAGAAAGAAAATTTACAATGACGATTTTTGGGCCAATATGAGATCAGTGTTTGGCTCATATTGGATCGTAGGATTTTTGGTGCCGATGCCGTTTTTGCTCAATGAAGGTGATGGAAAAACGTGGAGACTACACAGAAAAGTTATGTGAGACAGAAAAAATGACAATCTGTTATAAATCGAATGTTAAGTGATGCATATTTAGGAATCACGCACTCTCTGTAAAGCACTTTTTCCGAACTATCAGTTGGTATAGATTTATATCAGTCCCTCTCAGTCCCAGTAGATTTTCTGTTGTGGAAAAATTCAGTTCATTTTCGTACAAATTTAAGCGGTATTTAATTATAGTTTAAGTACTTCTATATAAAGTTTGATACGAAAAATCATCCACTATGTTTAATAATAAAAAATGAGTGCCTTTTGAAATTATGTAATTCTACACTTTTCTCTATATAACATGTTTAATGCTCATTGCAGCTCAATAACTGAATGCCATTACATTTTTTAATACGTTGTTTTTTGCTTTTGTGTAACAGCACAATGTAGGATGTTTTTAGAGTTGGTGACATTGATTTGATATTTCACTGTAAAATGCTGTTTTTTTAGATGTGAAATTGATTCTATTCGATAATTATTTTACAGAAGTATCGTTTTATTGTATTTTATAATCAATTATCACAACGCCTGTTAAACTCTTCACGCTTGTTCCCAAAGGTAAAGGACTACGCAATTTATTTATTGTCTACACCAGATCTTAACGAGTGGAAAATACCATACACGATTGTGCTAAAACATTACTCGCTGTGCTTTGATCTAGCTTTGGAAATAAACTTTAAAAAGATGATATACATGTATCTTGGTATATGGACATGCGGTTTGATATTACTCATAGTAATGTTCAACTTCAAAAAAATCTTTATTTATTAAATATTTAATCAGTAATAATGTATTATTTAAAATAGACTAATATGAAATATTGCTTTGTACACTATTTTTGTTTTCACATGCCATTCAGTCCGTAAGTTTTTATGAGTATAATTATCTTTAATGTGGCCTAAAGAACAATAGAGAAAAGAATGGGGGTCCCCGGGTGGTACTCCGGATCAGGGCAGTAAGCCACATTGAATTTACCAGAGCACAGTTCAGCCACCGCATCGTTCCTGGGCAATCTGTCAAGCCGTTAACCAGTACTAGTTGCCTCCACTTTCGCTCTGTACATACCAGAGCAGAGGTTCAGTGCGAATGACCGTAAAAAAGAATCACAACGAAAGTGACCTGCACCGTCCGGGAATCGTTCTCGGATCACGCGAGAGCAATATAGTAGCCACGTAAGTACTATCTCGTTACAACAACCGATCCATCACTTTGTCATCTACGGATTGATTTTAAATTAATTTTATATAAATGTGTAGCGCATTTAGACGATGAGTCACCTTTATAATTTAGGTATGTAACTCAAAGATCAAGGTCACAGTGACTCCAAGGCACTGAAAATGCACTGATTTTCTTGTCCGGTCCAGTATTCTGTCATTCCTGGATGGATTTAAAAATTACTATGCATATAATGTGTAGAATATTATGACGCCATGTCGCGCACAAGAATTAGGTCCCTAGCTCAAAGGGCAAGGTCTCACTTGAAAATTTATAGTTATGATATGTTTTTCTAAAGTGCACTGATGTTCGTGTCCGATCAACAATTCTGTCAGTTTTGGGTGGATAAATTAAATATAACTATGCATACTTATATTGGACATAATGAAGACGTGTAGCGCGCATAAATTAGGTCCCTGGCTCAAAGGTTAAGGTCTCGCTTGTATTCTCAAGTCATGATCTTGTCGCATGCAAGAATATAAAAATATCTATCTATCTAGGTCTCCAGCCACAAGGTCAAGGTCACACTTGTGTTCTAAAGTCATGATATGAATAACAGGTAAACTTTGTTCGCTTAAACTCGGATCACTCGAATACCTCACTTCGTTCGAACTCATCGCCCAGTCCCGGCAAAATTCCTATATATATATAATATATATTGTGCTACCTCGGATCGCTCGAACTCTCGAACCTCTGGTCCCTTCGGCAGAAATATAGTGAAAAATCACACCTTTTCGGTCGAACAAAAAAAGACAACAAAAGTTGCGGGTGGACATGTTCTGAATGGACCTTTCCAATGTAAATTGGCTAACTTGTTATCCAGTTGACCTGGATTGCGTTACCGGTATGTTTGTGATACTGTTTGTGAGCAGTTGACCTAGCAATGAATGGAAAGGTATGGCTAAATGTTCCGCTACGTCTTTAGTCACGATAAAAAGAAAATAATTCGTGAAATAAGTGTAACTAACACTTTTAATGTATAGAAGGTTTCATATTTAAGTACATAAGTGGCCATAACCAGTCATCAATTCTGTCATTCATGAATAGATTTTTAAATAATTTGGTAATTTTTGTAGCACATTAGGAAAAATTGTCTCACTGCCAGGTCGGCGGCAAAAGGTGAAGGTTCTACTTATGTTTCTGTCTTCTTGTAATACTTTTTTTAATAGAAACCACGCCTTTCTCGTAAGTTTAAGGTCATGGTTCCTCTACTGTACCCTAATTTGATTTGTCTGTTTCCAACGACAAGTCATTTTTTCCCCATATATTTATTTAACTGTGCAAGAACCATTGCAATAACTTACCAAATACTAGATAAAAAATGGTTTTTCAGTAGATCTAATATTTTTATGACTAATTTGGATTTAAGAATTCTCAGATAAAGTTGATAAGATATCCACCAAACGGCTTGCTATTTTTGTGAATATTGTAATGATTAATAAATCACGGTCGCCTCCTTACTCTATTCAAACAACAGTGTATATACATGTGTTAGACACACTCTGGAATCTGTTCCTGGAACCAACCTATTCCGAGCAATATGTGTAAAGTTTCTTGCTCAAGGAAACAACGGATTGTCCATTTCAGGTTTGAACCCACACATGTCCTATTTAAGAATTTGCAAACTATTTATGGGTTAGTTTTCAATACATAATATTTAGATTTGTTCTATGAAAGAAATAACTCTTAATTATTGTAATAGCTTAATACTGACTTTTTACTCCTATTTAGGAGAAATAAAATACTAAAATAGAACTTTTTAACTCTCAACAAGGAGTTTTCAAGGTTTCAATTTATTAATTGTCAATTATCATGTAAATGAAATGTTTATAGATAAAATATGTTTAAACTAACGAGGGTTTAAAAAGCCGTATTGGAAGAAATGTAAATTAATAAGGAACATAAACTCCTAATTCGGAGAAAAAAGCTGATATAGAACTTAGTATGTCCTAACTAGAATAATTAAAAAAAACTTATAAGGAGACAGAACTTATTATGAGTTGAGTTCGAGTTCAGTTCAAATTAGGATTTCATTTCAACTATTTAGACTTTTTAGCACCTATTTAGGACTTACAAAATCCTAATTCCGACTTACAAAGTCCATAATGTTGCAAAGTCCTAATTGAAATTTGATTTTTAAAGGCTTTTAAAACTCTTTATAATGAATTATTATTTTTTATATAGAACACTAAGATGCTTCCGTACAAAAACTTCAAAAGCTCACATATAATTTCTAGGAAAATCTTGAGTACAGTTTTTTCTACTTTTCATTTTATGTACATGTATATTATAAAATTATTTTATTTCTGTGAAACGTAAACGTTGCAAAAACGTTTTACATGTTTATGCAAAATATGATCGAGATCTACTTAACTCTTATTTTTTATAACTGACTTATCTTTCTTATAATATACTTTACATGTATTTTAATTTTGAAAACTTTATCAATTTGATGTAAGTAGAATGTAGGTGAACTCGAAGCAATGTAAACACCAGGCACATCACACCGCGAAGTTAGTGATAATTTTGTTTGTTTTGTTGGATATTTTAAGTTACACCGACAGAAGACCTTAGTCGCTCATTCGTGCATTATTTCAGACACAAGTGGGCACCGAACTTCCGTAAGCAAGCTTGACAGCTCCATCCAGTCAAAGATTCAATTCCATAGCGGCGAGTGGCAAGTGATTTAATGCTTTGAAAGAACAAATAGTAAAAAATCTTAGCGAATGCAAGGCCTGGCTTCCATTTGTAGATTTTTCCAGTATCAATGTTATGGGTATCATAGTGAGTATAGAGTCTGGTTAATCTGCCATATACTGGTGAAAAAGGCTAATCGCTTTTAGTGCCAGCAGGGTGAAGATTATGTGTGGATTCCTTAGAAGAGATAGTCCTATATCAAGCTGAATTAATGTCATTTAGAATTATATAACATCCTAGTATTGATCTATCTGATTAAATATCATCACAATCATCAACAGTACATTAAATTTATTATAAGTTTCTTGATCTGATATGTGTAATGGACTCGAGTTGATTTTGGAAGATCAGAATCTCGGAAGGTGCGGAAAAGTCAACAATGGTCTGTTTAAGTAACCTTAAAATAACGTGCGTGATGCTATTACGAATACGTCAGCAACGTACGTACGTTATTCTAGACAAAACACGTACATAATATGGATTTTTTCTTCTGTCAGGCCGTATTTGTGCATGCAGTACATGTAGAAGGTATAGCAAAGTATGCACAGATAAACACTATAAATCAGTTAATGTTTGCTTCTGAAAAGTATGTCTTTGACAACTGGGTACAACTCAGTACAAATCTATAACGCAGAAATGTGAAAATTACGCAGAACTTGTGCAAAAAAGTAAATCGAATTATGCAAATCTATGGCCGAAACGAGCAATACATTTGGTGAACAGACAAAAAATAACTGATAGTAATGAATGGTTGCATACGGCTGAGTAGACGTTTTATTATCTTAAACCACATTACAAATATTTCCAGGAAAGATTTTGCTTAATAAAAACAGCTTCGAAACACAAGGCTATCTGATTTGTACGAGCATGAATCAGATATTGCCGAATGTTTTGATATTCTTTCTCTTTTGTATCATAGGAAAAAAAACGTTCCCTGTTGTCACAATATAAAACCCCATAAAAAGTTACAAATGAACGAGTATATGGATATGATATTTTTTATCGCTATCCGTTTCTCTGCCGTCACAATAAGTAAACCCCGGATAAAATGAGCCAATAGATGAGCATGCTCTAGAGTGCGGAGAACTAATACACCTAATGCACCCAAGTTAAAGCACTGTTCATGTATATCTATACGATTTTACTCTGGCGCATCAACAGAAAGGTCCCCAAACTATGATACAATTCATTAATAGTGACTGAATCACATGTTATCTGCTTCATTTCAGTATTATGTGACAAATGTCTCAGGTTTACGGGTTATTGTTAAACACTCTAAAAGTACGGTTGACAGATACTCATTCTTTCTTAGAAGCAAAGACTTTCCTTTGAATGCTTGTAATGGGGTTTGAGTTAGAATGTCTTTGTAGCCTTACGCGTGGTTCATCTTTTCAAATTGATTAACAATAAAGTTTACAGGTCTTTTTACTTATCGAGTTGCGCTTTCGGCAATAGATTTCTGATTTCCATTCCGCGCTACTTTAAAACAATTCATACGTTACGGTGAATCCAATAATTGATATACAAGTTTATCCAGACTCCAGAAAACGTATAAAATGTTAAATTATGCATTAGAAATCATATTTATTTTTATTTGTACTGGATATTGCTTTATGTAATCCTATATAAGAGTTGGTCGGTTTACCTGTGGACCAACAGGTGATATCAGAACTGCACTCGTTTCGTAACTCAAGAATACCTTTTTGTATTACTTTCACAAGGAAATAAAAACTTCATTCGTACACGAAATAATATGTGATTTTGCTTTAAATATATCATTTTGGTATTGATTTTCAATAATCAACTCTCTTGCTCTCTCTAGAAAATGTATGTGATTTTAATGTGATTTTGAATTTTTAAAGTAATTAGTTGCTAGTTATATGGTAACTATTGCATATTTTCGTTGAAAATGTATGTTAACTACGCCATACCATGCTTAATATATCAAATTTATTTGTCCTTCTTCCATTATTGAAAAGAAAACTTTCATATCATTTCAAAAAAAGTCAAAATATATACTGAGTGCAGACATTGGTCAGACGGCACGGAATCTTTGCCACTAGCAGACTAAAAGCTAAATCTTTCGTAGAATAAATCGCGAGATCTATGCTTATTAATTTACATGTAATTATTTTATTTACTTTTTTGTAATTGAAGAATGAAGAAATATACTCTTTTTTATTTAGAGGGTAAAGAATCTATGCTTTTAGATTTAAAGGGATGCAGAAATCCATGATTGTGTGGCGGCGTGGCCGAGTGGTTTACGCGTCGGACTAGTAATCTAATGATCGCTAGCCGCATGAGTTCAAACCCTGTCAGGGGCAAGTCGTTGTTTCATTGAGCAAGAAACTTTACACACATTGCTCAGTACTGGTTGCTTCCAGAAACAGATTCGAAAGTGTGTCTTTAAGCTTATAGCTTTCTACACAATCGAACTAAAATAAATTCTGCATAAACCAAATCCATGATTTTGATTTAAAGGATGAAGAATTTTTTTTTTCTTTTAAAAGATTAAACATAATTATCATTAGATGCTAGCCGTATCTTTCAAATCTTTGCATTTGTCCTCAAAATGTATGGCTCTAAGCATTACTATGAATAAAATAGAGAAAATAAGAATCCCCAAAGAAAGTCCAAAACGACAAAATTGAAAATGTTGCAGGCTCGATTTGATTGAGTCTGTTCAAAAACGGTACTTTCAAGTGCAAACTACCGTCCACTCCCGCTAGCACCGGCTTAAGCAGAATCCAACATTTTTACAAGAAAATGAAATTTTGAACTTAGAAGCATCCGCAGATGTGTTCATATGGCGATTATCACGGAACCCTCAATGTGACACGCAAGTGTCATTCCATGAAAAGTGGCGTTAGGTCTCCAAGTATTAGACAGCGTGTGACCTAAACGAGAAAACAATAGGCAGAACTAAATATAATCTATTATAAAGGTTATTACTACTAAAATTGAACAACATTATCATTAGGCGCTGGTTATTTGTTACAAAATATTGCACTTTTATTTTCAAAATAAAGCTATATAGTATGTCCGGAAAAAAGTAATTTACAAGTTTTATCTCTGTTGTATGCAGTTTACAAATTTCTATTTGAATCTTTAATTTTTAATTTAGAATGTGTTGGTGTATTTCAATTTGTATGAAATGGGCATGCATGAAACATCTATGCTTTTTAGTATGAATAAAACTATATTGTTGTTGTTGTTTTTTTGTTTGTTTTTTTGTTCATTTAAAAGATGAAGAAATATTATTTTTAGGTTTAAAGGGTAAAGGGATCTATGAATTTTATTTTAAAGGATGAAGAAATCTATTCTTTTAGATTTAAAGGGATAAAGAAATTTTTGTTTTATAATTGAAAGACTAGAGAAATGCCTTTTTAATTTGATAAAGAATCAATGCGTTTAAATCTAAACGGATGAAGTAATCGACTCTTTTCAATTTAAAGATATAAACAAATCTATGTTTTCTTTTCATTTTAAACGCTGAAGAAATATATGCTTTTTTATTAAAAAATGATGAAATCTACGCTGTTACGTTTAACGGGCTGAACTCTTGAATTACCTGGAATGCGGTCTCAGTTATTGTGAATGGGCATTCAAACTAAAATTCCCCAGGTGTTGCATATTTTTAAATGCCGCAAGTTCTCTAAGGTAACTTTAAACAACACGTCAACAGGAAAAAAATTCAAAACATATCAATCGCTGTACTTTTTTCACTGCTGTATTGCATAGAAAACAAATGACTCTCTGATTTGATGAAGAACAGAGCTGCCCTGAGCTTTTGGTAAAAAAATAGGACTGTAACTGGAGAAAATGATAAAGGCCGGAAAACTGCTAGGGGGCCGGAAAATGCTAGGGGAAAACCAGTAATGAAAACAAACGCTTACAATTTTAAAATTTTATTGAAAAAATATTTTTTAAAGATATAAATAGCTTTATACCCAATGAGTTCAAAAAGGTGTTTTGGTTTTACTAAAACAGTATTACTTCTTAACAGGAGAAAACCCGATTGGGCTCAGCGGAAAAAACTTATTCTTGAAAAAAAAAAAAAGGCATTACAAGACTTTACAAAGCTTTAATCGTGATGTTCTCCATTTTTTTTTCATATCATACGGCGTACTGACACCGAAAAATAAAAATTGTCCATTAACTAACTTTATTTATTTAATCATAACAATAGTTCAGCTGGAGCTTGCATCAGGTAAAATTGGCATCATGATAGAAGAACCTGAACAACAACACAGGTAATATTTTATATTTTGTCTGTTTTTACTGTTTTTACTTTGTTAAATTGTTTGAGAATTATTTACGTATTGTATGAATTTTAGCATAATGCATAATGGGATTATTATTTTGATACTTTATTATAATAATTTTGTCTGTTTTGATTGCTTTTTACTTTGTTAAATTGTTGGAGAATTATTTACGTTTTGTACGAGTTTTAGCATAATTCATTATAGGACTTTAATATAATCATCTGTATTTTTTCTGTTTTGAATCTTGTAAGTTTTTGTTTTTAAATTTGGTTTTTAAAATTATTATTTTGTATAAATGTCGGTTTTAATTTTATTGGGATTTTTTTTGGATATTTTGATAATTTGTATTTTGTCGTTTTGTCTGCTTTGCTTGTTATTGTTTTATTATTATTATTATTTTAATAATTGTTTTTTCAACATTATTTATACGCTTTGTATTAATATCGCTTTTTGTTTTTAATGGGATATTTATTTCAATATTTCAATGATTTATATGTTGTCTGTTGCGTTTGTGTTATCATTGGGTGTTGTTTTAAGAATTGTTTATAGAATCATTTAAGTTTTGTATAAAAAATTTGCCTGTTGTTTTCAAATCTGGGGCAATTATTTCTAAAAAAAAATTTCGGATAAACCCAAGGGCAGAAATATTAAAAGAAACCTAGTACACATATAAAACACTTTATCATGATTAATTTAACTTATCTAATATTGAAAAGTTAATATTAAACTAAATATTTAATGTGATATGAGCATATTATCGACAAGTTAAATATATATTAATATTTTAGTTGCTGTGAATGTGTAAGTAGTGAATAAAGTTTTATTTTTTATGATGTGTAAAAAACGCAATGTGAACACTGGAGTTCAGTATCTTAGGTATATTTCAATTGTTTTTAATTTAAACAGTAAAAAAGGTAAATTGATTCATGCGGCACGCGATGTTGACTTTACGGACAAAATGAAGATGCATTTATATGTTACGAAATTTCCTAGATTCAAAGCTTTTTAAGATTAATACAGTAAAAGCCATTTCAATGTTTTGAAAGAAATATATATATTCATATATTTTTAACGATTACAAGTTGGTTTTTCATTTTCAATTACATCTTTTTCTCGTTTCCTATATACTTTTTTCATCTTAAAACTTTGAAACATTTAGAACACAAATTTAACATCGGTATAAAATTACTATTTATACGTAAAATTAACCGTTAAATCTATGTATTTTAAATCATTTTCTTGTAAGATAAACAAATTTCAGTAATGTCCAATCATGTGTGTTACTAGGTGACTGTGCTCAAAACTGCTTGCATTGACAAGCGTTTTCTTTCTACATGTTATTACATTTCTGGTCGTTCTTTTTGTCACACCGGCAGAGTATAGGTCATATAACAACTTTTCAGCTAGTAGAAGAAAACCCCAGTTCCCCCCACAACGCCTCCACGTATTATTTCAGGCAAAGTGTGCTTCACCTGAGTAGAGCCATCGCCCTTCCGTAAGATTGCTGTATAGCTTCATCACATGAAAGAATTCTAAGGTGGGATTCGAACCCACATCGATAAGGGACTAGTGATTTGAAGTCAGCAGCATTAAGCACTCAACCACGGAAGCCCCAGTTTTCAAGTAATGGTTGAGTTAATTGTTGCTTTCGAGACAAAAGTCATGTATAAAGTTTCAGACGCTAATTGATATCGCTTTTGTTTACAATCGGTTGAATATTGTTAATTACAGTGGTCGATATAGCTAATTCATGTCCTTTGAAAATGATGTAGTTAGTGTTTTATAAATCAATAATACACTCATGAATGAATAATCCGAGTAGAAGTGGATGATTTATGAATAATTTGTCATGTTAACATGCTTGTTCAGACTATATTATATAATATGACAAGATATGATTGTCCAGGCTATAATATGGCAGTAGGTGGGGCGATTTGCTTTTGAAAATGATTTATTAAATGGACAAAATTAAAGTTGTTTGTTTGACATGAAGGAAGGGACTGAGACATATGTTTTCGAGATATTTTATACCATTTGATAGAGGTCTTTATCAATAAATGGTGTGAAACACTTCATTTTCTTATTCCGCTATTCAAAATAATTAGTTTTTTTTGTGTGCAAAATGGTCTATAATGAAAACCTTTAAACGCTTTTAATTCTTAGAAAATTTGTGTTGTCCTCCAACAATTCAGTACGTTAGTGATCACTCTACACTTGATTTTTCAAAATATAAATGTAATGAAATTAAATAATTATACTTATATCCGGCAGCCAATTTTTAACTGAAAAACCAACATCAAATAAACAAAAAAGAAGAAAAAAATAAATTTGAAAAAAGCAGACACATTCACTAGTATTCGAATTTGATTTCCATACATAAAGGTACAAGAATATGTAAAGATTGTTATCCAAGATGTACATACTGCTGTTGTTTATGAGAATGATTATTATAAAGGGGATGTTGGTGATGATGATCATGACTATGATATTGATGATACTGTAATCAAGGTTCTCGTTGGTTAATTATATTTCAGATAGTGTAACCCAAGCTTCATATGAAGCCGGTTAAGTAGACGAGATGATGCACAAATCTTACAAAAATCATGGAAGAATTAGAAACAGTGAGCAAAGTTGTGGATGAAGCAAATAACCTAAGTGTATTACCACAGCAACCAAGCGATGCAATCTTATTAAGATCCAAGGTGCCAGATATTGGTACAACACCTGATCAGGTGATATCTGAAACATCAAATGACACTAGAGAGTTGACACTAGCTGTTAGTAATGATAACATAGAAGAGGAAAATGAAACAGAGGTAAGTATTATTCCTGTTAATAAATTCCTTGCATGAGTTAGAAATTGTAAAAGGTCAACAAAAGTTGTCTGAAATATCTTAATTTATCAAAAATAATAATTGTCTATAGGACCATAAATAGTACCATCTTTAATTTTGTTTCAGGCGTTTCCATAAGTTTCTTCAACATTACTTCTCTGGTAGTATATAGCAGACATGTCAGAATCGTTTTAAATATTTGTTTTTATCAAAGCATCCACATCACACTGCCAACAGTAAAAGTTTGGACAATCTGCACGGATTTACAGTCTGGTCTGTCCAGACCTTTATAGCTGTGGTATAAGTAAGTCAAAAGCACCGTTTTGAGTCTGTCGTGGCTCTATAGGTGTGATATAAGAAGGTTTAAAGCACCGTTTACTTGCTCTGCACGGGCTAATATATTTACCACCTGTTACTAGTAATATGCAAAGGCTGAGTAATCTTTGGAATGTATGAAGTAGAAAGTTTTTACTTTCTTCATCAAAACCTGTAGCTAAATATTGTTTTGGTTTTCACAGCGAATGATAAATAGTATACTATAATTATGCAACATAATTATATTAAAATTCATATCTAATTGCAAATTGTATCGGTAACTGTGAAGTATCTTTCGTATTACATGTATACACAAATAGCGTTTATTTTTTAAGGTCAATTCCTTTGACAATCCTGCATTTGACTACAAGGGTATTAAACAGTATCCAAAGCGCAAGTCTTTCGCAGATGTTGTTACAAAACTTATCAATGATCCAATCCAAATTGATGTTCATCCATTTGGGCGAGGCTCAATATACGGCAGGGCACTGGGCGGAGAACAACGAGGTATTCCTCGGGAAGAAGGGGCATTGTTCATGTGGGCGTTGGTAACTTTGATAATTCTTGGAGTGGCTGTTGGTGTAATCGCGCTGTCACGTGAGTTTCTTTTAAATCATACTTATCACAGTGTTTGAATCCCAGTCATCAAAGCTGCTTCCAGCTCATTCGTCTTTATAATCCGCTAATTCTTGTTCAAATTGTACGGTCTCCTTTTCTACATAGCATTTATCAGAAATACTAGTATTTTAGCAAAATGATAGCTAGTTAAGGCAGGTGGCAATTTTTTAATGTTCTTTATGTTTTTTTACTTCGCGCCAACACTGTAAAGGTCATTTGGCGGATTTCCAGCTTTGCTAGTGCAGGAAGACCTCTGGCTTCGTGCTTTATTTCAGGCACTAACGGGCACCTAATAATATTTTTGGAAATCCAATATGATACTGACTTTCAAATTGTGATGTTTTAACCACTTCTGATGCCATCAGTAGCATTGTAAGTTACTAGTATGTCTTTCCATATATACATGTATAAGGATATATCGTTAAAAAATAAAGTAAAATAAGGATCAATGCAAATTTTTTGTGCAAAACAATCTGCAGAGGACGATGCCACCTTTAAAGCCCGAGCCAACAGCGTGAGAAGTTTAGTAAAGTCTGGAGGCTTCTGCAAATGTTTATGGATGAAAGAAAAAGATGCATAAGCGCTATTCTTCCATAAATAAATAATTCCATACTTCTATTTTGATATCGTTTAAAAAAATCGCATAAAGGAAATAGCAATAGAAGTTATGAAATTATAATGGAAATACCTGGGTCGTCATTGAGGTCAACCAATTATACTTTCCGTACAAACATGCTTATGAAAAAATAACAGGCAACAATAGCGCGTGCTCGCATTTTTGTCATGTTCTATCAAAGTCTATGCGCTCGTTAAGACACTGTGAGTATGGACACGAACATGTCACCAGTCATGCACATAAACGGCTAAATTCTGAAAGAACAAGTGGTGATTATTTATGACAGTCTATGCCTGTGCTGTCTTAAACGTAACCTTGAGTTTTGGATCTCGTTTATGACCTTGCCGTCTTACACGTTGCATCTGCTGCCGATACCATGTGTCTCTAAACAACTTGCACGTACTGAGGGGAAAAGAGAGTCACGTAATTTTATCCGTTACTCACCGTAAACGTACACCTGACTGCGCAGTTGTTATGCAAGAATTTATAAATTTGCGGCTCAGAAAATACGGGATTTTATTTTAAAATATTGGAAAATATATTTAATCAGTTTTTGCCGATAAAGAGACTAAAGAAAGTTTTAATCTGTTCAAAAATAATAGTCATGGTGGGTATCATCATAAACGCTGATGATTTGTTATTGTGCAACGCTCTATGTTAAATAATGTTTATTGTGTAAATAGAATAGAATGTGATTAAATCACGTGCGAACTCTGATTGAAGTAATACTGGATCAAAACTACATTGATTAAAACGCTAATCAAGTGCTTTGGAATATTGGAATTCACCTAGGAGCAAACCTAATATGATTTTAGCTGACGGCACAAATGACATTAATTTCTCAACAATGAGTATATCAGATGCTCAAATGTATTTCAATTTCTTTTCCGTGATGCCAGTGTGGTGATTATGAATGACTATCGAAACTCCAATAAGATCATGATGAATGCTTATTATAAGTCTAATAATTTGAAAATAATTGCCTATGTTATAATCAATAACGTTATTATGAATGTCTATTTATTCCTATAAACTCCAAAACAGTAATATCATACTTTCTTACACCGTTGGTTAACACGTCAGACTGGTAATCTAAGAATTGCTGACCACATGGGTTAAAACCCCGTTAGGGGCAACCTGTTGTTTCCGTGAGCAAGAAATTTTACATTCCTTAGTAGTGTTCAGTTCCAAGAACGGATTCGTGCGTGTTTCAATAAGCTGTTAGCTTCCAACATAATCGAACTTAAATAAATTATTATAAATTTATTTCTTTATATTTCACTTGTTTGATGTAAAAGTTGCCGTTGAATAGTGAATTTACTATTATTGTTTTTTTTATTTATTTCATTATGTCATGTAATAAGATGAATACTGAATTTTTGTTGCCATTTCTAACAGACTAAGTCTAGTACATCATTAAATTCGTCACAAAAACGAAACGCACACGCGCTTAAATTAAACATTTTAACCATGGCTCATCATTTATAAGACATATTTGGAATGATAGTTCATTAAAACGCACGATAAAAGTTTGAAAAACAAATAAAGTAAGATGATAGGTTACAGCTCATTATCATTATAAGGAGTACGGAGTTAATGGTGTGCAATGAGGTGGATTCAGTTAAAGATAAAAGTACATGTTGTTAAAGATTTGTCGATTTTCCGGTGACATAACTAGGTCACATCGATAAGGAGGTCACAGTGATCTGAAGGTCACAATGATCACAATATTCCTATGTTCTGACCTATGCCGAGGGAGTGGCCCTTAAATGTGGCAGAGACGATATAAGGAAGGGTAATAGGGTGCGCGCGCGTGAGCTCTTAGTACGAAGAAAATGGCTAAAAACGGCTATGCCTTTTTTGTGGCACAATCAGCCCTTTTCAAAGCTTACCTCCTTCATAATTTCACTGGTTGCTGTACGTTAAGATGCTATAGTACCCCACTTCCGGCTGAAAATTTATTTCTTTGAGTAATACTCGAAATACCCCGGCAGTTAATTATTAACGCTTTGTGCTTCAAAATTAACTGGTGACAACTCCGTGGTACATACTTGACAGCAAAAGCTTCTTTGTATGCCTTAAAATCGGACGGACACTCATTTAACATGGACTACATACATACATAGTACTTAATTCACTGAAAACTTGTAAGTTATGGTAAGAAAACTGTGATATAAGTGGTAGGCAAACACTTCTTCACGAAAACCTGAAATTACGATGTAATAAAATGACTACTAAAACTTCATAAGATCATCACTAGCTACATGTATATACATATAGTCAAACCAATAAATTATTGTTTAGGAGCTAGCAGAGTTGAATATGTCCTTAATTCTGTGGCCGAAATGTGCAAAAAACAGCGTGTCATGAATTTTTAACCGAAATGTTCAAGTTCAATATAATGGCACAAGTGTGTTTCATTCCTCAAAATAACAAAAATACGGGTAGTTAAATATGTTCTTAAACTTTTCAAGTAAAAAAGCCATTAACATTATAACAAATATGTTTTGCTTATCTAACCTCATCGCAGCATCATATTTTATGCATTTCTAAACACATTAAGGCATTATGGGTTTTTTATCTTCATTTGAGAGGAAATTGTTATTTATCGAATTTCATTTTGGTTCCGGTATTAGTTAACATATCAATAAAATATATTAAGTAAATTGTGAACAATTCTGAATATGTATGAAGGTTATATAACTATCATATCGTTCTTTATCGCGTTAGTACAATGTCTTTCGGGTCATTTTGAATCTCTGTTCCGTTTTGAATATTGCCGGTGCTGGTAGGGGAGAGATGTTGTACATTCCATTGTTCGAAATAAGACACTATTATGCCAAGCCTGTGATATGCATTTATTAAATTCCTTTCTAGAGCTCTCGGCGGCTTTTTTATTTGGTTTACTAGAAATTTGAATTTGAACTAAACATTTTCGAATAACTATAAAATTGCGTCGTGTCTTATGCAGTTTATTCAATTCAATTTACACTTTAAGAAAATTGATTATATTTTATTAACACTTATGATATAACATTAGTTTAAGATGACAGCTGATTAATCTCTTTATGAATTGAATTTATGTTTTAATCTATTCCAGTAATGTATCAGGCCAATCAGCGTCTCCAGGACACAGCAGTGGACGCTCTAAATGATTCAAATGTAACATCTTACTGATGTAAGGTTGGTTGTAATACATAATATCTTTAAACAGATTCATTAAAACCTTGGGAGAAACACAGAGATGAGATCTATAGTATTGGTGTTGACGTGCAATTTATAAATAATGCAAAATCAACTGCATGTTTTTAATCAAAGTGAAAGCATTGTATTTAATGCTTGAATCATAAACATGGATATAATAACAGGAAAAAAACTTTTTATGTAGTAAATGCAAAATTATTCTGAGAAGAACAACATCAACAACATCTGAAAGAAAAAAATCTGACAACAGAAAAGAAAAACAACAACAAATAAATGTGGAGTGTCAGTTAGAAAATGAAAATGTAAATTTGACGAGACGCTTGTGAACAGAATGCAACACTGTTGAAAACAAACCGGTTAGTTTCAAACATATTGCATTGAAAGAAACATCCTAAATGCAGAATTAATGCCAGGCTACAAAACCAACTGTCTTGTCTTCTATGTATACTATACACAAGAGAAGACCTCCGTAGCACATGATATGAGTGTATTTTCGAAGATACACTGGTTGGATTGATTTTCGGGAGTCTCATTTACAACGCACGTACCGCAAAAGGAATGCCAAATGACTCAAGTACCGCGTCACTGGTAACACATCTACAATTGAAGAAACATTCATGAACTGAATACAATTTTATTCTAATAAATCATCTGGCTTATATTTAAATGGAAACATGCCTATGCATTCGGCTGTCGTATCGATAGTCACGCGTCTAAAATTGAAACGTACGTTCCTCGTTTGTCGTTTTGTTAAGAATATTAAACGCCAAGCTAAAGGGTGTTCAGTGTAAGAAACGTGAATATGTAGACCTCATTCACAACCTACAATACAACTATACACAATATGGAGTAAAATACAAAAGTAAATGCCTTCGAATGATTCATCGCATGGGTCGCTTATTAAATACACATAAATTATATTGACGATAGAAGTTTCCAAAAAGCTGCTCTAAACGATAGAAAGTATGCATTAAAAATACGTATGTGGGCATATTTAGCTTTCATGAGTATGGATATTCTTTCAGCACATTGCTTTAAGATAAGGGAAAGGCGCATGATGCATATTGACCTGCAGAAAAAATGTCGTTCCTTCTACAGAATATTAAAGACCGGAAGAACGTTCAAAGTAAACTATGCAATGGAGACCATGCAACATTTGCTGTAGTTTGTTTCATGCTATATTATTATCATTATAAATGTTGTTATTATCGAGGTCGTTTTTGCTTTGACAGTGGTCTAAATATAAAGCAGTAAACCCAAATTGTATAAGCATGATTTATTTAAAGAAAAGCACACTTTATAAAGAACGTTTTTATTTTGATATATTGTTTTATTGATGTATAAAATTTCATTTTCAAATCTTGTTCGTGTTATTCTTATTCCTTACTTAAATAATTGATTGATTGATAATTGCAGTCATTATTTAAACATATTTGTGAATGTTCATTAACATGAAGACAAAACATTAAAGGATACATACTGACAATATTGTCTTTTTCCCTATTGTATATAACTGTAATTGTATCCCTTTCAGTATCATCAATTCAAAGGCACATCACCCATAAAGAATAGTGTTAGCTATCAAGACATCACGTCCCACCAACTCTGTAAATGTCAGGCGGCGACAATCCAGATCTTACTGGTCGAGGGAGACCTCAGATGCATCTCCATCTATTACGAGTATTTCAGGCAAGAAAGGGCACACGAGTAGAACATCGAAGTACCGCAAATTAGTTAGATAGCTTCCTCGCATGAAAGAGAACTTAAGCGCATTATTTCCAAAATCCGTATATCAAGAGTATATTGACTATTAAGAGTATTACTATTTATTGCAGGTACTCTTTATTGTTTTCATGGTAAGTAATCAGGTTTTATTAAGTTAATGGGAACATATTGATCACTGGCTGTCAAGCACCGACTTATAATCACCTGGGAGAAAACACACAGTAAAGTTAATGAAATATTAAAGAGATTTGTCCATCTGGAACAAAACAGCGTTGGTGTTTTTTTAATACAACAGTATTGGTGGTGCATATAGATAAAAAGTGATAGAAATAAATGACTTTGATAAAATTGATAATGATGATAAGAATGATGGAAAAGTGGTAATGGTAATGATAAAATGATGATGATGATGACGACGATGACGATGATGATGATGATAATGATAAAATAGTGATAATGATTATAATATAATAATGATAAAAAATAATGAAAATGATGATGATGTAGAAGATGACAATGATTATGATTATGATTATGATGATGATGTAGAAGATGAGAATGATGATGATGATGATGATAACAATAGTTATGATCGAAGCGATTTTTTCTAAGATTTTTTTTTCTGTTTATTACACATAACAAAACATTCTCTTAACCATATCGATAAAAAAAATTGCTAACAACATTTTAACATGTGAAGATAGGATAATATAGAATTGATTTTCTGACAAGCTAACCATATAATGAGCAATGTTACATTTTAGTGCTACATGTAGTTGTTTCAGGACGACCTGTCCGATCAGCATCTTCAAGTAACATGTGCTCTTTCCTAAATTAGGTACTTACCTAAAAGGCATTTGAACATTCTCATAAATGTCGCACACTTGGCAATATATATATCTACATGTTTAATAGTTTCATTTTATTTTAACCCGTATAACAATATTATTTTGTGAAGATCGTTATTGCATTGATATGCTGTAAAGTAATGGACACTGTACGAAGGTCAGTGAAATAGTGAGCGAAATATTTTCAAATGTTATCCTTCAATATTAAAACTATCGCCACGGTTTTCACGAAATGTATATATCACAGATGACATCATTTTGAAAGATCGTTGAATGTAAGGAAATTCAGCACAGTGGAATATGTTAAAAATTGAATATGCTGAATATATATGATACACGTTGAACATCGTATTGTTATGCGCTGAATTATAGGTTCTACTGAAGGTGGATTGAATCTCAACACAATGTTCCGTTTTATATTTTAATGTTTCTTTCTTAGTGGATTACCACAAATAATATATAACATATACACAGGTTAATTATCCTAATGTTAACAAATTGATATTAAAAACAGTAACAATTATTTCTAGTGGAAAGCCACAATACAATGTTATCACTTGGAAATCCAAAATCTAACTGACCCTAAATTTTCTACATGTATCTTTACAATAATTCTAAAATTGATTTCGTTTTAACTGACCAATAGAATTTTAACATTTTTGTGTCTTAAATAACAAAATGACCAATCAGGTTTCAATACAAAATAATGTAACATAGCAACATAGAATTTATAACAACAATCATCACCTGGATATTTTATCAGTCATAAGGTTTAACAACATGATAAGTACAGACAGCTTAATTGACCTTATCACCTATATATTATAAAACTTTTAGAACTGTTGATTGGACAAAGAGGAAAAGTCGCATTTTAATCTTCCAGTTACATAATTTTAAATTTGACATCTGTTATTGAAACATATACTATTTGTAACTTAACATATTTGAAATTTCACAAATTTTGTTTTGAAAATATGACCGTTTTAGAAAATGATTATATATATAAATATTTGTGTTTAAAAGAAAATCATCATGCATATTTATTCATATTTTTTTGTTTTTGTAAATGAATTTTATCATTTTTCGGCTGCACAACACTATACATTGATACTGTCAATTTTCATTTTTAAGCCGAGTCCTATGTTTAATAGGTAAGATATAAACAGTCCAATAAAATCCTCATTATATTAATATCTAATAGATATTTGGAGATGTGGAAAAAAACTTTCCCTATTGCTTTTTTTTGTCTAAAAATAGTCCATCAACAGTCAAACTGCCAAAGAATTGATAAAGAGGCCTCAACTCATTTACCCCAATCTTCACCAGACTCTCCGAAGGATAATAATAAATGACTTTCTATTATATTTTTCGCCATGTGACGACTTTTAACTTTATAAGTACGTGCACATAATTGCATTCTGCTTCAAATTTATTTATTTGTTGTTCAGGTTGCCTTGCGCTGAGGCGACGTTATACTTAGTATACCTTCTACGTAGTATAAAATTTATTGACATAAATGAACAAATCGGTACTGAATTCCCAAATGAGTTTTTATAAGATCGCATCTCATCAGTCACTCAATTACCTATTATGTCAGTGATCGATATCATTCCACATTGCCCACGTGAAATTGGTAAATCAAAATGAAATAATCAATTACGATAAATATTTGAATAACTTGATGATATCGAAATAGTGTTGCAATTAGAAGAAATGTATTCTTCACTAATGTTCGCCTCGAAGTTGAAACACATTTTAGATATTGGTCGTTAAAGTATACAGGTTAAGCAAAACTTACATTACTTCGGGAAGATTTTGAAGCATTTGAGTGAAATGTATTCGCCTGGATGCTGATCTAGAATTGAAAGGCAATTAATTACATACTTAGGTAAGAACATGTTATATATTTTAGTATAATAAAGAGAACATGACCGACGAAAAGCGTAATTTTTCATTTTTAACGAATTTTTGTTTTTCTTTCAACTTTTGATTAATGATATCTTTCTTTACTATTATACACATGATATCAGCCTAAGATAAGCCTTCTTATTTCATTAATTAAAGGTTGTAAAACCTCTATGTTTTAATAACATTTGTCACAAGAGAAAATATGTTATCAATGTTTGTACTTTACTTAATTTCAACTTAATTCGGGTTCCAGATTAGAAGTATAGAGTCTTTAAGACGCTTATGTAAAATTGATCGTGCGGCCGAGATGATATTAGGATTTACCAAATGCAATGGAACAAATAGAAACAATAAGCAAGGTGGTGGATGAAGCTTACAAAAAGTCAGAGGATGAGGAAAGACAAGCCAATCCCTTCTGGTATGTACCCAGCGGATCATTCCCACTTGATCATGACGAGGAAAACTATAAAACAGCAGCAAATGCAACGAAGGAACCAACGAAGATTGATTTAGTTGAGCTTGCGACACAAGAAACACAATGGGTACTTATAATACAGTTAACTTTCCATTAGTCTGTTGTTTTAGAAGATGGTCATGGCATTATCAACCTTTCTCTCTTTAGTCCATTACAATCTTTAGTTGTGCTTTCTAGTTGTCTTTTTTATTTATATTTCATTCAATGTATAAATACAGAAATATATTCAAAAGCAAGCCCAAAAATGATTCACTATCACTATTAGAAAAGTAAAAGGAGTTGTTGCGAAATTGGAGTTACAAAAGTCGTGTCAAAACGCACAAAAGGGTACTATTCCATAATCTTATGCACCTTATCAATTATTTTTAAAAACAATATTGATATTAACGTAAATGCAAATAAATGTTAATAACTAATCATGTTTTAATCTTGAAAGAGTGACAGGTTTAACGACACATACATTTACAAGAAAAGCAAGCTATCAAAACCTGGACGAACATCGTTTTCTGAAGTCGTCGAGGAAGTTATTCAAGAGCATCTTAGAAATGACGTCCACCCTTTTGGACGTACGTCATTTTACCGCAGATCAATAGGCGCATCCGAACAGACGTCAATACACCAAGATGATGGCACATTGTTCATGTGGGCGTTGGCAACAATTATTATCCTAGCTGTTGCGGTCGGCGTCATAGCGATGTCACGTAATTATTATTATTACTATTATTATTATTATCATTATTATTATTATTAACCCTCACCCATGAAATCTGAAGGGGCTATTAAATGATGTTGTCCGTCCGTCCGTCCGGCGCGTACCAACATTTGAGGTTAATCGTTTTTCTTTTTTCTCATAAACCAATGAAAAATTCCAGACATTCGTCCATCCGTCCGTCCGAAAGCAAATCTTAGTAACGGTTGGCTCAATTTTCACGAAGTTTGGCATTATAACTTTTATTAACTATTTACTTCTTACATGATTTGATTAATGCACTGCAATCATAATAATATAAGATATAAACAGTCTATGAATTTACTGGTCATTATTTAAATAAAGATCATTTTATTTTATATTACAACTTAATCGTGTCACAGTCTATCATTCTTTAAAATGACATGTTGCCTATCGAGAGTAATGTTGGTTTACATTTTGCCGTACTTGTTTTCAATTTATTATTCTACTTTTAAATAATTAATATTCAATAATCCCAGTGGCACACGGAAATATTTATAAATACACATCACAATGGTGAGTTAGGCCGTCTTTTTTATATTTTAGGCAGCTTTTTATAATTTTATTTTATTCTTAACATTTCTAATTCAATTATTGGTCAATCACCGTTTAAACAGTCAATTTTTTTAAACTATTTATCTAATTCAACTCGACAACGAAAAAATAATATATCGTCGCTAAAATCTTTTTATTTATATCATATTTGTATCAGCCATCGATCCTGTATGTTATAATTAAGGATGTAACAATATTTAAGTGAATTTTACATATGTATAATTATGATTATTCTTCTAACACAATTTTCAACCATCCAAGAATATGTTGAATATGTACTGCAAATGTTTATCAGCATCATAAGTAATCATTAAAATGTATGCATTCATTTCTTATTGAAAAATTTGGTTTAGACTTTATCGAAAATAAATTTCTAATTACCTCCCTTTATTTACATGAAATGTAAATTCGGTAATATCTTTACACATAATGCTTTTTTGGACTTACAATAATGATACTTAGTAAATCTTCATTTGAGCATCATATTTATGATCTAAAACCATAAAAAATTAAGTTTACTGGATCTTTAAAGACGCATGCCTTCAGATGAGTCAAAATATTTCAAGAAAATCGAACTTGAAAAAAGAATTACTTAGATTTTAAGTTTCAAGTTTATTAGAATCATCAGCAAATGAATTGCCTTTGGCCATTTACAAAGAAAACACATGAAGTATGGCAAAGACATACAATACAAAATAGTAATAACAATACAAATTCACACAAACAGAGAATTTCATGAAACAGTTTTAAAGAAAAGTGAAAAGATTCAAGGTTCAAGTTATAGTGTAAAATGTACATGATATGTAAGGTTAATGACTGATTTCGCAGTATTTATCACCATATTTCTACTGCGTTAGTAACACAATAGAGCAATTTTTACATGTTTTGACTTTCATTTTGGCAATTTAAGGGGCATTTTAAGAGCAATTTGCAACATGTAAGATATTTTATTTGTCCACTTTACAATATTTTACATTTAAATACAATTTCAAAATTTTCATCAAAATAATCATGAATCTTGATGCAGTTTTGGCTTGACTACGCGATTGTACGACACAAATAGAAGCCTGGAAGACTTATTATTTTACAATTTGAAGTTCTATTCATACACCCATCATATATGCACATATGATAAACATATGAACAAGTTTACAAAGTGAGCAATCAGGTTGTGTACCAACATACTTTTATAACTTCAATACTCGTATCTCATCGTATATAAAACTATATAATTATGTATGAAAAATTTTGAAAAACAAATGTCAGAAAATGTTAAAAAGTTACAGAATATGTCAATATGACTAGCCGGGTGGGTTCTTAAAATATTCTTGTATTAAACTACTGAAGAATTTTACAATAATTGCAGTTTCCTTGCGTATTGTTTCATAAAATAAAATTTAAACCATATGTGATTATCAGTGTTGGATACAATATACTGTACTGCGTCAAGTGCTGTTCTTGGCCAGTTTTATTTTGTAAATGCTTACTAATAAACACTATTTATCCTATACTAAAGGAATGTTAAGACCTTTCGTCATGTGGCTTAATTATGATTGTAAAAATATCACCAAGTCATAATGGTGGCGTGTGCACCTGATTGACGCGACGCTAAATTCAATATATAATGTTCCAGATCTAAGTATGTACATGATGTATATACTCATTTTTATTTTCAGAAATGCATCAGGCGACAAGACATGTTAACGTTACGACCACTAGTATGTTAAATTGATGTTTGCTATACACATAAAAGAGGTGAAAAAATGAATAAAGGAATGATTGTGAATATGACGGGAATCGAATTGCAGAAGATGAAGGGAAGGGCAATATTTTGCAAAAAGTCATTTGTAGTATAAAAGAATAAAACGAACGCACATCAACCGGGACGTGCTTTTCATGTAGGAAGACGGTTTTGTGTTGAATTGCCTACGACTTCGTTTTTTAGAATTGTGATAACTAAATAATGATATAATGAATGGGTCGTGAGGAATATTGCGATTTTACATTACCCTCATAAACAGCGGAGTGCGATTTTAATTTTATTTGATTCTGACGAGGGATCTCCGGTGTCCCTTTTTACTAGCCTGCCTCAGTCAGAAAAGTTCTTATCTGTAATATCAATTTTTAGTTTAAACATATTTATTTCCCAAATATATACAGTTACATATATACATACACATATACAATACAAAAACATTTTATATTCAGGAAAAGGATGAGAACGAAAGACTAACACTTATAAAATTCTTTCCTTGTAATAATTATTTACATGTGTATAATTATTTTGCTGCCTAGTCACATGTGAATATATTTGTTAATTTTATAAAAAAAAATGCTACATATAATTTTATATTTTCTTATGATAAAAAAATTAAATCCTATTATACACAAACGGTTTTGATATTGATTTTGCTAAATCTCTCGTAAATGTATTTAGAAATGTCTCGATTTTTTTATTTTATTTTGGTCGAATCCCACAATGGCATTCCATAACTTTATATAACAAGAGACGACGATACGTAAAACAATCCAATTCAAAACGCCTTAAGAATTGTCTAACTAAGAGCTAGAAATGTCGATCGAGTATCTTAACTGGTTTTTTTTATGAAAATAGAATGCATCTGTAATGAAAATAAAAATGAAAAAATTATGTCAAGATAAAGTTCAACATCTTAAAAAATAAAGATCACGATATTTTAAAAAAAGCGTGGAATGATATAAGGAAGTGCTACTGATGTATTTCAAACCATTTTCATGTTTGTACTATCCTTAGTTTTCTTTAGGCTGCTAGGCTGCCAACTTCAGGCTGTTTGGCTGTCAACTTCACGAACATTAATAATAATAATAATAATATTAATAATAATAATAATAATAATAATAATAACAATAACAACAATAATAATAATAACAACAACAACAACAACAAAAAAGCAGCAGCAGCAACAACAAGAATAATAATAACAAGAGCTGTCGGTAGGACAGCAACGCTCGACTATTCTTAGTGCTTGATAGTAAAAAAAATGCCTGATACAGTTACCTCCTCCTGTTTACAGGTTGGGGTCATGATGGTGAACAAGTGTGCAAAGTTTCAAAGCCATATGTCAATGGACTTTGAAAATATTTGAACTATTACAAAAACTTTAACGTAAATTCTAAGTCGAAAAAGGGGCATAATTCTGTCAAAATGCTTGATAGAGTTACCTCCTCCTGTCTACAGGTTGGGGTCATGATGGTGAACAAGTGTGCAAAGTTTCAAAGCCATATGTCAATGGACTTTGAAAATATTTGAACTATTACAAAAACTTTAACGTAAATTCTAAGTCGAAAAAGGGGCATAATTCTGTCAAAATGCTTGATAGAGTTACCTCCTCCTGTCTACAGGTTGGGGTCATGATGGTAAACAAGTGTGCAAAGTTTCAAAGCCATATGTCTATGGACTTTGAAAATATTTGAACTATTACAAAAACTTTAACATAAGTGGTTACGCCGACGCCGACGCCGACGCTCGGGTGACTGCAATAGCTCTACTTATTCTTATCGAATAGTCGAGCTAAAAAATAATAATAATAATAATAATAGTAATAATAATAATAATAATAGTAATAATAACAACAACAACAACAATAATAATAATGATAAGTGTGATGGTGGTACTAGTAGTGGTGCTGATAAAGATGATGATGGTAGTGATAATGACAACGACGATGGTGGTGGTGGTGATGATGATTATTTTTTTATGAGTTTTACCATGCACTCGAAGAGTTCATAATGTCATTTTTCAGCTTTACTGGTTTAGGAAGACATCCGAATTAAAGATATGAAAGAATCCGAAGTTTCTTGAGGGAATCGAACCTAATGCAATGACAGGAAGTGGTCTGAAGGCAACGACCTTAACCACACGGTCACGGGCTCCCATGATTATGATGAAGATGATGAATACAATTATTAAACATCTTCCATATGTAAATATTTAGCAGCAAAGTTCGCGTTATAGCTTAATGTCAGTTGTTTTGAAATATTTATAACTTCTATTAATCTAAGTTCCGTTCTCTTCATTCATATTGTTTTTGGATTCTAAGATACTGTGAATCATACAGATAAAAGCCAGGAATATTTTATTCAAATATACCTTCAGATGTTTAATGGGACAAAATACTTAAACCTACTTGTACAGAAAACATTGAACATGGGACTGTTACGGGGCGAAATAACTTTGCCGTATTTACATGTAATACATTTTATTGGGTGTGAAACTATTGTAACCTTGTAAGGTTATCAATAGAAAATGAGAAAATCGTCGTATCGATTTAACAGTGATCGGACTCGTTTATTTATAAAGTGATTTACGTTTACTTTAAACATTTCCACCTAATGTAAAATGCGTTATACAAATTTTGGCTTCGGATGTACTCTGTTCGGGATTTTAAACATAACTGTAAGTACATTGTGCATGCGTATCGTGGTATTTTATTGTTGTTTTGATAATAACAAGTTCGTTCTTTTTAAAACGAAGAATTGCGTATAAATATAAACTTGTTTATAAATATAAAAAGCACGCTTTTTTATACTGAGATGTGAATGTGTTAATATCATATATTTATGTGAAAAACAATCAAATAAATGGATGTTTTCATCAAAGCATTTACAGCATGTTTTTGATCTCATTTTAAATACATTTTATTTGACATAAATTTATTTGGTTATATGAATAATATAAAATATTTATTTAACGAAGTTAAAGGTTACAATCGGCTTGAACAATTAGTTCCCTCAATGTCGGCAGAAGAAAACTATTGATGTTCTTAAAAGTTATACACATGAAACGAAACCAAAAAACAACGTTAACATGTATACTACAACTACATCTACAGAACAACACCATTTGGAGGACAAAACTTTTGGTTGTCGCTGGGAGATGCGGGTCTAGAGAGATCAAATTAATTGCGATGTCTTAATTTTAAAAAAAGTTGTTCTCATAAACAAACTTGTACTCGTTTCTTGGTAGATTTGTAGCAAATAATGAGTGCGTTAATTAATATGAACAGTATACATAAATAGATTTAGCGATGTTTCCACGCATATCCCGCTCGCTTCTTTTATTTTGAGTATTCTGCAATCATTTAGATCCCAACATAAACAAAAGTCCAAATTCCACGATCAGCAACGATATAGTTTTGTATTATATTTTTTAAGACGATTTGAAACTGTTGTTGTGAAAGGGTTATTGCTCTATAGAGGGTCTTTCTGAGGAGGTTGTACTGTAATTGTATAAAGTTTATAAATCTTTAATGATGACCAATTATTGGAGAACAAATATTCCCTTATAGTGTGAATAAACATACCTATCAAAAGTTAATGGACACTAATATATTCTGTAAATACAGCAGTCAATCGATTCCTTAATAACTCGCAGTGATGATTACCTATATTCCTGTAAAATCTATACGTTGTAACAATTTTAAAAAGTTAATGATATAAGTGAAGGCAATCATGACCGTGACATGCACATCTATATAGATAATTCAAATGAGCCGCGTCATGACAAAACCAACATAATGGGTAATTCATTGACAAATACTTGTATATGTATCATACTATGGTGTAATTCAAAATTTGGAGGTAGCTTTTGTCAGTCATTGTGTTCCTGTAATTCTACGTCATATGCATATGTACTGATAAATGTTTGTTGGTGGAAGAAGTTTGGAATGATTTTTTTGTGTGTGTTATGCGCTTTCTTCTAGAGTCCTTTTCGAAAGCCCATTCGAGCGACTTCTAAAGCCCATTCGGGCGACTTCTAAAGTCAATTCGGACGACTTAGACAATTCGGACGACTTCTTAAGTCAATTCGGGCGACTTCAAAAGCCCATTCGGGCGACTCAGTCACATATAACTTTGAATGATAAGTTATCAACATATGGAATATTCATTTCCAACAGGAGAAACAAATTGTACGTGAGAAATAAAGAAGTCATTATACATCGTTGATTACAAAACTGATTCTGCTGGACTCGTGCACAGCTGCAAAACATATAGATTTAACAGTTGATTATTCGTTCAATATAGTTCAGTATTGTACTCCACAATGAATTAAAAACCTCACCATACTAGAACTTAATAGTTATATTACATAAAAAAATTGAAGGTCATGTGATATTAAATATTCTTCGTCTACATTATAACTGCGTTTGATAAAAATGTCAGAATAAAAAGAACAAATTTATTCACAATTCCATACGACAGTTTTCTCTGGCCTTTTTCAAGTCTACCAGGAGTCACTGTTAATCACTTTTAATCGTATGTTTAATACAACATGATTGACTTTAATCGATATCTTATTATGGTAACGTATTGACATATGGCACGCTAACCCTGCTTTAATCTAAATTGATTTCTTCTTATTATCTAAAATGAATAAGAATTTTCTTCAGTAAACCCGATAAAATACTGATTATGTCTGTCCATTATTCAAAATTTGAATAGGAATCGATATTCAATCAAGGACACATGGAAAAAGAGTTTTTAAATAAATGAGAGCATATCTCCTATTAATTATTCCAAATTAATTTTGTTTGCATGTTTTTCTTCTTGTTAAAATTGCTGAATACATTTTGAATATAACTGTGGTCGCATTTGACAGTCTCCTGAATTTGAAGCTGTCTGTTTGGATTATATTCTATTTTCCTTTTGACATTTATTGATCTTAAGAATATACCTTACTGAAATATTTTCTTTTCTGTATGAAAACATGTTTCGTATGTTTACATAGTGACAAGCGAATTATGTAATACCACGGAATGCACAAATGCGTGCAAAAACGCAAGTAAACTTCAAAACTAAATATTACACAAAAGAATTTAGATAAAATTTCATCCGTTTTGCATGCAACAACGAAATATACTTGATTATTTTTTTCGTTTTAAACACGTAGAACATGTTCTCAAAATAAAATACCGATCAATTTGAAGAAAGTTCATTAGAGTTTAACACGTACCCGTTCTATTATTGTGGCGAGATCTTTTATCTCTGTAGCACAGTTCGTTTCAAGTACTTAAGAAAATTGCTCCTGTTGTAAATGTATAAGGAGGTCTGTTTGGTTTTTGAAAAGGGTAAATATTTCAAGTGTTCATCAAGTCGTTAAATTTGGATTTGCAAAATTTACTTAACTGTTATAAGAGGATTTGTATGGCTAATACAGGTTACAATCGTGTGTAAGTTTAACTTACAAACTGTTGTAAGGAATTTAATAAAAAAATAATTTTAGAAGGACAGATAAGGTGAAGGTAACAAAATTTAATGTAATCATATGTAATTACATTACATTACGTTGTTTATTTTGTTAATATATCTGGAAGTGAATTTTTACGCTTGATTCTTACTTTCTTACATATAATTGCTACCTTGTATTTTTACGCAGTTGATTAAATTGTATTACAGTTGATATTAGTTATATAGCATGTTTAACTTGTTTTTCATATTTCCTTGTTTTCAGAAAAAATAAAGACGACATTAATTGAACTTACAGGATGACTAAGTAATAATAACATAGGATGTTTTCGATTTAATGTTATGTGAGCAATTTGAAATGTGGGACTACTTTTGGATATAATTAAGCGGAGTAATCAACAACTTTGTGAACAGCAAAAAATATGTGTACCAGTCATAACAGAGATTTCACGCAACGTGACGAGTTTAGTGACGTCACAATAAAAGTTGAAGGCACGAGCTTATTCGTACATCGTCAGTACCTGGCGGAATGGTCCGGAGTTTGGCGGAAACTGTTTCTGTCAGAATGTGAAGATCCATCCGCGTCAATTGAGATCGTTCTTGAAGACAAAACACTGGAAGATGTTACTCAACTTCTACAATGCATTTATTCTAGCCAAAATTATATAACAGGTACTTTAATTATTTCGGCTTATCTGTTCAGTTCTGTATTTGATTGGGTCTTAAACAATTTTTGCAGAAGATTGCAACACTTTTAATTAGTCTATTGCATCCACATGCATAATCATGACAGCCACCATAAACTGTACCGGTTGAATAAGTACGTATTATAGTAACCAACTTCCTATAATTATGTCCTTTTTTGCAAACTAAATTTGGGACGATATATAATATTTGTAATGGCTCATCATCGGATGGATGAGATTCCACTATATAACAGTTTTATATCCAAACTGCATGAAGTAAAGCCAAAATGGACCGTGTTCATAATTAAAACAGAAATATGCAAAACAGGCAGTAGACAATAAAAGACGTGCGCTATTAAAAATGGTCGGTTTGATGGCGCCATATTGAAAAAAGTGCTGACATTAAGGTCACAATTCTCAAAATAAACACCGTAAAGAGAAATATAAAATACTGGCTATTGACCTTGCTCTTTTACTTCTGTGAAAAAATAATAATATGAAGGTCAAAAGTTTCATTGCTAATTAAAGTCATATTAAGATTATTTAGTGGCGCGTGAGATTGCTTGTGACATGCTTTCAAATATTAATGTATTCATAGTTTTAGTACTTAAACACTAAGTATAATACAGCAAAAATTCTATTTAAAATACCCTGAATAATCCTGGCGTACCCTGAAATAATTAGATTCCTCTCCAATTCATGAATAATTATTAGAACCATACTTTCATCAAATAAAATTTTGGAATTTATACATATAGTATTAGTACTTCCACTGCAGCTGTTCAAAATTAAAAAAAGAAAGATGATAAGAAAAATTACGGAATAGGGGTAGGGGTAGATTATTTTAAAACCTTTCAATTCATTATGACTTTTTGTTTAGTTAAAGACACGTTTTGTTGCTTTTGTTTACTTTCTGTCAGAATTTTATTGTGCTTTTTGTGCAGGATTTTTATGTATGTCCTTCAGAATATCACAGTAGTCTGTGATACTCTGATGGACATACATGTATATGAAAATGCATATTGTGGAACAAACATTCCGCAATATACATTCACATCTTCTTTTAGACGCACATTTGCACATTCACCGTCAGTTACAAATTGCTGTAATTAAGGAATGCAGGAATTTTTTCTTCAGAAATGTACTAATTATTTACCATTTCAGATTCAAACGTACAGTTGATGCTCGAGTTCGCAGAAGAATACGAGATGGCAAATCTGAAACTTCGATGTGAAGAGTATTTACTAACTCAAGAGGTTTCAATAGAATCGCTTGTAATAGCTGAAAAACATAGTCTCAAAAATCTGTTCAAACAATGCATGGATTTTGCTAAAACTCAGACTATGGAAGACCTGGAGCGCCATCCTTTGAAAAAAGAAATCAGTGAACAGACGCTTATTGCTATATACAAGGAAAAGGTGTATATGATGAGAGACTACGCAAACGAATTGAAACAAAACGAAAGTAAGCTAAAGAGGCAAAACGATCAGTTAAGTGACGAAAAAGATGGAATACTGAACATTTTCAAAAACATGGGTAAACTTTGGGAGATGCCTAACAAACGGTGTTATAAACATATGACAGATGAAAAGTTTGATTTCACGTGCCGAGATTGCAACGAGAAAATGTCACGTGAAGTGAGGCGGATGTGTAATGACGGACAACACGTTCGGAGATACTTTATACTTAATAATAAATCACGGTAACAGTGCAGAATGTGAAATATAATGTAAATATTTACATGTGTACTCGAAAGCAGCTGTTGTGCGGACATTTTGATTTCAAAGTAACATAATCTTTCTCATACCGAATATTATAGAGCTAGGTGCATAAAATTTCGAATACGAAGAAATGATGGGAGATATATTAGAATCTCTACTCTTAAAGAGAACATGTGCCGTGTCCTACCAAAGGCGCATCTGTACATAGATATTTTAATATGTATATATTTTATGTTTCTAGATCGTTATTCATAAACAAATACATGTATGTACGCTCTGACAGAAATATAGACCCGTTCAACACTGAAGTTTAATCCGACTTTGGTATTATAATGTTGGAATCACTCAAATTAGTCTCATTTCATTTTTGGTTAAATGTAAAGTCAAAGCATGGGATGTGTGACCAAAACATATTGTGAGAATACATAGATTTCAACGACCTACACTTACCACAATATGCGCAAATAGGGAACATGCGTTTCCCGTATTCATTCCTTTAATATGGAGTCCTGTTAGTGCCGTGAACTTATTTTCGTGTGGAATCGCGAAAGGTCGAAATAAAGTAAATGGACATAGCACATTCAGCCACCATATATCATGTTTTTTCCCTGCTCTTCTCCATACTAACTAAATTGTGTTTTTAACTTATTATCATTTATATCAAGACATTTTTTCATTTAAAATAAATTGCTACCATGATTCGTGAGTAGCTTTCGTGGTTCATTATACGTTTAGCGCATGGTCCATTATCATTTAGTGTTTGAAATTATTTTTTGTCCATTAGGATTGCAGTATTTCAAATGAATCGTAACACATTTACTTTAATAAATCGGCAAACTGTTAATCAGTCTAGTAAATCGGCTGTTAATAAAAATAATTTAAAACACTAAGCAGGTTAAAATTTATTAGTACTGCGCCGCGCCTGGCCAATTAAATTTTGTAAATACGCTTTTAACATTAATCGAGCTAAGAATCGCTCTTCAATTTAATTTTATAGAGTTTATTTCTTTACTATCTTTTGCACATCTTCCGTTTTAAGTGCCCTAGTTGATCTATGTAAGAATTTCAAAATGTATTATTTTAATTAATAGACAATTTGGTACATTTAGATAAAAAAAAATCATTTAATGTTTTAACCATTAACATATGAAACAAGATAAAAAAATGTTTCTGTGGTTTGATGTTAATGTCATCGTGTTTAGATATTTACCAGGAAAGTTAAGTAAATCAAAGCGTTGCATAATCACAAAGAGCGACGTGTAAGGTCAGATGGGACTAATTTTTTTTTCTTTCTTCAGTTTTTGCAGTTTTTGCAATTTTTTTGTATCATTAAAAAAAGAAAACTTGTATGACATTACTTTAGCTTGATTATCCGATGGTTAACCTTTAATCTAATAATTATTAATAAAAAATAACACGATTTGAATGTAAAGCTCATAATGAGAGTACCAACAATTCCATGGAGAAATATTGTCAGTTGGTAAAGAAGTATATATTTCCTTTAGAAGAATCACATTCAGCATCAACTTGGGTATTTAATCAGTAAATTAAAATCATCACTAGATTTTGAGGTTTTATTTATATTGTAAAAGATTAATCAGATTTAAATGTTATGCATCTAATTGCATATATATATATAATAAGATAAATTTCTTTTAGAAGATTTTAATCATGAAAATGACAGAACGTTTTTGTGTAAGTGTGTGTGTGTGTGTGTGTGCGTGTGTGTGTGTGTGTGTGTGTGTGTGTGTGAGCGCGTGCGTGCGCGTGTGTGTGTGTGTGTGTTTGTGTGTGAAAGAATGAAGACTCAAAGTCGGAATTCTAACCTACAGCGGTAGAGGTCAAGCGATATATGAGTAACCTTGATTAAGTCATGTTTCCTTATAATATTGTGTTGTGATTCCAACTCAATTTAATGCTATTCAAGATTAGTAAGAAAACCATGGCGGCATATTTAACTCGAAAACATGGCCAATCCGTCCGAATTTTGTCGTCGTTCCGCTTTTTCGCCTTGAAAATGCAAACATGCAAAAACACAACAATACGACAAAGTTGGACTTTGTAATATCTTTGTGTTACCGCATTTCAGCGCGAAAAAGCGAATATATGACGTAGCGTAATCAGCAACCATAGAAAATATATAGCTCCTCAGTAAAAAATTTTCATACAAGAGAATCACAGATAAAGGGAACATTTACAGGGTTTTCGAAATTAAGAAAACAACCTCGATATTTTGAATATCATGAGTTATGCATTTGTATGTTTATACATCCCCAATTCAATAAGAATTTGTAGATTTTCTAATAAAAAATCTCAAAATTTTCTGGGAATATTTCAAACAAGAAATCACTATTTTTTCCTATAACTTTAGTTTGCAAAAACTGTCTACTTACCCTGAGAACCATTTGTTTTCGCTGGACATTTTTGCATTTAAGGATAAAAATATTGACCAAGAAGAATGTTTGTTTTGAAATACATGTAGTTTATTTGAGAAAAAACATTTATTAAAATTTACAACAAAAAGTTAACAATAAAAGCATGATAAACTGTAACATATGGATGTTGCATTGAAACCATTATACGTTTATCTTGACATTTCAAGAAAATCAAGAAGCTTTTTCAATCAAGAAAATCACTGGTGTTTTAATCAAGCTTTGCATTTACTTTTATATTACGGGGATTAAAAAGTATTGGTCCAGAATATGATTTGTTTTAAAATAGTTCTTTTTCTAAAGCAGATATTGAAAATTACAATAAAACGTTTAACAGTATAAGAAAGATAAAAATGTAACATACTGATGTTATTATACGTTTATCTCAACATTTCGTTATAACGATCGGCGGTCCCGGCGACTTCGAGATAACGATAATCGACTGTATAGATTTTAAAAGTGTTTTATCATATTGTCTGACTTGAAAAAAGCACAAGATTAATAAGTTGAAGCAACTATTTTGAAGCAATGGCACATTTTGAAAAGTAATGAAGATGTTGAAGGAAAAGAATACCATTAATTGAATTCTAAATGTCTGAAAACAGTCACATAGCTCTAAGCATCTTGCAAAACTTTTGCTGATGGACATGGCATTAATTTCGTATTTAGCTTTTATCCTGCCGGCGGCAACTGTATCTACCCATGCGACCAGTGCAGAACAAGATCAGGCGGCACATTTGAAACTTAATTTCAAATTATCGTTATCGCCTTTTCGTTTTGTCGCTAGCGACAACACGACAAAGTACTGTCGTCTTGTACGTCGTGTTGGCGCTAGCGACAACTGGACAAAGCGCAAAACGGCGCGTTGTCGGATTTTCGTCTTCTCGTCCTGTCGCTAACGAAGTACGCCAAACGGCGCGTTGTCGTGCGGCGTCTTGTCGCGGTGTCACATTGTCGATCGGTTCAAATCGAAGGATTTGCTTATAATCTTAGCGACAGGGTGACATCGCGACAACGCGCCGCACGACAACGCGCCATTTGACGTGCTTCGCTAGTGACAGGGCGACAAGACGACAGCGCAACAACGCGCAGTTTGGCACTTTGTCGTGTTGTCGCTAGCGTCAAGACGAAAAGGCGATAACGATAAAGGTTACGTTGTCGCTAGCGACAACGCAACGCGCAATATACCAAATCAGTCACCATAGAAATGTCTTATTAAGATTGCCCCGAATTTATAACTTTGTCTATAGTAAGACTATCATGTTTCCATAAAATGTTCGAATAAAAAAGCGGGAAAATGATACGATTAGTTAAATACAATGGAGTTAATGAAATGTGTTCATTCTTTTAAAATAAATGGAAATTGTGGGAAAAATACATTTGAGCTTTTTAATTGATACAAATTCGTTATTTGATGCAAGTTATTCACTAAAATCTAAAATTACTATATATTTGCTCCTTTGAAAAACAGATAAGATCTTTTTTTTCTGTTTATCAATTTAGGTTTACAGGTGGAGGGGGTCCATTTACAATGAGTTTTCGAGCCAAAAAATGTAATCATATTGTATTATTAATATCTAGGATTTTTAATGCATTTCATTCCTGTCAAATATAAGAAAATAATGGTTTGGCTTACTTTTCCTAGATGATATAAAGTTCAAAACAGTCAGCACTTTATAACAGACATTTTTCTTAGAGTTAAAAGGATATCAAATAGGTTAATCTATACTCATTATTACAACAAACAAACATTTATAATAAGCATAGATTATGCGAGATTATGAAAGAAAGTAAAATGATTGTTTTGTTGTTGTTGGGTTTTACGTCGCACGATCAAATGGAGACTATCCAACAACACCGATAATAATAATAATAATAATTACATCAAACAAACATTAACAATAATCATAGATTATGCGAGACAATGTAAGAAATGTATAAATGCATTTTTTGTTGCGTTTTGCGTTTTACCAACACCTTAAAGATCATATGGCGACTTGCGAGCTTTACTGGAAAACCTCAGGTGAACTTCTGTGCATTATTTCAGACACGAGCGGGCACGTGAGAAGAATCATCGACAATCCGTTAGCTAGCTCCAAAGTCCCTGGCGAACCCTCTTGCCTACAACGGTGGAGAGCAAATGGTTAACAGTCAACGGCCTTAATCACTCGGCCATAGACGCCTTATTCAAATAAAAGTTAACATATAAAAGTTTCTTTATTGGGAAAAAGACACACACCTATAATTATACAACAAAGACAGACAAAAATAAAAATAATAACAATGTAACACATAATACTGAGTTGATTTAAAAAGGGTATTATTAAAATAAAAGATAAAACGTTATATCAACGCGATAAAAACATGAAAATAGATGATATTTGTTTGTTGACCGTGAATATATTATATAAGCTTGTCCTTAAAAGCTTTGTCATAAAAATATTTTCATTTTATGAGTATTAATGGAGGCACAAAGTGTATTTTTCGAAAAAAAAAACAACAAAAAACATGCATTAATTTTTCTTATATTAAGTCTTAGAAGAATGTATTCAACCGGGGTTGAAAATCCCTCCTTATCAATATCTGGACAAAGTGTTATCCATGTGAAAGTTTGTTTAGTCGTTTAGGGCTTCACGAAAGGTGGTCACACTGTACATTTAGAACCTAGTTTGTTTTCGGCATGATTTTATCCTCAACAAGGCTAGCGTGTCAGCTTTGAATTTCGTACCATTAAAAAAATAGATAAAAAAGTTGAGTCCGCTATTTATGCCTCTAATTGTCCTGAAAATTTCCGTATAGAATGAGTTGTTCAAATATTCTTCGTAATTATAATCGTCAAATTGTTGTCTGTATGTATCCAATGATTCAACAACCATAACTGGTGTAACACATATAATGAAAGCTATATTTATCATCAGCAACTTTTTTGTTACAATAAGATTTTGTTCACCGACGGACTTTGACTTCTTTATTGTTTTTGTGTATAAAACAACAACAATCAGGATTGTTGAACCCAATATAAATACATAAGGAAGAAAGAATTAGACAAATATGTTGGCAATGCTATGGATATTCAAAATATGAAAGTTCTGTTGAAGAATTGCACATTCGATTTTTCCCATTGGGTTCGGATAACCGACAATGATTTGCGTGTATATGCTAAATATAGTTATACAGAAGACCCATAAGAAGATGGTATTGCCACGAGCAAGGTTTAACGTGCAAACGAACTTGACTTTGTGTGGCAAGCACACACTGATCGCCCTCTCTATTGATACCATGCTCATAATCCACGGGTTGGTATAAAGTCCTAAATCATACAGGATGTGGTAAAGCCTGCATGTCACGGTATTCAATTTAGATAGGTCAAACTTATCTAGCCAGTTGACGAGCATAAAAAAAGTTATTGTCAAATCCGATGCTGCAAGGCTTAGAAGATACACGGCTGTAGAATTATTCCTGTAGTTTTTCCGGCTAAGGACCATCAGATTGAGCGTGTTGCCAAGCAACGCAATTAACACAACTATTATAAGAATATATTTTCTGTTTATTTCGTCAATGAGAATATAAATATCCGGCCACGTATAAAATGAAAACTGACCTGTGTTTTCATCGCCATTGCTATTAGTCGAGCTCTCATTTCCAGTAGAAGTAATATTGAAAGTAGAATCTGTGACATTCATATTTTTTAATTTTCAAAATTATGAACACTCACGACTAGTATATATATCACTTTAAGAATGCTTCTTTTAAAACAACATAAAAACCATATAAATCTTACTATATATACTTTTCCTAAGGACTTTTTGGTCACGTGATCACGCTGTTCCCTTGTTTCAAAAGAAATTTACGACTGAACATGTAAGAAAAACATGTAAAACAAAAGAGTTTTTGTCTCATTCAAATTTTATTAAATTGCAGGAACTGACTCTCAAGAGGTAACAGTTCCCCTATAAAAAAATGATACCTAAAGTATATGATTTTTTGAACGGCAATCACATTATAAAATTATTACAATATAATTATAATGCAAGTTTTAAAGTTTTAAGTTTAAAAAAGAAAATGAATTGAAATACAGCCATACTCGTATTAAACAACATAATCCCTTTAAACGAAAAGAGAATGAAACGGAAAATGATCAACACACGATTTCTAGAGGGCAAAAAAAATGATGACAACAAAGCTGATCACGTTTTCGTTTTTTTTTTTTTTCTTTGCTTTGTGTGTCTTTAGTTGTTTCTTCTTGATGATTTTATTATGTACAATGATTACCCTAGATAATTGAACTTAATCATGAAAAATTAAATCAAATATTATGGAAACAATTTAAAACCACATGATCTTTTTTAACAATATCGTTTAATTTCCAATGTTCTTATTGCAATGTTCTTTTTTCAAGGTATTAATTTTTTATGATCTACAAATTTCAATTTTTTGTTTTTTTGGTTACAAAACTCAATAAAGTGACATCAAGTAAAGTGAAAATAAGGCAATGCTTTGAACAAATTTATGTACATAAGAAAATGAATAACAAAACTGCAATTTTAGAATGGAAGAATAAGATCGTTATGTATTACAAAAATAATTTTCTTCAGAAGATTGCTTGATTTAGAAAGACTTTTTGCTTTCACCATTAATTACTATGAAAATTTAAGAATGTTTGGATTATGAAAATAAGAATTGTCTAAATATGTTTCTTAGGTCGTGAAAAGGTCGTGGAAAAGGAACAATTAAATACGTGTAATAATGAAATTCGTCACCTAACTGATTATTAGAACATAAACCACAAATTCTTGAACTTCTATCCAAATTATAAAATCTGCCTGTTTCAAATGGCATTTTTTTTTTGGTTCATACATCTCAATTTGATAAAAGCCATCGCTAAATCTAAAGTATTTTTCAAAATCATATTCAGTTTAAAAATTCTATAATTAGACATTAACTGGATTCATACATTGAAAATTGCCAACTCTAAATAAACTGATCTTTTATTCTAACAGAAATCATTCATTTAAAATGAGGCACGGGATTGATGATTGTTTGAAAAATTCAATAACTTGGCATAACAAACCGAGAAAATCTATTTAAAGAAAAAAACACACATTTAGACCAAGGAAAATCCGCATCAATATCAGAGTATAATTTATTTGACATAAAAAGAAAGCAAAGAGCAAATTTCATCTTTTTCTTTATCATTATTCAATTTGCGCTATTAATTCAGAACTCTAAATTTAATTTGAAATACCTGGTTCACTATATGTATAGGTTATATACAGAGTTGCAAGAAATATGTATGTATGTATGTATGTGCGTGCGTGCGTGCGCTGACATGGTAGAAAATTGTTTTGTACAAAAATTATCAAAAATAAGAAGATGCGAAATAACGTTTATACTTAGTTTATATATTATATCAATCTTAATAAAGTGTTAAAGATTATTCAATTATGGATTAGATATTTTTGAAACGCAAGGGAAGTAAGTACGAGTAAAATGCAGTCAAAGCTTGTAAGAGTAATGTATTCAGTTTTTTTGCATCTTACTATTTTTACATTTATTTTGTTTATTATATTGACAAATTAATTGTTGACTAATGTCAATATTAATTCATATTTTTATACACCAAAAATATGACTATGATCGAGCTATAATGGCTTTGTCAATTTTTATTGTGATATTTGTGAAAGAATAAAGCTTCTTCTTTGTTCTTCCTCTTCGTCTTCTTCATCATCTTCGTCCTCTTCTTCATCATTGTCTTCGTTTTCATCATCATCAGCAGCAGCATCATCATCAGCATCAGCATCATCAGCACCATCATCATCTTCTTCTTCTTCATCTTCTTCTTCATCTTTGTCTTCTTCTTCTTTTTCTTCTTCTTCTTCTTGTTCTTATTATACTTCCTCTGCTTCTTCATACTAAACATATATTTTTGGCATTATAGTTTCTGAGAATAAACAGATTTTTATAGATTTCATCTTTAAAGTCTTTTTTAACTATTGTAACTTACTAAAGCATTTGACTGGAACCATTTATAGATATAATTTTTGTAGAGGGACACCTAAGGATCATTCCTACAAAGTTTTGTCAAAATACATCAAGTAACTAAGGAGGAGATGTTGCTGAAAAGAATGTGGAAAACTACGAACGACGGACACATTGGCATCACACCTCTGAGCACTTTGTGAAATATGAACGAATGCGCCAGCAGACATGACTTATTGAACAGAACAATTCCAGGGGTAATTAAAAAAAAATCTGGAGCATCTAGATGGCTAACATTTTATCTTTATATATTTCTGATCTCATTTTAAGCTTCAAAATTGTCTGATTTACTATAAAATAAAGAGGCGAGAATTGAGTGGGGCGAAACCATCAGAATACTGGAACATCCCGGAAATGGGACGAGAAAAGGAATGAGACGGGTTTTAAGCTATCCTTGACGCATGCGCAATACGTTATTTGGCGCGAAATGTACACAAATCATTTTTTTGCAAGTTAACAAGTTCGAAAAGCCTCTGATCCTTTAAAAATCATGGTATGTTGATGGGAGGAAAATACTTCGAAGGCTATATTTTGCATATTTTTAGAATTCAGATTCATCCTAATTTACCATATTCAAAATGTTCACCATGTCGGTCACCTGGGTTTTGTTTTTGATTCTTTTTTGCCCAAATTTTGGTAATTTGTTATACACAGGATATTATCATGAATATGCCTCTTTCTGACTTTAGCTTCTATCTATTTTACGTCAATGCCAAACCCCTCGCGGGGACGTAGACGTAAAGATGTACAAGTCGCATCTGATCAGTTTACCACAGACACTGGTCAGTTGAACATTGCTCAGTCCTTGTTATGTATCAGGTTGTCACTTACTGTTGCACGAACTAGTCCTATAAATATGTCATTGCTTTGAGATATTTTTACTTCTGGCAAAGCAACGTCATAATGAAGTCATATTGAAATTGCGCTAAAACCCATGGCATGTTCTGCAAAAAATCTTGCGGATCTAAAAACACAAAAGTCAGTGTATAAAATTCATTAATTTTTTACCTATTTATGAACCAAATTATATGATAAATGCCTTTTAAGTTAACAAACTGTCACATTCACATAAATCATGATTATTATTCTATAACTCTGTATTATCGCTGCAACTCTATTACCGACATACTCTCAGTATTTTGTTATGTGCGGTCATATATACAATGAAGTTAAAAATCTTTGACATCATTCAATGAATAATGTAATGAGTAGTTGAATTTTTTCTGCTTCACACAAACTATTCATGATTACTATTCATTATTATAAACATCTATTAAATTGAATGCAAACATACAGAAAACGCGCTGATAATACGGAGTCCCATGCTAAATCCTTTTATTTAATTAGTCCTTAATTAACGAATAAACAATTGGCCGTCACCCAGTGATGTATTGGAGGGTATATGCATGCATAACATTTTCATTGGTAAAGGGATTTTGAAAAAAACATAGCATAAATGGTGTCATGAGCAACACCGGACCCTACCTCAAAGGTCAATGTAACACTTGGAGGTCAAAGGTCAAAATGGTCTGTTATAGGGTATACTTTGTGTCCAATTTTTCATCAATCAAGGTATATTGCTTTGTACATCATAACATGTGTTTTTGTCAGTCAGCTGGTCAGTAAACAAAAATGTTTCCAATCAATAACTTAAGAACACGGTTACACCTGGACCTAGAAAGAAACTTCGAACTTGATATATTGAGATTGGTCATAACCAGCAGATGAATCCTATTGTGCTTTGGATCAGAGGTTAAGGTGGCATTGACTTTATATCAAAATGATTTCCTACCAATAACTTTACAACCCATGGAACGTTCACCCTTTAATTTCACAGATGCATTTGTTTTGGCCAGTAGACCCCTTGATTTTTAGGTCAAGGTCACATTGACCTTTTATATTAAATCAGTTTGGGACCTACAATCTACAGCCTATGGGCCCTTTGCACTCAAACTTAACAAGTTAGCAGGTGCACTGATCTTTGTCAGTAGATGAGCCCTATTGATTTTGGGGTCAAAGGTCTAGGTCATATTCACTTTGTAAAAATAGTTTCCTAGCAATAACTCAACCCGTATGCTCAACTGCTCATGGCCCCCAAACTTCACAGGTGCATTGATCTCTACCAGTCGGTGATCCTCATTGGTTATGGGAGCAGGGGGCCAAAGGTCAAGGTCACATTCACCTTGTTTTGTATCATATCATATGAAACTAGAAATGACTATGATTATTAAAAATGTTGTAAACCTTCTGTTTTTTTGTTTGTTTTTTTTTTAAGAAAAATGTTAACATTTTTTTTTTGCCTTTTTTCATAAACACATACCCTTACATATCAGTTTCTCTATGAATTTCATAATGGGTGCTTATTCTTACTACCCATTAAAGGTAAGATAGAGGGGGCATATGTGTCATTTTCATATTTTCTTGTCACATATAAATTTACACTGTTATGTTTATGTTGTTGTTTTTTATTTGCAGAGTAAATCAGATATAAGGAATTTCTTCAGCTTAGGTGCAGCCAAGAAGACTGAAAATAGGTCAACAGCAGAAAAAAGTAAGGACTCTGACACTGGTTTGACGAAAATCAAGAATGGCAAAGAACATCATAAAAATGACCTTCCCATCTCAAATAAAGTTAATACAAAAGACAGTGATATAAATGGGAATAAAAAGAATGAAAATGATTCTAAGAAGAAAAAAGAAAGCAAAAGTAGGGATAAAAGTCGTGATAAAATTGACTGTAAAAACAAATCGAGAAAATCTGATAAGAAAGTGGACATAGATATTAGTGAAGATGTCATTGAAATAGATGATGATTCTCTTCCTGAAGCACCTGTGAAGGATAAAAAGAAAGATAAAGCAAAGAAAAAAGGTCAGGAAAAAGATGTGGAAGAAGTTCCTGTTGAGAAGAAAAAAGGAAAGAAAAGAAAGAAAGAGGTGAGTACCAACTAATTATACCTAAAAATTGAATTTGTTTGGCTTTAGGACTGAAAAATTCAGTAACTTTTGGTTTTTATGTTTTGGGTACAATTTAAAGCAAAATAAACCCAATAAAATACAAAGTCTGCTCTACATGTAGATTATATGAATTTTGATACAAATATAAAATTTACAACCAAACTCTCACATTGGTTTGCAGATCTATTTTGCATACAATTATAGAAAAGTTCTACAATGCCTTCCATAAGCCCCTGCAGATAAGAAAATAACTTGCTGCTGCTAAATATATAACCATACCATTCTTAAAAGTTACTATGGATGAATTTACTGCTAGCTACCTTCAGATTTCCTTTTTCGGCTTTTAATATTAATAAAGTTAGTGAACATCCATTTAAAAACAAGCTGAGTGAAATAGAAAGGCCTAGCTAAAGGTGTTATAGATTAGGCCTAAAATAAAATATTTTGAACTCAATTATTATATAAATTTGATAGAAAAAAAAACATTTTGGAGAAAAAAGACCCTCCAGTTAAAATCCTGAGTGTCAAATTAGGTCTTTTGGAAATTTGAAATGTCAAACAGTCATTTCAAGGGTCAAACGAACACTTTGTACTTGGATTTAAACTTGACAGTAAAATTTTGATATATTTGCAAGATAACTAAAAGCATTTTGATATATTTAGGTATCAAGTGATGACGACTTTGATGTAAAGATTGAAGATGACGATGATGATGACATGGTCGTTAGAAAATCGAAAACCATGAAGAAGAAAGGAAAGAAAATACAGAAACTTCTAGACTCAGGTCAGTGTTGATAGTGAGATATTGAAATATATCACACCGACTACAAAATACTTTTTTTCTCATTGGATGTTTTGATGTCACATGGTGACTCAATATATCCTTTATTAAGTAGCTGAATATATTGAGTGTGACCTATAATGTGTCGGTGTGACGGAAAACCCACTTAAGGTGACAACAGACACTTTCCGTGGTACTCGCATAAATGTCATTTAAACCAACTTATTTCAGTAATAATTGTTATTTATTTAATCTTTGTGCATTAAATGTCGTTGATCATCATAAAAATAACATATTTGAAAATAATGCCTTTGTAAATGATTGAATTTTAATAAAAATCCTAAAATTTTAAATCGTCATATCAAAGTTATTTTTTATTTTTTTGTCATCAAACTTTTGGAAAGTAAACATACTTATAATATCTTGGGAACCGTGTCTCAAATTTTTTCTATCTTTTCTCAAAAAAATATTACGTAACGTCAAACATTTTATGCGACTTTTTTCACCATACATATTACGTAATTATAGATAATTAAATCGCTGATTGAGCAAACAAAAATTCCTGACACGGTTCCCTCCGTAAATGAATTCCCTTTCATGTGCTTTAAACCGCATGTTAATTGCTTGATTATTAAAAGTTATGCCGATTCAAAGTTAGCCCGACCCGCATCAAACGAAGTGTCATAAATCGGCTGTTCTCTCTCGGACCCCTACGTTTCACGCTTAATAATTGCATAATACACAAATATCGCACCAGAGAGGGTCACAAGTTGCGGTAACATACTCTAACAACATTTTATGACCCAGTGACATCTGACCAATTAAAAAGTTGCTGATTAATATCAATTCATTACAGAAATATCTTCAAATCTTAACGTGATTTACCTTCCGTCTGATATCGGTCGCACATGTCACGTGACTTTCGGTAAAATTTGGTGGGGGGGGGGATGGCACGTAGCGGGGTATTTAATTGTTTCACTTTTGAAGTTTATTATTATTATTATTATTATTATCATCGGCATTATTATTATATTACACCAGTGTCACTCTGTCTGTGTATTCGTGTATGAAATTCCGTTAAAATATAAATTAAAATAACAAAAAAATGAGCTTCTGACGGTCTTTTAAAGTCCACGGTAGAACGGGATATTATATATTTTTTCCTCCAAATTGATATAAATGCTTAACATATTTTAATAGAAATAAAAGGTATCACTCGATCATAATGATCTGACCTTCTTGACTTCTATGATCATGAAAATCATCTATGCACGGCATAGAGATCCAGTTTCTACTGGGATATACAATAAATTCCATAATTTGTTCCAGGTTTATTAGTACTGTGTTCGATTTACTGGCGAACAATTTATTCAAAGCATTCACTGATAATATACTCGTATTTTATTATCTTTTTTATTGATTCATAGAGAAATAATCATCCTTAGACAACCCAAAATGGTTTAGAAATTTGTCAGGGACACTTTAAATTACAACAAGTCATATAGGCGTTCACATAGAAAATGTTGTCTGTTTTGTTGTTGTTTTACTTGACATTGTTAGAAAACGAGGTTGAATGTAAAGCAAGCCCTTGAATACGTACAAAAGTCCATAAACTCAATGTAATATCTATCAGATTAACCGGACAGACAAATTATTTTCACACATTATGGATATTTTAGCATCAACCACGTGGTCGTGCGATTTGCCGCTATATATTTATGTTTCATACATTATGTTACGTACATTGGCCGACAATTTCTTATTTTATAAAAAAAAGGCTAAATAAAAGGTAGACGATATTCATAAAAGATGTACGGTATTTGTACGATACATGAATTACGGGTAGTATGGACCAGTATGGACCGGTAATTCACGCATATATGGAACTACCGATTTCCCTCATTGATGCCTCAACAGGGGGCGGAGCGTTATTGATAATTGACAGGTTACGCGAATAGCAGATAAAAATGGTACAGGTACCGTTTTAAAACGTTTAAAAACACATTTTTTGGACTAACTACTTCCAAAATTAAATCACGAATGTGTTCAGAAAAGGTTGATAAATCGACTAAGCAAAAAATCTCATTTTAGGTATTTTCAGTGATAATTGACTCCGTTGTCACCTTAAAAAAAAAAATTAATTCAGAATATATTGGGCAATATAATTATAAATGTAAAAAAAGATGCAAGAATTGTCTATATTTCAGTTTATTATTAAGGTAGTAAGAATGACACTGAACATATCAATACTGCTTTCTTCAGTTTAAATTACTCCAAAATATTTTAGGGTTTTTCTTTATCTATTAAATTTAAGGGTGAAAATTATTCTATAGTTGGGGAAAAATTATACTTTTTAGGAGTGGAATGGGGTCCATTTTCAACCTGAAATTGACCTTAAAAATCACTGGCTAGTGTTTATTTTGATAATGTAAAAGCTGTTAAACTATAAATAAAAGTTTAATATAAATATTGTCGAAACCTTTATAAGGGAAGGGGTGTGGAAATCTGGATTTTTCCCCTACTTGCTTACAAACAGTTATATTTTTGGGCTGTATTTCAAATATTCTTAGGTTTTTGTTTGTTTATTTTTAAGGTGAGAACTGTTTATTCTGGATTTGGAATGGGGCCTTTCCTTTAACAGACTTTCCCTAGCTTTCATATTTTTAAAGTGTTGTCATAATTTATTTGGCTTATATCAAGACAAAACTTGGTCATGGATGTACAGGCTTGCATTTTTATGTACTGGTGTCACTGACTTTTCACTTCCAAATTCAATTCCAGTATTCTATGTATAAAAAACTATTTACTGTTAAATCTTTATAAGATTATGACCGTTTAGTTTGTAAGTTTTTATTACAGATTCAGATGAGGACCCTTTTCCAAAAGACAAAAAGCAAAAAAAATCCAAGAAGAAGCAGACGGTGGTTCATATAGGAGGAGCTGGTATGTTGTTACACTGGAAGCCGGTACAGACTGGAATATCGGGCTCGAGAGTAAATGTTTAAGGTGGTAACAAGGCACTGCGAGCAGTTACTTGAGAGCCAGCTATTCCTGTCTGTTATGGCAGTGAGTGTATGATTATTTTTATTGCTTATTACATACTGATCATAGTGTAACAAAAAAAAAAAATTTTTACCTAGTAATTGGGTACTAGAGTAATTTGCAACTTTTTTCAAACAGTGGGATGATATGATTTTAAAGCACAATACTTTTGAAATGTGGTCAGTCAGAGCAGACTTGTTAAACAACTTGTGTCCCAACATTATATCAAAACTGTGACACTTGTTTAGCCATTTTTAGTCCTTTCCAAGTATGAAAACATTGTCCTTTAGTATGTTGATGAAAATAGCTCTCAAATTATACAAAAATAACCAATTTTGACAGGACTGATTCAAATTATAAATTTTTTTTTACAATTTATATATAAAAAGGTATATTTTTTTATTTTTTATTGGTAATTTGACCTTTTAAGTAGCTGCTATAAAACAAGAAGAGAAATTAAACCCTGTTGTCAGAAAAATGAATATTTCTTACCTTTTAGAAGAATGCATTGAAGAGGAGGTTAAACCAAAGAAAACCTTCCTGGATAATTTTTTAACAAGTCCAAGCCCAAGTAAAACAGCTAAACGCAAGACTGAAGCGGAAAAACAAGAGGTGAAAGGTCAGGAGGTGAAAGTTACGGATTTCTTTGGAAAGTCATCAATACATCGAGTGGAGAGAAAGATTATACATGTTGAGAGAAAACCAGAAAAGGTATAAGTTACAAGTCCTATTATTTCCTGTAAAGTTCTTCTGGAGGGAAAAAAAGAGAAAGCATTGTGAAAACACAAATGTATGTAAACTGTTTTACCAATGTTTATATGAAATTACTAAGAAAGTTACATCACCTGCCTCGAATATCTGACTTGGGGCTAACTGTTTTAGGCGATAGCACTGTTCTGTCCATTCTTTTTTCTTTTGCATATTACATATTGATAATAGTTTGAGAAGATAAAAGTCAGGCTGATATTAATCACAAACTAACAAAGTTTATCAAGGCATGTTTTGCTTTAATAAGCGTCATCAGTTGATATGATAAATAACCTATTATAAGTCTGATATTAAGGAAATTCTAAATAATTATGACCTAGATTAATTCTCAATTCAGAAGGAAGAGAAAAAGGACAGTATAAGCATGGAGGTAGATGACATAGAAATGCACAGTGATGATGAGTTTGAACGAACTTTAGAACTTTTAGATGAAGAGGCAATTACCTGTTCTAAGGTAAATATATGGAGGAATTTGATTACACCAGCCAGGTACTGACCAGAATATCTATCTCAATGGTAACTGTTGACGGCGGTTACCCTCAAGCTAGATCTGCTGGCCTATGATGACAGCCAGTGTTTGATTCCTTTTTGTGTCGCCTTGAAAAGGTGACATATAGGGGTTACTTTCGTCGGCGGCGTCTGTGTCGGCGTCGTTGTCGGCGTCGTCGTCGGCATCCCCTAAAGCTTGTCCGGAGCATAACTCAGTCACTGTAAGTCTGATTGACTTCAAACTTGGTATGCATGCTTCTTTCAATAACCCGAAGTGCAGTGCACAAGGACCGGTACTCTGCAGTTCTTATTTTTTGAGTTATTGCCCTTTGTTAATTTTCATACTTTAATTTTGTCCGGGCCATATCTCTTCAACTAAAAAAGCTATGGACTTGAAACTTCATAGGATGATAGATCTCATTAAGAAGAAGTGCAGTGCATAAGAACCGGTACTCTGCACTTCCTAATTTTTGAGTTATTGCCCTTTGTTAATTTTCATACTTTATTTTTGTCCGGGCCATTTCTCCTAATGTATAAAAGCCATGGACTTGAAACTTCATAGGATGATAGGTCTCATTAAGAAGAAGTGCAGTGCACAAGAACAGGTACTCTGCATTTCTTGTTTTTTGAGTTATTGCCCTTTGTTTATTTTCATACTTTAATTTTGTTCGGGCCATTTCTCCTTAAGTATAAAAGCTATGGACTTGAAACTTCATAGGATGATAGATCACATTAAGAAGAAGTGCAGTGCACAAGAACTGGTACTCTGCATTTCTTAATTTTTGAGTTATGGCCTTTTGTTGATTTTCATACTTAATTTTTGTCCAGGCCATTTCTCCGAAAGTATAAAAGTTATGGACTTGAAACTTCATAGGATGATAGATCTCATTAAGAAAAAGTGCAGTGCATAAGAACTGATACTCTGCATTTCTTATTTTTTGAGTTATTGCCCTTTGTTGATTTTCTTACTTTATTTTTGTCCTGGTCATTTCTCCTCAAGTATGAAAGCTATGGACTTGAAACATCATAGAATGATAGGTCTTATTGATAAGAAATTCAGTGCACAGATATGCTGCTCTGCACTTATTATTTTTTTAGTTATTGCCCTTTGTTGTTTTTCATATTTCATTTTTGTCCTGGCCATTTCTCCTAAACTACATTGTTCACAAGGCGACACATCCGACTCGCGGAGTTCTAGTTCTTGCATTTAACTACAATAATCATAATTGAGAAAGAAATTGTGAACACTAATATTTTCATTTAGCATTTCCCTTTTCTTTTAGAAGTGTAACTTCATTCAAAATGGCAAAATGACATTCTAAGGATGCAATACATTCTTAAAAGACGCATGCACAGGAATGACATCATTTAACGCACGCAAATGGTCTTGTGTAGGTGTAAGATGGGGGGGGGGGGGTTTATCACCAGTGTAAATGAAGAACCCTGTCCAACAGCACCCAGATAATTTCATGCATTTTGGTTGGTGAAGTTAAGCCCTATAATGTTAAAATGCTGAAATAAAAAATCAGAAATTATTCCAGGTCAACCCATTTATACCTGTGTTTGTACATTTCATTAAATGTAAAAATAATGTTGCCTGGAATTTTTGTTAAAGTAGTAATTGTAGAAAAGTTTAGTGTTGTAATACCTGCTAGTTATGCTTTTGTTTATGGTTTTAGAAGACAGAAGACATTAAAGCAGAGAAGAGTGAACCTGTGAAAGAAGAGAAAGGTATGTAATTATCAAGGTTTTTTTTTTATTTCAGAGCTCTTGCAATGCAGTTATATTAATTTGTTAAAAAGCAATGATTTCGCTTTTAAAGAAATATAATTATAGACATAATTCTTTCATAGTATTTTGGAAATATTCGGGGTTGTTTTCTTTCTTTTTTTTTTCAAAATTCAAATAATGATTTTTGCAGCAGATAAATACTGTATACATTTTACAGGATTTTTTTTATCATTTTTTGTCCCCACCAGTATTATTATAGTCATGTTCATGTATGTAAAGGTGTTGGACTGAAAATACCTACCAACTGGATCTATAAAGTCCGGGTCTAAAGGTACATTTTTTTCCAAAGGCTCTTTAAGCTTAAAAAGGTAATATTTTCATTTTTCAAAATTTGATAGGAGGACCTCTTACAGTTTCCAAAATATCATTTATTGACCAAATAGCTGAGCCATCTTTTGCTTCTTTTGCTATTTTGAATTAAGTACAGTTAAAGTGATTTGGTATTTTATATTGATGTCAAAATACTACTTTGTTTACATTTTGCAACCTTTTTAATTTCAGTGATTATTTCACATCTGACACACTTTACTTCCGATGATAAGCTTCTAAACTGTTCTAAATCCACAACTACAACATTTTAAAACACATGTTTGCACATTCTTCAAATAAAAAAAAAAGAATATTTATTTCAGAAGTTTTATTTGCCTTTAAAAAGGGCCATGCTTAGTCTTACTAAAAGTTGCATGTTTGTATTTTCTTTTAAGGGTTTTTAAAGAAAAACCAGTCTGTAAGAAAATTTAGCAAATTTAAAGGGGAAAGCAGTCTTTTGGAAAAACCCCAAAGATAAAAAAACATGGAAATTCTTGTTGCTGTTTAAAACCTGATTAAAAAACGGGGTATGCTGCAATTAATTTAAATGAAAAATATATATTGTTTCAGTGGATATTGATGGTGCCAGCTTTAATTTATAACAGTATGTTTATTGGTCCACATGCATGTAAATTCTTACGCTTGTTTGCCTTTCCAAGTGGAAGAATTGTGACAGAGTTTAATAAATTCCACTTTTTGAAGAAAAACTGAAGCTATTGTCATGGCACATGCCTTGTTGGTGTTGGGTTACCTTTTTGGTTAAGTTTTCAGTTATGGTCATTAACAACAATATTAACTACAGTAACAGTACATTGTATTACATGTTGATTAAATTTTACTTCAGCACTCGCCCAAGAAAGCCAAAATGGAATTTGTTATGCATCGTACTGAGAGAAAAGCGGACAAATCTCCAACAAAGCCAAAGGATTCTCCGACAAAGCCCAAGGAATCTCCGACAAAACCGGAAATGAAAACGCCCCCAAGGAAAACTCCTGAAAAGGGAGATAATAAAACCGGGAGTGCAGAGAAGAAAATCAGCCCAGCAAAAACTGACTCTAATGTAATATTTCTTCTTATCATGAACAAAAAAACAATACTGCAAAGCAATGCATATATTTTGTTATTACATCAATTGCATTTTTACAAGCATATCTTACAGTGACACTAAATGTTTTGTAACTGTATGTTAGTGTTTCAGTGAAAAAATATTTTTTTAAACTGTAATTTTCCACTTGCCCCTCACTGTTGTTTTGAATCCCAACAGGGACTTTGGATTCTTTCATGTGAGGAAGCTATCAAGCTAGCTTACGAAATATCGATGGTTCTACTCAGATGCCTGTTCCTGTCTGAAATAATGCACGGAAGGGCACCTGAGGTCTTCCACCATAAGTAAAACTGGAATGTTGCCCTATGACCTATACTGTGTCGGTGTGACTTAAAACCCAATCAAACAAATAAACTGTGATTTAGATATGTGATGAATAGAATATTATATTTATGTGACTTAATAACTTAATTAGTTAAACTAGTAGACTATAATATTATGCTAACTTGAGACTCTGTAAAATGAAAAATAACTGGTATTGTTTTTAACTGTAATTTGGTTATGTGATAAACAAAATGTTATGTCTGTTTAGCATTATAACTAAATTTATTAAACTTGTCAAAATATTTATCTTGCCACATGGCCGTATAATATAATTTATCAAACTTGTTTAATAAATTCAATATTAAACCAACCCTCATTTCAATGTCATCCGTTTACTTAATTTCAGTAGGGGTGGGAATTTATTATCTAGGATTATTTTTCGTAAATTTTTCTATCATGTAAGCAATGAACAAGGCTTCATGTTTCGAGAGAGGTGAAATTTTAAAATAACTTTTATCATCTTTAAATATTGAGTCATTGAAATAATGAAATTATTTATAGCATTTGTTATAGAATGAGAACAATGTGCAGTCTGACTTGGACTCAAACATTGAACTCTCGAGGAATAACTTTCTTACAGTTGTGTGGATAGAGCTAAGCGGCTGCCTACATCCTTTCTTGCCCATCATTTCTCTACTATGACAACGTTGTTTGTGTGTAAGCATTGTTTATTTAAAATGAGAGGCATACTAATAGTGTTATTTAACATGGTTATTTACAGACTCCAGGCACTAAAGGTACTGGCTACAGGTCCTATTTGAATAGAGCTGGGCCACAGGCTCTAGGCTCTAAGGAAATTCCCGAGGTAAACTGTTTACTTTATCTTACTTTATATAAGGTATGATGGACATTAACAAGCTTTGAGTTTGGAAGTATTTCTAGTAAATTCTAAAGAATTCTTTTGGCACATTTAGCAGTGTCATTTACACTTGCAAACAAAAATTTGATTACAAAGTAAGTGGTACAGGAAAAACCTCAAATTTTGGGTTTTTTTTAGATAGAATTGGATATTTTCTAAAGTTTATTAATTGGTTAAGAGGCCTGTTGAAGTAATATATGTTTTCGCCAATTAATAACTTGAATAAATATTACCCTGTGACTTTGAACCATGACCAGTGAAAACATTCAAGTCTTAAGACATTGTGCAGAATTTTTACCCTGTGTATCCTTAATGTTGATATTGTTATAAATATTTTATTATATCAGGGAGCGGAGAATTGTTTAGAGGGTCTGACATTTGTTATAACTGGTGTACTAGAGTCATTTGAGAGAGATGAATCAAAGAGCATGATAGAGCGGTATGGGGGCAAGGTGACTGGTAATATTAGCAAGAAGACCGACTACCTAGTAGCAGGAAGAGATGCTGGACAAAGTAAAATGACTAAGGTATAGTTATGATATTTTATTTTAAAGTTGTTTTTTTTTTTTTCAAATAAAAAGTATTAAGAACATTAATTCAGAGGCACCATGGAAGGCTTAACTTGTATTCAGGGATTCAACAATATGTTTCGGTACCTATTGTCCTGCAGAACAGGTAGCTGCCAAATTTTATAAGCAGGGTACATGTTTCTATTTATTTACTGCTGCACGTTCTTTCAACTTCTGCTTGAATATACAAGCAAACAAGTGAATTTCTTTATCCTTCGCACTGCAACAAAATAGAATATCTTTTACAATAAACTGGCATGTAAATGCTGGTAACAATCGCAGCATCACAAATAATATATACATCCTTAACCTGCTGAAACTGTGTAATGGATTTGCCCTGCTTTAAATTTGGAATAGTCCATTCAAAGTTTTAGGGATTTTAAATATTAAAATACAAAAATTGAGCTAACAACAGTACAGAGCCTGATCAGACAACACAGAAGTGGAAGGTTGACATGGCTCTATAATGTTGACAAAGGCTAGGAACACTTCGGTTCAAACAGGTAAAGGGTTAAGAGAAGCAAGGGAATACAGCTTAGAAGTAGTTGTATAATTTTTATCTGTATGGACAAGCCCCTTAAAATAACAATAAGACCTTACCAGATTTAAAGCAGGGCAGGTCCAATATTTAAGGTAGTCTTACTTCAATGCTTTCCCGCCAAAAAATTTCTAACATCGGCCAATATTGTAATAAATCGGTCATTTCCAGAATGTTATTTTCCACAATCTTCGATATTGAATCATTTATATTGGGAATTTAGTACATAGAGGATATTGAATAATTGTAAGTTCAATACTGAACTTGTTGAATGAGTTTATTATTATATTATGCGAGCCTCTAGCGAGCATAATATTATTTTATTCAACAGGTTCAATAAATTCAGTAATGAACTTACACAAATTTAATATTCCATTTATCACATACCAAAAATAAAGAAGATTTAAAGTGAAAAAAGTCATTTTCCATTTGACACCCCTATGGTATAATGCTAACATTTAGCTCGTCTTTACACTATATTTGTATAACGCTAATGACATCACATCAAAATATATGCATGGCGGTGCAATACCATTTTTATATGCCCGAAAGGGCATATTATGTTATACCCCCTGGCGTCCGTCTGTCTGTCCGTCCGTACTCACAGGAGAGTAATTATGTGGCTAGAGGGACAATAGGTAACTGTTCTTTCTCTTTGATGTCATTCATTCCGTAATGCTTTTATGTGGCTATTTTCTTTAGTGTGGCTAAAAAGAACAATAGAGAGAACAATAGAGTAGCCACATAATTACTCTCCTGTTAGAACGTCCGTCCGTCCGTCCGTCCGTCTGTCCGTCCGTACGTCCGTCCGTCCGTTAGCAATTTGGTTTCCGGAGCATAACTTAAGTTCCATTTGGCCCACAATGTTAAAACTTCATTAGGATGATTGTCCATATTGGGTAGAAGACCCCTATTGATTTTGGGGTCAAAAAGGTCAAAGGTCAAGGTCACTATTACCTTAAAACTGAAAACGGTTTCCGGAGCATAAACTTAAGTTCCATTTGACCCACAATGTTTAAACTTCATAGGATGATTGTCCATATTGGGCAGAAGAACCCCTATTGATTTTTGGGGTCACAAGGTCAAAGGTCAAGGTCACTATGACCTTGATACTGAAAACAGTTTCCGGAGCATAACTTAAGTTCCAATTGGCCCACAATGTTCAAACTTCATAGGATGATTGTCCATATTGGGTAGAAGACCCCTATTGATTTTGGGGTCAAAAGGTCAAAGGTCAAGGTCACTATTACCTTAAAACTGAAAACGGTTTCCGGAGCATAACTTAAGTTCCATTTGACCCCACAATGTTCAAACTTCATAGGATGATTGTCCATATTGGGAAGAAGACCCCTATTGATTTTGGGGTCACAAGGTCAAAGGTCAAGGTCACTATGACCTTGAATACTGAAAACAGTTTCTGGAGCATAACTTAAGTTCCAATTGGCCCACAATGTTCAAACTTCATAGGATGATTGTCCATATTGGGTAGAAGACCCTATTGATTTTGGGGTCAAAAGGTCAAAGGTCAAGGTCACTATTACCTTATAACTGAGAACAGTTTCCAGAGCATTACTTAAGTTCCATTCGACCCACAATGTTCAAACTTCATAGGATGATTGTCCATATTGGGTAGAAGACCCCTGTTGATTTTGGGGTCAAAAGGTCAAAGGTGAAGGTCACTATTACCCTTGATACTGAAAACAGTTGCCGGAACATATGTTAAGTTCCATTTGGCCCACAATGTTCAAACTTCATAGGATGATTGTCCATATTGGGTAGAAGACCCCTATTGATTTTGGGGTCAAAAGGTCAACGGTTAAGGTCATCCTTACTAAAAAAAAAAATACTTTCGGGCATATAATGCTCCGCCTAGCGGTGCTCTTGTTAGGGAGTTGCAAGAGTGGCATGGGTATGTGATAAATAGCAATAAAGTATGAGTGATTGTAAATAATCTGATGCCCAAGATTTTGCAATAATAATGTGCCGGAAATAACAGATTTGCTACGACATTGGCCGATGTTAGATTTTATTTTTTTTTTGGCCTGAAAGCATTGCAGTAAAAACTTTCCCTTTAAATTGAGATGTTTAAAAGTTATAGAAAAAACGCTATGGAAAAGAAAAAGAACGATATTGTGAAAACATTGAGTTAATCTGTTAAAATTTTTTTAGGGGCTGACATGAAAAAAAAGTTATAAAAGAAGAAAGAACTGTTAGACCCGAAACAGAACAAAGACCAGGAAAGAAAACCAAGTACACCAAAAAAGGCTGAGGAATCTTTTTTAAAAAGGGAGAAAAGTTGTCCAAAACCCGTTGTAAAAAAAGCTGTAAAATACTTTGCTACGCAAATTTTAAAATAAAGAATTGGGGTTGGTAAATTTTTTATATAATTTTGCTAAGGGAACTGGCTTTCCTTTGGTATTGGGGTGAAATGTTTTGGAAACATTGGTAAAAAGTTTTGGGTTTTTTTTAAAATGCATTTGGGCTAGTAACTTGAACTACTAAATTTCCACTCTGAATTTGAATTTTTTTCCTACCCAAGAAAAACTACAATATTTTTTGCTGTCTGGCCAGTGTTTATTTTTGACCACAGGTCAAATGTTGATCACCATTTTCTATTCATCCATTAAATCATTTAATAGAAGTCAGTTCTAAACAAAGAGATCTAAAAAACCAGCTAGTTCTAAACAAATTCTAAACAAAGAAGTTTAAAAAACCATTCAGTTCTTAACTAAGAAGTTTAAAAACTAGTCCGTTCTAAAAAAGGTTTAAAAACCTGTAAGTTCTAAACAGAGGTATAAAAACAGCTCTAAAAATGGTTTAAAAAATGTAAAAAAAAACACAAGATCATTTTTTTGTTGTAAGAAAAGATCATATCTATTTTATAAAAAAAAAAAAAACCTGCAAAGTTTCAATTACAGGAGAATTCTATGAATAAAACACCAAGTGGGAAATTAGATTCTTTTAAAAGAGACAATACTACAGAATCTGAAAGTGTTAGTAGATTACAAAGTTCATCATCTAGGTCGAATAGCCAGTCAGAATCAACTAGTCATGACCAATCAGTGAACAGAAATAAAATTCACACAGACAATCCTCAGTCCTCGTTACTGTGGGTCGACAAATATAAACCAACTCAGATGAAGCAGATAATTGGTCAAACTGGTGATAAAAGTAACGCTAAGAAATTACTTCATTGGTTAAATAACTGGCATAAAAACCAGTCAGCCGGGGTTAAACCAGTGACGGGAAAGTTTTTTGGACGTGGTGGAAGTGATGACGGGGCGGGATTTAAAGCAGCGTTGCTGTCGGGGCCTCCAGGTATAGGAAAAACAACAACGGCAACAATTGTGTGTAAAGTGAGTAGGTTTGGTTTCTCTTGTTTATTTTGGACTCTGATACAGGATGATTCCGCCTCGTTCTACATAGTATAAATATCCCCTCTGATATTTTTGCGGCTAGGGAAATATTAAAGGAAGCCATCCTTTAAAGTTTGGGAGAAAATAACCTGATATTTTTGCAAAAGGGGAAGAAAAAACTATCATATAGATTTACTCAATGAAAGACCGAAAAGAGTCCTCGATTATAAAGAAGCTTCAATATATGAGCAATATACATGTATCTCTATGCCAGATATGCATGAATAATTTAACTTTGAATCAACATCATTACACAACATATTTGAAAACAACAGGAAGTGAAGTGCGATATCAGCAAAAGATCTTTTGATAAAAACATTTTACAAACTTGATGAAAAATTGATAATTTATATGAAAAGAGAACAAAAACAAGAATTGATTTTTACTTATAAAAGGTGAATTGATCATTATGCATAAACTGTCTAAACTTCAATGTTTTATTTTCAATGTATAATTGAACATGACTTTTTGTTTTCTTTAACATTGATTCAAATAAGAGATTTATCCATTTATATCTGTGTTTTGAAATCAATTTTATTTTCATTCAAATTTGTTGTGTTATTTGATTATTTTTCGATTTTCTTCTTTATCTCACAGGAAGCTGGCTTTTCTTTTGTTGAATTGAATGCCTCTGATACAAGGAATGCTAAAAGTTTAAAGGAGGTTGTGTCTCAGTCTGTAGGTAACACAAGTATAGTAGACTACATTGGATCTGGCTCATCGACCACACACGGACTCAAACATTGTTTGATAATGGACGAGGTGGATGGTATGAGCGGGAATGAGGACCGTGGAGGCGTACAGGTTAGTGTGGCATTTGTTTCTTGTCTAAATGTCTGAATAGTGAATTTGATTTTTGCCTTAATTCCTGGAATAAGTGAATTAGATTCTTGTCTAGATTTCAGGAATTAGTGAATTTGTTTCTTGTCTAAATTTTAGGAATTAGTGAATTTGTTTCTTGTCTAAATTTCAGGAATTAGTGAATTTGTTTCTTGTCTAAATTTTAGGAATTAGTGAATTTGTTTTTTGTTTAAATTTCAGGAATAAGTGAATTTGTTTCTTGTCTAAATTTTAGGAATTAGTGAATTTGTTTTTTTGTTTAAATTTCAGGAATAAGTGAATTTGTTTCTTGTCTAAATTTCAGGAATTAGTGAATTTGTTTCTTGTCTAAATTTCAGGAATTAGTGAATTTGTTTCTTGTCTAAAATTTTAGGAATTAGTGAATTTGTTTTTTGTTTAAATTTTAGGAATTAGTGAATTTGTTTCTTGTCTAAATTTCAGGAATTAGTGAATTTGTTTTTTGTTTAAATTTCAGGAATAAGTGAATTTGCTTCTTGTCTAAAATTTTAGGAATTAGTGAATTTGTTTTTTGTTTAAATTTCAGGAATAAGTGAATTTGTTTCTTGTCTAAATTTCAGGAATTAGTGAATTTGATTAAGAACACAAAAATTCCAATAATCACAATGTGTAATGACAGAAACCATCAAAAAATGAGAACTCTATCAAACCATTGTTTTGATCTGCGATTTCAACGACCCAGGGTGGAACAAATTAAAGTAGGTGTTTTATTTTTTTTATATAACAAATTTTAGTTTTTTTTTATACTTTAAAAATTTCTTTTTAATGTTTCTCCGTTCAATGTTTTGCCATTCAAACTTATTTTATTACTTAAATGAAGCTAGAAAAGTAATATATAGTTTTTTATTTAGAGCTTTTTCTTTGTTCACAAATTTTGTATCTGTGTGTAACACCTTTTTTTCTGTCCTTAGGCTGCTGTGATGTCTATAGCTTTTAAAGAGGGTCTGAAAATTCCCCCTCCAGCTGTTAATGAAATTATACTGGCAGCTAATCAGGATATGAGACAGGTAATTACTGTTATACAAGGTAACATTCTACATATTGTGCTATTGCTATTGTAAAACATCGGTAGTTTACCCTCAGTCAGTGGCCAGGTGGTTAAAATCACTTTCCCTTCACTGATGTTGGTTCGAATCCTTTCAGGGGCTTTGGATTCTTGAGTGGCCATTGGCCAAGTAGTTAAAGATACCTGCTTCAAATCACTTCCCTTCACTGTTTTGAGTTCATATCTTGTAAGGGGCTTTCATATGAGGATGCTATCCAGCTTACTTATGGAAAGTTGGTGATTCTACTGTGGTGCCTATTTGTTCCTCTGGGCACTTGAGGTCTTCTTGTAAAGCTGGAAAGTCCTCACATGACCTTAGTGGTTGCTAATATGAATTGTTTTTCCCCCACTGCTGAAAGTTTAAACTATGCAGGGCCTTTTTTCACTGTATGACAGGTCCCTTCATATTTAGAAGAAGGTCCCTTCACAATTCAAAAAATTCCAGCTTCCATTCCAATGAAGTGCCACTTTCACAATAAAGATGTCTTTGATTGCTGCCACCAAACAGTATTACAACTAAATTAAATACAATCAAAGCTATCTTAACATATTATGTTGAAATGTTATATCTCGTGCAAAAGTTTTATTTTTATCAAATAAAATAATTCTTCATCCAGCACAACTTCAAGTAAAGCTACTGACATGTTTTTTAAATGTTATAAAAATTATATTTGCCATTTTTTGGAAGGAAAAAAAATTGTTTCGGGTCAAAATGTGCCTTTAAAGAAATAATACTTAACTGTTAAAATTTCAAGAATAAATTAATATTTTTTCCTTCATAAAGCAAATAGGGACAGGCACCTTAACAATTTAGGGTAAGAAAGCCTTATAATTCCAAGATAGACTGATGAATTCTTCCATGTGAGATAGTTAACTGGTTAACTTACTAGCTGAAAGTTCTATACAGGTCAAACAATTTATGATCGCTGCATTGTTGTCATCATGCAGAAAATTTAATGTAGCCCATTATTCAATCATTTGAAAAGTTATAAACATGAAACTTGGAATACTTGTTTATTATGACAAAGTGCAGTTGTTATGATAAGAGGTATACTTTTAAAGGTTATCAGGGTTTCCATTGACTCACATTTCCTGCGTCCTTGACGCTAAAATATAAACTAAGGACCCGCAATTACTTATTGCCTGCGTCCTCAGGGACGCAAATCTGTAAATCCTGTTTTGAAAGATCTTTCCGTTTTTAAAAGGAAATTGCGTAAATTTGTAGACGGGTTTATATTGTATACAACAGAGTTATCTTTCTTTCAATAAAAAATCTGTTCAATGCCGAATAAAACGGCGCATGATTGAATTTAGAACTACATTCGAAATGGGTAGCAGTCTACCTCGTTGCTAGGCATTTTATAAAGATGTCGGCTGCGGCAAAAAATCCCGAAGTTTTAATGAAAAAAGCTAGACAATATCTATAACTAATACCTATCTTTTAAACTTATTCATGATAGGGACCCTCTTAATATTCCATGGGACCCTCATATTTTAGGAACATGAGTCCCTGGGACCCCTAGATAAAAAATCCTAGCAGAAATCCTGGGTTATATCTTTGGAGTTCTACCCCTTTTAAACTTCAAATTTTTGTAAAAATTTGGTTGCTTTTAACAGGAGAGTGTAAATACTGCATGTGGTGCTCTTGTTTTATTACAGGTAATACATAATTTGTCCATGTGGACTGCAGCAGACAAGGTGATAACTTATGATCAAGTCAAGACTGATGCACAGCATGCCAAGAAAGACATGAAAATTGTAAGCAGATTTTTCTTACCTTCTCAAAGAAATAAATAAGTTTTATTTAACCAAACGTTAACTCTTTGAGTGTGATAAATTTACAAGAGACATAAAAGTATTTCAGTGAAGTCTCTTTAATCCTCTTCCGCAAGGCATGGTGGGGATTATATAGGAATTCAGAGTACAAGTTCAAGGTTACCCACAAGTTAACGTCATGCCCCCCAGAGGTCAAGGTTATATGTTCGTCATTGAAGATTTTAAATAACTGGCACAAATAATCACTATCATGGGACCATGTGATTATGATATGCATGGCACAACATTAAGGTCAGACAGTTGGTTAAATTCAGAAATTATGAGATTAATAGAGAATTAATGGTTCATAGAAAGCCTGTTAGGTGGGCCTATCACCAAGTTTTGACCAAAATTTTGAATAAATCAGCATAAAAACACAATCATTTGTTTTGGTAGAGTTTCATTGTATACATGTATAAGATTTTTAAGTGAATATTGAACATACAAGTATCTCATTTAGAAATGGGAATGTTGAAATTTCCACGTAGGCACTGACATCATTCTCATAGAATCACCGGTGTGAAATGACTTACATGTCACTGGAACATTTTTAAGTGTCTCATCTTAAAGCATGAAATTTTTCCTAAAATGTGATAAGTAAAAGGTAATCAGATTGTTTCTTGTAAAAGAGGAGTTAAACATTGTGGGAAAAGAGATACTCAGGAACTTGGCAAATGTGAGGGTTTTATTCCCCATCTTATCCAGGGTACGAACTGATACAGTTACAATTTGGTAAATGTATCAATAAAAAGTGCAGCATGTTGATTACTCTTTTGTGCACTTTGAAGCCATTATAGTTAAACTTTGTATCCTGGCATTAGATAAGAATATATCCCAGAATTATATGGGAAAGTCCACAATTACTGAGTTTTTGAATTGTCTCAACTGTCTTTTTGTATAAGTTTTAAAACTGATATTCAGTGTTAAATTAGCCTATGTTTGGTATTTTGTTTTTGTGGGCTTTTTATGCACCCACAAAGTGGGGGGCATATAACATTGCACTTGTCCGTCTGTCCGTCCGTACATCCCGAAATCTTGTGAACGCAACTCCTCTTAAACCGGATGGCAGATTTTGCTTAAACTTCCAGGGATGAACAACCTTAATGTGTAGATGGTAGTTAAGGAAGGAATTTTTGCTGCGACCAAGTTTAACAGAATTATGGCACTTTGTTGATTTTTTCACTATATACTATGTAGAAATTTTGTGAACGCAACTATTCTTAAACCGGATGGCAGATTTTGCTTAAACTTCCAGGGATGAACAACCTTAATGTGTAGATGGCATCAAAGGAAGGAATTTTTGCTGCGACCAAATTTAACAGAATTATGGCCCTTTGTTGATTTTTTCACTATATACCATATATATGTTGTCAGTGGGGGCATCCGTGTCCTTTGGACACAGTTCTAGTTTTGTGTGTATTATAATTGTTTGTTTATTTGCTTATATATTTTTTTCAATTTGCAGGGACCATTTGATGTTTGTCGTAAAGTATTTGTAGGTGGTGAGGAGACAAATAAGATGACCATAAATGATAAATCAGATTTGTTCTTCCATGACTACAACATAGCGCCATTGTTTGTACAGGAGAACTATATACATGTTATACCATATGCAGCGAGGTAATGTATATTGTGTAGTCAGATTAACACACTAAACCCACTGGTTGAGACTGATTTCATCCACGCAACCGCTGTAGGCCAAGTTCATCGGGCTCATTCATGCTGTCTTATAATGATATGCACTGTTTGCCATTCAGTCATATTTGGAATTTTGCCTGAACAGTAATTAATGCTATTATCCAGATTGAAAGAACGAGAAGTCTATTTGACATATTCAGTGTTAAGATTTTTTGGATGGTTTAATGCAATTAGGGATTTTATATCACAGTTTTCTATTTGAACCCTTAGTGCTGTTTCAAGCATTTATAAAGGGTTGCTGTGACTAAGTATTAGGAATTATACTCCTTTCAACCAATGGTCAATAGATGATTTATGAAGTTATTATATGACACCAGTTAGTTCCTGAATGTAGACTCGATTATTTCAGTTGGATTTTAAAGCAGCATCCCACCAGATTCATGCTAATTTTCAGGAAAATTTTTCGAATATATTAATCAGTAAAGTATTGTCAAGTGAACAAAGAAAGTCATTTACACATTGCAAACAGTACTTAAAATCTATGAAAATTACGAAAAATGCAAAAATAGAACTTTCTGCTTTAGTCACAGAGTAGAAATATTGTTATATTTTCTTACATTCTTAGTACATTTTTTCTCAAAAATTGATCTTCTTGAAATATTTTGGCTCATCTGGAGGCATGCAGCTCAAGGCAGTCTTCACAAAGTAGTTTAAATAAGTAGAAGTTTGAACTAATAAATGTTGTTTCATATCTTCTAGGGGTAGTGCAAGTCGTCATTTATCGTTGTTGGCTAGGTCAGCTGATGCACTATGTGTTGGTGATGTCTGTGAAAGGAGAATCCGCACAAGTCAAAGCTGGGGTCTTTTACCTTTAGAGGTCTGTCCTATATATTATATCTTGTCACCAGTTAATGAATATGTTGTTTGGCGAGGAAATTGGTTGTTAAGCAAAAAAAAGAGCAGTAAATTATTGTCTGCTTTTTATTTTCTTAATGGCTGTGATGTTTTTCAGCATATGCAAAGCCCCAGACTTACTTGTGGATTAAAGGAAAGCTTATAATAGTACATCCAGTGTTACCATGATAAATAGCAGTCATGACCAAGTAAAGGTTGTTGACTACAAACTACTTACCCCAAATCCCATCAGGGATTTAGGATTTATTCATGTGACGAAGCTATCTAGCTAGCTTTCAAAATGTTAAAGAGGTTGTACTCGGGTGCTGATTTATGCCTGACATATTGCACAGAGGGGCACCTGAGCTCTTCCTCCATCAGTTAAGCTGGAAAGTCACCATATGATCTTTACTGTTTTGGTTCGATATAATATCCAATCAATAAAAAATAAAAAAATTATAACGATAATTGGTGAAGATGAAACTATAAGAATGTTATTTAATGGTGTTCTGTACAATACAAATTTGGAAATTGTACTTAAATAAACAAAACCTGTAACTACTTGGTTTGTCAAGCCTTGTACTGGTCAAAGTATATTTCTTATCTGTATAGTGCACTGTTGATTAACATTTTAATTCATTAAATGAGTTATTCCAGTTCTGTAGTTTTATTAAACATCCCAATGCTATAATATTTATTCCTTAATATGGTAAATAGGAAATATTATTCTCTGCCACTTTGTAAAGTAACCTAACTTTGATATATAATTGTTGAAATAACTTAACATTGATATATATTTACATAAAAAATGTTGTATATGTATTATACCAGGCAATGTATGCTAGTGTGTTACCGGGAGAATATATGAGGGGCAACATCACTCAGATGATCTCGTTCCCAAGTTGGCTTGGTAAAAACTCTACAACAGGGAAAAATGAAAGAATTTTACAAGAATTAAGGACGCACATGAGGCTTCAGTAAGTTGATAAATTGATTTTTATCCTACACCTATAAAATGTGAAGTGTGATATTTGTCATTGATGGTGCCCTTCTTTGTCTCACATCATATATTTAAATTAGTTATAAATATTCTTTATATAATCAATGCTTTAAATTGTCTTTAATTTTTTCTTCCTTTCTTTTTTTTACTGTTTTAAGTATATGGAAAAACTTGGACTGTTCATTTGCATTTTTTCAGGATATCGGGGGATAAGAAAAGTTTGAACCTAGATTATCTCCCATTTCTACGTCAGTCCCTCACTGAACCTTTAGTAAAGAAGGAGGCAGAGGGTGTACCAGATGTAATTAAGTTATTGGATGATTATGACATTGTTAAAGATGATTTTGATAACATTATGGATATTACAAAATGGCCAAATAGTAAAGATCCTTTAAGTCAACTTAGTACAAAGGTGAGACTGATTTATATTTGCTTAATTTTTCACAATTTTGTGCCAAATATTGGAACATGGTGTTCTATATTTGCTTTTTCCTGTATAGGTTACTGCACTTTTCACATGACAGGTAGTTCACTGTTCATATGACAGGATATGAATGATATTGCATTGCTAACACTGCAGATAGTAACAGATATTGTACTGTTCATTTGACAAATACTGCACTAGTCATATAACATATACTGCATGTTAAGATGACAAATACTGCTTTAGTCATAAGACAGGTACTGCACTTTCTATATGACAGATATTGCACTAGACAGGGTCAAATATTGCTCAATTGATGTGGCAAATTCTGTACTTTTTTGATGTGACAGATACCGTTATTGCACTAGTCAGATAATGAACTGTTCACATGGCAAATATTGCAATATTAACATGGCAGATACTGTACTAATATGACATATTGCACTAGTCATGTGTCAGATATAGATTGCACTGTTTGAATGACAAATATTGCAATATTAACACAGCAGATACTGTACTAATATGACATATTGCACTAGTCATGTGTCAGATATAGATTGCACTGTTTGAATGACAAATATTGCAATATTAACACGCAGATACTGTACTAATATGACATATTACACAAGTCATGTGTCAGATATAGCACTGTTCGAATGGTAACTATTGTAATATAAACGTGGAAGATACTGAACTTTAAATGTAACAAATATTGCTCTGTTCATGTGGCATATGTTGTACTCTTTTACCAAATACTGTTACATTGATGTAACAGGTTGAAAAATTATTGTTCTTTTAAGTTTATTTAGATCAATCAAAAAAATCAAATTAAACCTTTATTATAAATGATAATGAATTATCTTTCAAATTGATGTAAAATCAATTTGAATAATAAGTAATCTTATTTTCATAAGTGTCAATTGTTTATTTTTTTTTTGGATATAGACAAAATCAGCATTTACCCGTACTTACAATAAAGAAGTGCATATGACACCATACTCAACGGGAGTGGCTACAAAGAAGAAAAGAGGAGGAGGTGGAGCTAGCACAGATGAGCTGGATTTGCTGGGTGAAGGGGAGGAAGGAGGCGGGGCTAATGAGGAAGAGGAGGAGGAAGATAAAGATGATTTAGAAACAGATACTATGATAAAAGTAAGATAAAGGGGTTTTTTTGGGGTGGTGGGGGGAAGATTGATGTCAGACTTGTAAACAGAGAAATTCTTAAAAGCCAGGTTGAATTATGTATCATGATGAATTCAAAACTCAATTTTAGGACAGATAACTTCAAAGTAGACGAAATTAAGAGGGAGAAAATAAATATAAATTTTTTTTAAAATTAAAATGTTAATTTTAGCAGCATATGGCATTTGGCCATCATTTGTGCATGAAAGATAATCATGGTGTTATGAATTTCCATTTACATAAACATATGTTAAAATCGTTGACAAATGCCTGTACTAAACTTAACACTTAAATGCACGTTATGCCTCAGAATTTATTTTAATGATGGTTTTTGAGAAATGTAAGATGCTTGTAAACTGAAAAAATAGCAGTAAATGTGAAATAATTTGTCATACAAAATACTTATTCACTGTAATTGTGCTTAATGCCAAAAGCAATATATGAATAAAGATGGTTCCAGTAATTGGCAAATGAGTAACTTTTTGGATATTATAAAAGTTTACCAAAATTAAAAAGCTTTTGAGAAATAAATGTGGCATGATGAACCTTTAATAAAATTGAAAAACAAAGGGTTTAACGCTCCTTGATAACAATGTCTTCTAGGTGACATAATAATTGATCTCAGTGAAAGACTTGGATGTTTCTAAATTCAAAATTTTATATATATGTTGAATTCTGCTTCAGCCGTTGGTAGGGGGCTTGGACAATGACTTGCATTTTCAAGTACTGTCCATGAACAGGCTCAATCAAACTTAGCCTGCAACATTTTCAATGATGTCATTATGGGCGTTCTTTAGGGATTCCAGTTTTATATGCCCGAAAAAATTTCGGGCATATTATGTTTTACTGCCTTGCGTCTGTCCTTCCGTCTGTCTATTAGCAATTTGGTTTCCCAAGCATAACTTAAGTTCCATTTGGCCAACAATATTCAAACTTTATAGGATATTTGTCCATATTGGGTAGAAGACCCCTATTGATTTTGGGGTCAAAGGTCAAGGTCACTATTACCTAAAATCTGAAAACAAGTTTCCGGAGCATAACTTAAGTTCTATTTGGCCCACAATATTCAACTTTATAGGATGATTGTCCATATTGGGTAGAAGACCCCTATTGATTTTGGGGTCACAAAGTCAAAGGTCAAGGTCATTATTACTTTAAAACTGAAAACAGTTTCCAGAACATAACTTAAGTTCCATTTGGCCCACAGTGTTCAAACTTCATAGGATGATTGTCCTTATTGGGTAGAACACCCCTTTTGATTTTGGGATCACAAGGTCAGAGGTCAAGGTCACTATTATTTTAAAACTGAAAACAGTTTCTGGAGAATAACTTAAATTCCATTTGGCCCACAATATTCAAACTTAATAGGATGATTGCTATTTGAAGGAGGTAATACTTTATTTTATTCTCGTGTCTTACAAATGTTTCATCCTTACTAAAAAAAAATAAGAAACACTTTCGGGCATATAATGCTCTGTCTAGCGGTGCTCTTGTTCTCTATATTGTTGCTCATGTGACATAAATGATCTAAAAATACATGTTACAAAAATTGTCCAAAAAAAAGAGATAGTAGCTTCATGTTTATCATTCTGCCTTGCATTAGTCAATATTTACTAACTCATTAATGTTTGTAATCCTTATGATAATGTAAAAAATTTTCAAAAATGACTTTTTTCCTCTCTGAAATGCAAAAAATAATCTTCAAAAATAAAATGATTGTTTCATTATTTGTTTATGCTTTTTTTTTATCACAGAAGAAAACAAAAGCCGCATCTTCTACAAGTGGTAAAGGCAAAGGAAAGGGTCCTGCAAAAGGAAAAGGGGAGTCAAAGGCCAAGGGAAAAGGAAAAGGAAAATCATGACAGAAAAAAAGACTTTGAAATGGTTAGATTGAAAATAAAAAATTTAAGGACAGAATTTGAAATAAGTGGCATGGTTAAACAGTGGAAAATATGGAAAACCTTTTAAAACATATCATTTGTCACCTATGGATATCACTCGTTGATAAACCATGGCATTACCGAGTTGATCAACAATCCTAATGTGGAAATTTCTGGGCTTGATTGTCAAATAAAATTGGAACCAAACAGATGAGATTGAAACACAGGAAATAACATTGGAAAGATTCAGATAACATTTGAATTAATTAAATAACATTGGAAAGAAGCAAATAACACTGGAAAGAAGCAAATAACATTGGAAACGAAGCAAGTAACATTGGAATGAAACAAATAACATTTGAATGAAACAAGTAACATTTGAATGAAACAAATAACATTGGAATGAAACAAATAACATTGGAATGAAATAAATAACATTGGAATGAAACAAATAACATTGGAACAAAGCAAGTCACATTTGAATGAAACAAATAACATTAGAGCAATGCAAATAGCATTGGAAGGGAAAAAAACTTGCACAATCAACCTCATTATTTTCATTAGCTCAAATTATTGATATAAAACATAGAACATTTTAATCTAGTCCATTATTTTGATGCTATGACATCTTGGTTGTGCCAGGTAGTTAATTGGTTTGAGTGACCAATATAGGAAAGGGAATAAATAAGCCACTGATAAAAAAAATCATGATAATTAGCCAAGTTTGACTTTCAACCCATATAATGTCAATGTTTCTTGTTGTGTTTATTAAACCAAGTAAATATATTGCTAATATAGCAATTTTCTTGGTATATTAGTAACTGTATTGCTTGTATTTATAGTGCTGATTGAAAGGCAATATCTGCTGATGCATTTGATTCAATAAATGTATTAGTAAATGTAATTCGTTTTTGTATTTTCTCATTTCTATCACAGATGGTTATGTGAACATGTCTACTCGAGACTTAAAATATCTTCCCTCTGTATTTAATACAATCGGCTCAAAATACAATTACTTGACAACACAAAAAACATTCAGCATATCACTCGTAATAAACATATGGCCGAGTGGTTAAGGTCGTTGACTTCAAACCACTTGCCCTCACAGCTGTGGGTTCGAATCCCGACAGGGACTTTGAATTCTTTCATGTGAGGGAGCTATCCAGCTAGCTTACGGAACGTCAGTGTTTCTACTCGGTTGCCCGTTCGTGCCTGAAATAATGCACGGAGGAGCACCCGAGATCTTCCTCTACCAGTAAGCTGGAACGTCCACATATGACCTATACTGTGTCGGTGTGACCTAAAACTTAAACAAACAAATATAAGCATAATTTGTCCTTGATCGAATCCTACCTACGAAAGGTATATGTTCTTGGTTGCTTTACCAACGGCAAAGTAGCTGTAGTACCAGCAGGTCTGTCTCTTCACCAATTACGTAGGTGTCATAGTTTGACAGAAACCACCGCCGTCCATACAATGAGAAAAGTTGATATATAAGTAGGCATACAAATCAGAGATGAATTTTGTAAGTAATGAAAATTCAAAAATAACATATACGATTGACAAAGGTTACTGATATATCATTTATTTATACATCTAACTTGACTTCTGTATATACGTGTATATAAATTTCAGTACTAAGCGAGTTAAACAAGTCCTGGCTGAAGTATACCAGTTTTACAAATAGTTTTGTCATGACATAATTATATAACATTCTAAAAAAAAAATATGAAACTAGAATTGATATTTAAATGGTAACTATAAAATTAAGATATATACGTGAATCATAAAAAAAGGTCGAAACCATACACAAGTCATCATCTTAAGATTGCAACAAACATGTCATAACGGTGCCTAAACCTTGTTACTTTTTGCTATTTGCATGGACAGAAAACTGATACAAATTTACAAATAACGATCCAGATTTTCATCGGTTTTACTATCGAAAACATTTTTATAACTATTTTGTTAAAAGGAGTGAATGTGTGTAGGAATATGTTTTTAGAAGTGCTGCACGTTAAGTGTGAGATAAGCCCATGTGAGATAAGATTTTCCAACACCGCTATTTTTAGTAACATTTACGGATTTTTCTATCTGGTTAGTGAGAAAAAGGCTTCCCGCCCCGATGCAAATGTGTGCTTGCTGCTGATCAAATTTTAGCAACAATTTCATCATTTTGTTTTCGTCTTTTGTTTCTTTCACGCCTGAGATCCTGATATTGTTGCGACGTGAATATTGTTCATGTTCATCAAGAGTAAGTTTAAATGACTGTTAGAAAGATTGAACTTGTTCACGCAAATCTTTGATGATCCTTAGCCAATTCACTTTTTGCAACTTATGTAGCTACAATTCTAGACGCCAGCTTTTTATTTACACCAGAAACAGTTTTATAAACTAAAGATTCGATCTGACATTTGAGTGTTATGACTAGGTGATTTGAAAGTTTTTCCATTTCTTTTTCTTCTAGTTTAAAAAGGAACCGGATTTTTCTTATTTGAAATTTCAGTTTCATCAGTAATACTGGGAAGACTCATTTCTTTAATTACGTTTGTTTTATTTGTCTTAGAAACAATTCCATCAATTTATGAGCTAAGTTCTCTTTTGTTGGGTTGTGATGAAACTGGAGTATTAATGCTCGTTATATAGAGGATATTGAACGAGTGTAAGTTTAATACTGAATTTATTGTAAAAGTTGAGAAAAAATATATTATGAGCATTATATCATTTTATTCAACGAGTTCAATAAATTCAGTAATGAACATGCACGAATTTATTTAATTAATATTCTATTTATAACATACCAAAATTTTTAATATAAAGACCGTTTGAAGTGATAAAAAATCAGTTTTTATTGACACGCCTATAGTATAACACTAATATTTAGCGCGTCTTAAAGCTATGCAATACCATTTTTACGGAGTCGCAAAATCGGCACGGGTATGTGATAAATTGACATAATGACGTGATGATTTTAGGACAATCTCAAATGCTGAACTTTCCAGTGTTTACAGTTTTATGTAAATTGGCTAACTTGTTATGCTACACTGTGATAATACATAGTCACTGGTTGACCTGGTTTGCACAAAAGAACACATGGTTATGTTTGTGATACTGTTTGTGAGCAGTTGACCTAGCAATGAATGGAAAAGGTGTGGCTAAATGTTCCGCTACGAAAAACCGGAAAGGTCCATACAATCGTTTAGGATCGATACTTAATCTCAATCACGAAAGGTCACCTCAAGTAACGCTGGAGTAGACTTACGGTAAGTAACTCACGATGTGCAAAGTGGTATTCATTTTGTTTACTCTACCTTACCTATCGTGAGGGATACTTCAAAAGTTGACCGATCGGTTTTATTGCATAACACCACTCAATATACATTGCAAAAGTGTAACCATGTCGTTTAAAAGAGTATTTCGCTAAAGTGGAAAATTTCTTATAAAGAATTAATTATTAAAAATCTTAATGTAAAAGAAAACAAAACAAAAAACGATTTAAAATATGTGTTAGATAAAACAAAAGCATGAGGAGAAATTTAAAAAGAATTTAATAGTTTTCAAGAACAAATGCCAGAATAGCAAAATGATGTTGGAAAACCTGAAAGGCAGGGTGAAAAAAGGAAGCTAAAGAAAGTAGTGAAAGGCTTCTGAAAGACATTTAGAAATAACTTTTATTTCAATAGCGTAAACTATATTTTGAAAGTAGCATCCAATTTTTTATGTCAATGATTTCTTTTGCAATACACAATTATGTTTTCTTATGACATTTTTAAAGGCCCATTATGCCTCAGAAATTCTTCTTAAAATTTCAATTTTTGCAAATGGTATAATCATATTGCATTATTATTTTGTATGGAAGTCAAAATACTACATTGTCGACATTTTCCTACAATCATAACATAATACTGCACGTTAAGTGCAACGTTGAATAGTTTTTAATTATTTTTCCTAAAGAATTAGAATAGAAAGATGCATAACATGCCTTTAACAGGACTGTTTTTTATTCAAAATTTTGTCGTTGGTATTTTCAAATATAGAATCTTAATCTTTTTAATTTCTTTGATCAAATGCAACGATTTTGTACATAACCCCCCTGCCTACCTCCAAAAAAAAGCCCCCAAAAAACAACAGTAACAAAAACAAACAAGCAAACAAAACAACCCTGTTTGATTGTGACTGTAGCGGTAAAACATTATACAGCTGTTATTGGATCTAAGTAATGAAACACATACTCGTTTAGTAAAGTGTATTTTACATAAATCATGCTAAACAAATGTTCAAGATATTATTTTGCAACGTGGATTTTAATAATTTTTTTTAAATTAAAATACACAGACGTCATCAACGTTAACTTTATGCCATGGTTATTTATGACGCCATAAAGATATTTTTCTGTCATGTTTCCTTTGAAATATCTTTAAATATATAGATTGGGAAATTTCTGTCAATCCCAAAATTCAAACAGTGTAATATAACTTGTATCTAACTGTTATTTTTAGTATTTCATAAAATAAACAATAAATACTTAAAAACAAAATGGCATTTGTTTAAAACATAAATATTTATATAGGCCTTTATCTAGACGCATGCGACAAATCATCCGAGGACTTGTGTCCAGAATCATCGACGGTCACAGACGAACTGTCATTTTTATGGATAGGAAATTCAAGAAATTTTCAACTTGAAATCGTATAAATTCATTTCTTTTTGGCAATACTGGCCGGTATCCCGCGAGCTGAATAGTATCAATAGTTCATACTACTTCCGGGAAAAAAATGTACACACTCCTATGAAAATCAAAATTTCTGATAAAATTCAACTTCTGACATAAAAATGGGATCATCTCTGTCCCTAGGTATCTGTTTTTGAACATTTATTTCCTCAACTACTGTCAGTTCGCTAAAATGTATACTGTATGGGACAAAATTAATTCAAAATCAATACTCACAACTAAGTTTTATTCAGTATTATTTTATTGAGGACACCTCAAGATAAAAGAATTTATTATCATGAGAAAATATAATTTTTTGTGACTTATATAGAATTCTACTGTAAAGTTCTACCAATCTATAATGAATTTACAATTTTCCTCAAAGTCAGCATAAAAAGTTGTCTAGCGTAGGACGGATACGGTTTACTACCATTAATATTCATGCTACGTATAATGTTTCTTATTTAATTTACCATTTTTTATCCTTTTTAAAAATGATAAAAAGTTTCACTTTACGATTCCTGCTCCCGGCATCGATCGTTATTCCTTTATCAGCGTACGTGTATGCTCTGGTACTTTTTGCAAAAAACATAGCATTCGTTTTACCTACTACACCCCGTGCACTTGCTAACAGTTTTCCACACAACTGTACGTGCTAGACTCTGTACACAAGGCAATGTCGTTTTTCAAAATTTGTTTGATTTCAATGATAATGTGTATTTATATATGTTGTACTTATATGCCGCCTTCAAATTCAAGAGTTATAGACACCAATAATTTTGATTTTTTCGAAGAGATCGAGTCTGGCTTAGAACGATATAAATGTAAGGTTTTTGGCGATTTAAACTGTCGTACATCTAACATGTCAGATTTTTTAGAATTTGATGAATATTTTGATCATGACCTATATCTGTCAAATAATGTAAACATACCAAACCGGTTTCCCGGGATAAAACCGTGGATAATATGGGTAAACGCTTGATTGATTTTTGCCTGTCTACCTCATATATTATTGGTAATTCTCGATTACACAATGATCTAGGTATAGGAGAGTATACTTATCATTCGATTAACGGATCGTCAACGCTTGACTATTTATTGTTGCATATTGATGATTTTGTTTCATATTTTCGTATTACCCCACCTAACGAGTTTTCCGATCACAGCGGACTCTGTGTAGCAACGCTATATGT